AGTGGCGTTTTGATAATAAACGCCTTAAGTTTTATAAAAACGTGGAAGCTAGCAGCGTTTATAAGTGAAAGGCCGTTACAAAACTATCGCTAATACATCATTTTCTTGTAGTGGTTGATGGGAGAGCTAAGAGGAAGCATGTATTTATATTTATAGGCTAATCATAGTCTTGCAAAGGGATACAAAGGAAATACACTGATTAATTGCATTTTTTATGTACATAATTTTACTTGGTAGGTGGCTCTATTTTTGTTTTTTTTTTTATGAAGAATAAGATGGATGACTTTCAAATTATATATAAATATTGGAAACAAATTTTATATAGTATGTATGTAAAGTTATATATCTTGTGCTTTTTTTTTTTTACAAAATATATCACAGTTTGAAAATAAAAGAAAGGGTTGCATGTGTTAAAATTTAGACGTCAAACTTATTGGATACCATATCTTAAGAGTAGTAATATGAACTAAGTTAAATTTCGATTCATCTTTTATGCTTAATGAAATTAATTATATACGTAAATTACCCATTTATTACTTTCTATCCATTTTGTTTAAGTCAACTAAATCTTTATATCTATGTTTTTCTCGAATTTAAATTATTAATACCAATTTAATTAAAATATAAAGGCTTATTTTTCCAAAAAGGAGTTTCTTATTAAAGAAGTTTCATCACACGGGTTCTATTAGCGATGATTTGATTATAAAATATAAGAGTTGATATCATAAATAACCTTTAAATTATATTGAAATATTTAATATAGTACTTTAATTTTAAAAATATCTAATATAGTATTTGAATTATGAATTTATTAATTAATATGACACTCACTCTTAATGTTGCTAGCTTCAAAAGATATACATGATAGACAAAACAATCCTAAAGTATATATTAATTAACAGATTCATAGATTTGATACTAAATTAAAAATTTTTACAGTTCAAGTATTATATTGAATATTTTACTAATTTAGATTTATTAACCCAAAATATAATCAGATAATGGAGATTTCTATATTTTGAGGGCCATTTCTAGAATTTGAAATAATCTATCATGTTTAAAATTATCTGAAACTACGAGGAAACTCTTACATTGTTACAATGTTCTTGGTAAACATGAAGGCCAAGACCTTTTGGTCTTAAAAGGTGTCCGTGGCAATACATGGGATAAGATTCAAATTTATCATTCTATTTCAATTGTTTGAAATACTTTAATATGTGCAATTTTACCATTATATTTTTTAATTTAGTTCAAAATCAATCTAAAGCATAAGTGTACACAAATCAGACGATCAAGACATTTTGATGTTTATATTTCATATTATCAAGTGGTTTGAAGGGATTAATCGCATATTAAATTTATATATTGAAAATGATTTTACAAACGACATTTTTAATAAATCTTTTTACCATTAATAGATTAAATTTACCATTAATAGATTAAATTTACTATTAATATTTTTAATTTGGTTCAAAATCAATCAAAAGCAAAGGTGTTCACAGACGACCTAGATTTATTCATACTTCATATTATCAAGCATCTTGAGGGAATTAATCGCGTACTAAATTAATATATTGAATTTTTTTTTTTACAAATGACATTTTTAATAAATTTTTTTACTATTAATAGATCAAATTTATACTGATAGATCAAATTTATTATTTATATTTTAATTTGGTTCAAAATCAGTTAAAAGCAAATGTATCTACAAATCAGACGACCAAGACTTTTTAATGTTCATACTTCATATTATCAATTGTTTTGAAGGGGTTAATCGCATACTAAATTTATATATTGGAAACTCTTCATCATGTCTTCTCATATTTCGATGGTTTTATATTCTCAAGTCAATGAAATTATTTAAAAATTTTTAACTTATTGATTTTGTAGATGAGAAGTGTGAATCATTAAATCAAATTGAAATAATGTATTCTTGTTTTGATAAACTATTCATTTATGATCTATGAAAAATAATTAAAAAGGTGACTTGGAATGTTTAGTCTTTAATGAAGGGTGACCAAGAATTGTTCAACTACAATAACATGAATATTGTTTGTTTAATGAGTGAAAAGAAAATAAAAAATTATTTTTTATATAGATTAAGCTAAACCAATAAGGAGTTAATACATTATTAAAATTTTTCTTGTTTATAATAATAATGTTGTATTTATGAAAATTATGAATCAAAACTATTTATGCGTGCATATAATATATATATATATATATATAATATGATAAATTTTAAAGATTTGTTTGGACATGATTGATTGATCTACAACTGAGACGATCAAAAAAATTATGCAATAATTTCTTAATTTGAGGAGTTTTTAGAGGAAAAAGATACATGTGTCTTTGACCAATGCATTTCACCTACCATTCTTTTTATAATAATATTACAATCATTCAATCACATTAAAAAAATACGTAGATGTCTATCACTTATAAATATGAGTTCCATATAAAATTTTGATAAATTTTACATAATTTTAAATTATAATTAATTAATTACAATATAATAATTATAAATGATATGTTTTCATTCTTAATCTCTTTTTTTTTCTATTAAATTAAAATGTTACTCACCCTAGAGGGAGAATATCACTCCCTTTCCCTTTCATTTCCCTCCATTCCTCTCTATCCAAAGACGGTTTAAAATCTTCTAACACGTGAGAAGAGGAGCATAGTTGAGGAATAATGAAATGATTTGTCCCAATAATTATATTACATTTAAATCTTCACCAAGACTTTATTTTCAAGTATTAATTGTCTAATTGGTTTGTGGGCACCAAATTGAACCTTTTATAAATATCTTAATTAGACTTGTGGCTGGTTCTTGTTTTTCAGTAATTTAAAGTTGGAAAATTTTTGGTGGAAATTGCAGATGAGAAGTAATCCAAGCAGAGAATTTCTGAATAATTCTCCATACTTATTTTATCATATGTGAAGTGGACCATTATGGAGGCTATCAAATATCTATTTAAAATTTTAGTATTTGATTCGATTCAAATTGATTTTTTTATTTAATTTTTATTTAAGTTTGGATAATAAATATTTTTTTTAGATTCAGATCAAATTTTAAATTATCAAGTGAAAAATCAAAAATATTTGAACCGAAGTAAATTATATATTTTATATATGTTTAAATTTTTATCAAATAGTCTTCAACTTTTTTATTTAGTGACTAAAGAGCTCTTAAGATGATATAAAGATTTTGATTTTAAGACTTCTTCTTTTTCTCTCATGTACTATGCCCATCTTATGTATCAAAAAAAAATTATAAAATATAAATAATTATTTTATATTTAAATCGATTTAAATATATTAAAATAATATTAAAATTTTTTAATTTTTAATTTTTAAAATATAATAAATCGAATCGAACTGATAAAATTAATTCAAGTGGAATCGATTTTTAAAAAATCATTTTAAATTAATTTTTAAAAATTTATAATACTAAACATTAATCAAAATAATCAATTTAAAATTAAATCAAACCGAACTGATATCACTCACAGGCTTATAGAAATGACTTATCTCAAAGGCTTAATATTGACCAAAGTCTTAATATAAACTTCTACCATACTTAAAAAAGTTTACTAGGAAAATTATCCTAGGACGGGTCTCATTTCTACCTTGCACATAGCCTGTATTTGGGACCACTGTTGACCATATTTTATTAGGAAATCTCAGCCATAAAAATATGTGGACGATGGCCCCCAACTTTACCCACTGGGGGTGCCACGAAGCCAATTATTTATACTTTTGGGCAGGGAAGGAGTGTACATGAAGAAATTGGGAGAAGGGTGGGACTGGTGGAAATGGTATTTGTTGTAATTTCAAATTCTAACATAGCTGTAATCAGATGATGAGTGAGTTTCCAAGGCTTCAAACACCAAACTTTTACTCTAAATAATTATTCAAGGTAATGTTATATATGTGTAAGCTTTATGACAAGGTAAAATGGTTATATTTGGAAAGAATGTTGAGAATAATGGTTTTTTTTTTCATACATTGAACCCTTTGATAATGACGTGTTATAACTATTTTTTTTATTATGATATTATCGAACATGAATAAATTTTATTATATTTTATAACATATTCCTTTAATTAACAAATCTTAAAATATTATTTTTAATTGTTTGTACGAATATAAATCAAAGTTATTAACAAATTGTTAGTTGAACACTTTATTTGATTATGTCATAAGATGTAATATATTTTTAATCTGTTCATTTAATTAATGAATATTAAAATATTATTTGTATAATTTGTTAAATTTAAAAAACGAAAATAAATCAAGCATATTCATAATCAGTTTGTCGATGTTCTGTTCATTTAGTCCTATTGTCCACAACTTCACGGGGAAATTTTATTCCATCTACAAGGGTGAGACAAGGAGATACCTTGTCACCTAACTTGTTCTTGTTTTGTGTGGAATGTTTTTCTGCTTTCTTGAAGCAAGCAGAGGTAGCTGCGGCTAACCATGGAATTGAGACTGTTCGTGGGGCTCGAGAGTTCGGTACTTGATCTTCTCGAATGATAGCATTTTGTTCGTAAGAGATAATGAGGATGATAGTAATGTAGTGACAGATCTTTTGCAACGATATGAATTGTCCTCGGGTCGAGTGATTAATGTTGCCAAATCTGCCATCTTTTTTTATTGCTAATGCTCCACTGTTGTGAGGAATAGAATAAAAGTATTGGCAGTGCATTGGCTACTTCGTATGTCTAAAAGGCTTGAGTTTTAATAAAGATTTTTAGTTTACGAGATAATGTTATGAATAACTCTTAAATTAAAGTTAAATGTATTATTTGAATTTTAAAAATTTTTAATGTGATACATAAATTTTGATTTTATTAATTAATATGGTATTTAAAACTAATGATGTTAAAATGAATAATATATTAATTAATAGATTCATAATTCAAATATAATACTAAATATTTTTAAAGTTCAAATACCACATTGAGTATTTCATTATAGTTCAAAGTCATTCATGAAATTAACCTTTAATTTATTAATTCAAATAGCACATTGTTCCTTTTCAAAGTTTAGGTACCAATTTCCCCCTCCCTCTTAGAAAGAAATTATAGAAGAGCAAGAGGAAACTAGCCTGGAAAAACAGTGTCAATGCAGACCCAATTTTCTGCTTTTCAAGACGATTAAGTTGATTGAACAAGTAGTCAATTTAGGATGTTACACTCAGTCAACTGTACCTAATGGTGAAAGAGGTGACAGGTACCCCATGCATCATCACATTTTGCTTCCTCCACAGCCTAGGTTTTGGCTTGCTTTCGAGCTTCGATTACTCGAAGCGAGTTGACAGCCATGCAGGTTACAGGACTTGCATATCATGAAGTATTCAACCCAGGTTCTGAGAAGAAACCAATTGGAAAGAAATGGTGAGTTTGGGATTATGATGATGCAGAAAAAACCACTGAATGATTCTGCCTAGGAAAGGGATGGTTGCAGACAGAAAGCACACAGCTCATCAGCTATAAATCATCAACCTGAAAGGATGACTTTGTTTTACCTGTTTTTTTGGTCAGTATCTGAAGCTATTCCTTGCTTGAACAAATCAAAGTTATATAGTTGATGGTGCTAGTGCAGCAATCTTGTATGCATGATATCGATGAAAATCGTAACTTATGAGTGAAGTAAATAATTTAGCCTGCACCTTTTCTTCCTGCATGAAGTCCAGATGAGTCAAGCACAATAAAACAAATGCAGCAATAGAAATTGTTGAGGATAATGGCTGTTTCATGAAGGAACACAATCTTCAATATATTTTTCTGTATCTTTCCATAAAAGCTGTCAATGTAGTTTGGAATAGCAATATGTCATCTCTACTGATGTCTTCACCAGAATATAAATGGAAAGCGAAAAAATATCATTTCTGAAAATGATTATAAAGACAGTTGTATCAATGTGGCCTACATATAGACTCAATGTAATCTTGAATCTAAAATTATATTTTATACAAATGTCAAAATATATCAATGTAATCTCAAGGAAAAAGAAAATCACACTGGATGGTATAATCCTGAATTTTTAAAAACATCATGCTTTAAGCAGAGCATCTGATCTGAATCAGTCCGTAAGATATCGATAAAGTTGCATTTTAACTATAAAGTTGCTTGTTTTAAGATAACTGAAGTGCAAAAATGATGGGGTAGGGGAGATTTGCTAGCATATAGTTTTGTAATTTCGAAAACAACATAACTGGAAGTAGAAAAGTTGGTATCTGAAGCTTTAGAGTAGAGAAATATGTAAATAACTAGAAATAATCACACATGCAAACATACTTGATTCACGAACATCAACAGCACACAAAGCAGTTTCACATGTTATGGATGAAGATGTCAGCTAGTATTTTGACAGTTTTTCACACAATGAGCAATACAAAATTATATCAAAGACAGTTCCAACATATGATTTCGCCACCACTAACTTGTTAGTTTTAGCTCAAGCCAAACAACTGGTCATTTCAGCAGCCAGCATTGCTGACCCTCAAATAAATCTATATCGTTTTATTTGTGCAAGTTTTCAAACTGCCTTCTGAGAAAGTTCTTGTTAACGGTTAAATGCAAAAGCAACATTGATGCAGCAAAACTAAGACTGAACAGATGACATAAAAAACTCACCTTTTTACAGCATTTTTGCCCTGAAAAGCAGCGGATTTGGCGAGTTGATGTATGACATCGAAGTTATTTTGGCTCATTGCCTCTTTATCAAATATAGCATCCGATAAAACAACTGATATTGCTCCCTGACCAATATAATCCCCTACTGAATCTGTATAAAGTTTAAAAAAATGTTATTCAGATGCTAGAGAAAAAGCTATAAAAAAATTTCATCCACAATGCCATGCTTCAGGTACGTCATGAGTATATTTGAAAATGGGAAGATGCTTGAAATTACTCTCGCATAATATGCTTACCAAAAATACTGACCTATTGTTATGCCTTGGGAAGCAACCATTGGGATGTGAGAGAAAGGTTTCATAATTGCTGATATGTATTGCACACCACCTAACGCGGAAACAGGATAAACCTGTTTAACCATATACAGGCAGAAAACGTCACAAGGCATGTTTAGGTCTGTGACCTTTTTTTCTGAATCCATAATACATATCCTAAACTCATAGAATCCTTTAGTAATGTTAGAGGAAACATAAAATGAGAACGATTCAATTCAATATTGAAGATGTGCACTATGCTGTATATAGGTAAGCTTTCACATGAGCAATGAGAATATATGCATACATGTATGTGTGTATCTATATATATATATATATATATATATATATATATGTATGTATGTATGTATGTATGTATGTGTGTGTATGTCTGTATTTACCACTGAACCTACAAATATCACATAAAGGCTCAACAATCAGAGGACAACAACTTTTGGCAAAACAGATTTTATGGTTATGTCTGTATTATGGTTATGAACAAAAAGAGTCATCGGTGGCTCAATCTATTAATCTTTTCACCATTTTTTTCCTTTGATATACTGAAATGATCAGCTTTTCAGAAGCATGAAACTATGATCATAAATATCTAAAGTTCCAAATAAATTCTCAAATAACATAAGGAGTGTTTGTATGAATCAGATTTTGACCCCTGTTGACAGTTCATTTGAATTAAATTTTCCTTTAAATAATTGAATTTTAGCATCACGTGATAGGAGTATAACAGCAAATAGAAGTAATGGTAAATATCAAGCCACATTAAGATTGAACTAGTATTATCATGGTGTGGCCACCCATGCATGTGCTCAAGTTACAAATACCTTGCATTGGATGCCAACAAGTCCTTCAATCAATTTCCACATGACTAAATGTTAGCATAAATCAACTAGACGACTTACCTTGACAATCTTGGCACCAGCATTATACGCAGAGAATATCTGAAAAATAACAGTTCAACACATTTAGTGCCCCCAATAAATACATACGTACTTATGCCAGATCTAGGCTTCTTACTACACGGGGGATGTTTTGATTTCTGCTTATCATTTACATGAGTTACACATGCATATTTGTGTGTGTGTGTCTGTGTGTGAATTCGTGCTTACATGTGTCACATAAATGCTTAAATCTGAAAAAGGATGTTAGAAAACGAAATAAAGGAATTTTAGGTGAAAAAAGAGTTTCACCAAAACTGTAAGCCTAAAAAAGTGAAGCAAAAAGAGTTTTCTTACTTCTGTTGGCGTCATTACTCCAGGTATGTATAAAATATCAGCATCTTGAACATCAACTATAATGTCCTGATAATGTGTAAGAAGGTTTAGCACATTAAAAAAATTGGAGTGTTTGAAACATGTAATTTTTATGTATAGTTAGGCCAAGCTTCAAAATGCAAGCAACGCAACAAATGGCGAAGAAGTATTCAAGAAAAAGGAGAAAAAATGAAAGAAAAGACAGAAAAGGATTTACGAATCAATATCTGCAATATTAGAAGATGGACAGAAATAGAGATACAATCTCAGAATTGTCAGCATATACCTTCACCATAGCAGGACTCATAAGAAACTTGGCTCCGGCATTTATAGCAGTTTTGGCATCCTCAGCATTTAAAACAGTCCCAACCTGCTTTCAAGTGATTTAAAATTAGTTCTGGAAAATTTCTCTAGATTGACAATAGCATGTCTTCTAAACTATCTTAGGAATAGGTTTGCCCTTAAGTAGCTACACCAGATTTAGGAACTACATAGCTTTCTGCCTGTATTACTAATCAATGTATTGAATAGCACTGAAAAGTCAACAACCAGTAGCTTTGTGCCGATGAACCTCTCAGAAAGGCTATACTTTCTCAATCACATTTGGTACTCAAGGGTACATATTCATATAAGTTTCTGCTTTACAGATACACTAACAGTCAACAGATAGATCTAACATGAGTTTTCATAACTAATATGCAACATTCTATGTTTCCAACACTGAAAAAAAGGTGCATGAATCTAAGAGTAACTAGTGAGATCATTACACCAAAGGCCTTGGTAGGATACTCCTTAACCAGAGTCTGCAAGACCTGAGCAGAAAAGAGAAACAAGGCTATAAATTCTCAATCCAAAAAGGAAATTTTGGGCAGAAAAATAAGAAAGATTGGATCTTTGAACAACCTCAAACACACCCGGAGTAGACCTCACAATCTCCAGCTGTAAATCAGGAGAAGAAACTTTTAGAAGTCCATTGATAGTAAAGCCATAACTAGATTCAATTTCAAGACAAGTGCTATAGGGAAACTTCATTCTAGGCAACATATATGCAGTAACCACTTCAATGCACAAGACCAACATCGTGATTTTATAGTTAGAAATTTTGGGATAAACAAGACTTTTTTTAATACAAAATGTAAACAGAAAGATATATACAATCAAGAATATAGATTTGACAATTTTAAACACGACATTGAAAACTGATAGAAAAAAAAAATGATACGATTTAAAATTTTAACAAAAATTTTCGTGTTTTACACTTGTTTGACGCGACACAAACACATACACAGACACAAATTTCCAGGTGTACATGGATGTAAACTAAAATAATATCTTTAACAAAATATAGAAGAAAACTGCTCACAGACTGAAAAGAAAAGGAACAATAAATACAGTGTGATTGCAGGTAAATTGAAGGAGATTATTGTTAAAAATTCAAAGACTTACAACTGCAATGCCACCATTTACAGCAGCACGAGCAGCTTCCATCGCCTGCTCAGCACTATATATATAAAAATGGTAAAAGCGAGCTCTCAGTCACAGAACCCAAAGAAAATAAAGAAACCCATAATCCCAAATATGAAAATAAAAGCAATATCTAGTTACCGACTTGCCCAAGAGAAAAAGTAAAAGAGTGAGTAGTAGTTGCCTGTTGGCACGAAGGCAGGCAATGACAGCAGAGTCTTGAATGAGAGAAAAAGTATGGTTGTGAGAAGAGGCAGAGGAAGAGGAACATGGCTTGAAACGAGGAGAAGGCAATGGAGAACTACTACCACTCCAAGAAAATGGCCATTGAGGTTGAATTCCAGAAACACAGGGCAAAGTGCATGCGAAAACCATATCCACTTGAGATAGATGCAGAACAGAGTTACCTCGGTTTGGGTTCGGGGCTAGAGAAGGCAAAAACACCCGAACCCGTCGGGTTTCGATCCGACCCGATCTTTTAGGGTCGACTTTTTTTTTAAAAAAAAATCGGGTATCGGGTCGGTAAAAAAATTTTCGAGTTCGGGTCGGTGTCGGATTTTAGGCAAACTCGATCTGATATATATAAAAAAATTTATTTTTTAATTTTATATTTAAATTTATATATTTTTATATATATTTAATTTTATATTTATATTTAAAATAATATTTTATTAATTTCGGGTCGAATCGAATCGAATTTAATTTTATATAATGTCGGATTGAATACGAGTTCGAATATTATATATTTAAAATCAGATCAAATTCGAAACGAGTAAAAATTCGTCCCGACCCGATCCGCTGCCATCACTATTCGGTGCTGACTCTTTTAAACTAACATGTCCTGTAAAATTATTTCATATATTGGTTAGTGGGTTTTTTTTAATAAAGTAATATATGTTTCAGTTTTTCAAAATTATTTTTTAAAGCTTTCGTATATGTATTTTCGGTAAGTTAACTTACTAAAAATGCATATGAAATTTTTTTTTAAATGTTACATTTAGATTTCAGAAAAAATATCATTTGAAAAAAAATATATCTTACAAAAATTTTAAAATTTTCAAATATACAAATCTAAAAACTTTTAAAAAAATTTTCAATATATAAATTCAAAAAAAATTTTAAAATTCTTTTTGAATTTGTAAATCCTAAAACTTAAAAATGAATGAGGTATTAAGAGAAAAGGAAAAAATAATTAAATAATTTTACTTAAAAATAATTTTAAAATATAAAAATAAAAAATGATGATGTAAATAAAATCTCAAAAAGAAAAGAAAGAGGCACGTTTTCTTTGTTACTTGAGACAACCTTGCCTTTGTTAACTGTAAAGACCAAGCTGGATAATATGAGCTAATTTTAGCACTTGAATCGAGTATCTCTATTGATACGTGTAGATGTGCAAACGAGCAAGCCTGGGTATGTTCATTAAGTTTAGATTTTTTCGAGTTTAAATTGTTTTAGATTTGGATATTTTGAGTTTAAATTTGTCTATTTTTATTATCATTTTATATTTATATTTATATTTTTTTTAATTCAAATTATTACTAATTTAAGCGTAAATTTAATAATTTAAAATATGATACAATAACACAATACAAATACGATATGAATATATGACACAAAAATAACGTAACTTAAAATTTTAACAATAATTATTTTTAAGTTTAACAAAATTAAAAAAATATATTTTATATTTTCATATCCACATGAATTATAATATATAATTTTTATATAAAATATGATATAAATATATAAATTTTAATATTTTACACGACACAAATACATGAATCATCAAGTTTTATTTTTAAAAGTATTTAGTCACTGTTTGCAGAATCACAGACACACTATTAACATTTTTTTTTTAAAAGTTAAAAAAAAAACATTCATTTTCACTAAAAATTATTTTTCTTCAAAAACGTTAAAAATAAAAATAAAAATACAAGCTAAAAGTAAACAACGTCTTTCTAAGCTCAATTTTCTTTTTAAATTTTTTAACTGATAATGAATATTTTTAATTTTTATATCATAATTTTTTAATCAAAATAATTACATAAAATATTTGTATAATTCATAATGTTATTTATAAAGTTTTAAAATATTTTAAAAAATTAACATTTATCCGAAAATTTTATGGTTGAACCTAGACTTTAGATTTTAGGGAAAAAAAAACCTAATATAAATTCAAACTATTATATATCCAATTTGATTGAAATAAATATGATTATTATAAGTATAAGATATCAATCAATAAAATGGATTAGACAAGCAAACTTTTGCTTGTATTCTAAAATCTCAGGGCAAGCCGCCGAGATGGGAAGGTTGAAGTAGGTTTATTAACTTAATTTTGCTTTCAACCAATATTTTCAAAGAAGAAAGTGATTAGATTATCATAAAAAGTAATTAATTCTACTTGTTTTTTGAATTACGATTATACAAACTATTGACTTTGAACAAAAATTGACAATTCATGTATTTATATTACATAAAATATTGATAATTCATGTATTTTATTGTAAAAAATATTATTAATACATGCTAAAATTCATATCAATATAAAAAATATATATAATGCATTTTTTTTATGTTTTAACTCAATTTATATATAATTTTTATTAAAATTTTAACCCACACTACTTTTATTTTTTTTATGTTATATCATCGTATCATAATTTAAATTATCAAATCTTGAAAATTTTAAAAATCTCAACATACTTTAATTGACATAAGGGGGAAAACATTAGAAGAGAAAATGTGATAAAAAATAGTAAGAAGTAAAAATTGTTAGGCAAAAAGCTTTAAATCAATTGACCATTCACACTAGCAAAAGCAAAATTAAATGATCAATCAATCATATGAAAAATAATAATTTAACATAATTCAGCTTAATCGACTTACGTCTATTGATAAAAAAAATCTATTAGTTGTAAAAAATTACATCAAAATAAATCAATCTTACTCATAATTAATATCCATAGATTTTCTCATTTTTCTCTAGTCTTATGAAATATTCTCAACTTAAATAAATATATACATATGTGTATTCTTGCACCATATATATGTAGACTCTCTCATTTAAATATATATACTCATAAGACGTAAATTTTTTGTAATCTTATGATATGTTTATACCATAAAACCGTAACTCTTTTACATTGAAAGAGAAAATATGATAAAAAAAATGGTGAGAAGTAAAAATTGTTAGGCAAAAAGCTTAAAATCAATTGAACATTCACACTAGCAGAAACAAAATCAAACAATCAATCAATTATACAAAAATAATAATTTAATATGATTCAGCTTAATCGACCTAAGTCCATAGATAAAAAAAAAAATTTACTAGTTGTAGAGAATTACATCAAAATAAATCAATTTTACTCACAATTAATATCTATAGATTTTTCATTTTTTTCTAGTTTTATAAAATATTCTCAACTTAAACAAATATATACCATGTGCATTCATGCATCATATATACATAGACTCTTTCATTTAAATATTCACACTTATTAGAAGTAAATTTTCAGTAATCTTATGAGGTATCTATATCATAAAATCGTAATTCTTTTACATTTTTTTTATATCTAATCCTATAAAAATTTTACCTATTTATAAGTATACAAACTTATCTATCAAAAATTTCTTTTATTTTAAAATTTTTTTTCTGTAAATTTTTATCCATCTAGTAATATCAAACCAATATTAAACAAATTAGTTACGAAATTTGAGTCTTTCCGTCGAAAACAATTAAAACCATAAGAATGAAGGCAAAATTCTAAGCTGCTGATAATAAAGAATTCGAGAGTACAAAGCTAGCATGCATATTGATCCAAATTAACACACACTTTGCATTGATTAATTCAACGTGAAGTTAGTTACCGGCCTGCCTTTTAATCTCATTAGACTATTCACAATAGTTTTAGGGCCTCTTTATATGCATAATTCTTCTCGCCACGCATGCAAAGCATAAGATATACCTAAAAGACAGCTGTGAGAAATCCCTTAATTTCTACAAAAATTATTTTGTTTAATTTGTATTCAATTGAATTCCACAGTTGGATTGGATAAGTAAGAACCTGAAATCTGTACCTGAAGCACTTTCCTGTTCTTCCTCAAAATCTGCATTTATAAATATCCAATCTCTCTGAAACTTCTCATTCATCAATCAGCTCATTAACACCATTGCTTCAGCGTCAACTTCATTCAGTCAATCTTTTTGAATCGAGCTTTACTCAATACATCTTCCCTTTAAGCCAGTTCAATCAGATTTATTTACATCGAACCTAATAAATTCATAAAAAATTACATTTTCACTGCCTAAATTTTCTCGTTTTAAGTACATCATTGTCTCAATTTTCTCTAGAGCACAAAAATATTGAAAATGATGAAGCTTTCTAGTCCTCTTCAAGGAATTATTCTGGTTCTCTTTGTCGTGTTAGGCATAAATTCAACATCTGCAACAAGAAACTATAATGTGCAGAACTTTGGGGCTAAACCGAATGGTCGGACAGACTCCACCAAGGCCTTCCTCATGGCATGGAATGCAGCCTGTGGCTCAGCTGACTCAACCCTCATAAATGTATCAAAAGGGCGGTATTTGCCTGGTTCTATAGCTTTTAAAGGCCAATGCAAAAGCCCTCAAATTACTATAAAAATTGATGGCATCATGGTGGCTCCTGCAGATTATCGAGTACTAGGCAAATCTGGCAATTGGCTTAGCTTTGAAGGCGTCAGCCACGTTTCTATCATTTGTGGTGCACCAACTGTCCTTCCGGAGCCACGATTTCAATCATTTTTTTAATACATATTTTTTTATATTTGAGATAGTCATGATTTAAATTTGATGAATTAAAGGGTAGTTTAGCGTTATTATTACAATTGGAAAAAAAAATGAATTGAGAAAATTGTGTTTAAAAATTATGATAAAAAATAATTTAAAAATTTTAAGTATTTGTATTATTATAAAAAAATTAAGTAATTAAAATGTTTAAAAATAAATATTAAAAATATAGGGATAATATAACGATTTTCTATTTCAAAAACACTTTTTCACTACAAAAGGATAAGACTTTTGTTTTGATTTACAAACCAGATTTTTAAACTGAAACCATATTTTTTTAGTTGTTTAACATTGAGAGTGGTCTAAAGCAGCTTCTGAAAAATTTAGATATGTGAATTCTTGTTTTCCTATCCGTTTATTTTATTTTTCATATGAATAAAATATAAAAATTATTATATTATAATACGTATTGATACATCGAACATAAAACATATTAATTGATTTTTTATCAAATCCATATTACTTTTATATTTCTTTATATTGTATCGCGTTTAAAATTAATAAATCTACAAAATTTTCTTTATTTGTTCTACACAAAAAAATCTCATTACTTGTTTCAATTTTTGAACATTAATTCCAAATTTTTAGATTAAAATAATTTGACCATTGTATATGAAAACATTTTTTTTTTCTAAAGATTGTAGGTATCAAGAATAAAAATTAAAGATATCGCATATAAAAGTGTTCGAGGAACATCATCATCAACGGTAGCTATAAATTTTGATTGCAGAGCCAAGAATCAATGCAAGGGAATGAGATTGGAAAATGTGAATTTCACATCTTGAACAAAGCTGCTCAATCGTCTTGTAGAATTGCTGTTGGCAAAGCGTCTGAAGTTGTCCCGAAGAGTAAGTGGCAAATTACGGGGCCATTGTTGGACGTAAATTATATATTGTTTCAGATATTCTGATGAAATTTATTGATTGATTTATAAAATCCTATATTAAGGAATGTGTTCGTGACGCATCTTTGGACGTCTGCAATTTTTTTAATTCAGAAAATGCGACTTTCTTTGTTAAAAAATTATATAATGCAATCTTCCCTCTTAATCCAACATGTAGAATTTTTTTTTTTTAATTGATATTATCAGATTTGAATCCTAATCACTAAAATTAAAAGTTCATTTTTTATAAAAAAAATATAAATTTAAATATTTTATATAAAAATTATATTATGAATAACTCTTAAATCATAATAAAATATTTGATTTGATAATTAAATTTTAAAAATTTCTAATATGATACGTAAAATATGAATCTATTAACAAATTCGATATTATTTATCTATTACATATCATCGTTTGATACTAACCACGTTAAAAATGAAAAACAATTAATTAACAAATTTTTAATTCAAATACCAAATTAAAAATTTTTAAAATTTAAATATTATATTAAATATTTTATTATAATTTAAAAATCAATCGTAGCATTACCCCTTTCGTATAATATGTAAACATTTTATATTATATAGTGCTGCCATCAAACCTGATCTCACAAGTGCAAGAATCATGTTCAAGCATGGATGTGGCAATTGACATGCATGAAAATAAAGCTTGGAATGCACCCATGCTTTTAGCACAAACTCACAAGTTAAAAAGATTGTATCACAAAAATTATTGATATAGTTCATACTGATATGTCAAATATAAAATATATTATTTTTTATTTTTATCAAATTTATATACGATTTGTGTTAAAATTTTAAATCATATCGATTTCATATTTTCTTTTCATAACGTGTCACCAAGTAGTATCAAAAATCGACAAATCTAAGTGCATCCATACTTTTATCACAAACTCAAAAGTTTCAAAAGACTACCAGTTTTAGTACCTGGCACTAGGAAGGAATTGTTCCTTTCTGGAATTTGGCCGGCGGCAAACTTAATCTTCCCATTGCTTAACTTGGTAACGTGCAAATGACAGCTCAAGTTCAGAGAACTGTCTAAAGAAAGCAGATGAAACTAGCAGACTACATTAAGTTAAAGCAATTAAAGAAACAGACAAGAATGTTGCACTTAAAAATCATGAACTAATGTTAATGAGCTAATCCAAACAAAACGAGCAAAGATCATAGTTAACACAGATTTTCTAAGGGCAATTCTGTTACACTAAGGAGCCATATTTTCTTGTTGAGTAATGAGCAAGTTCCGAGACTAGTGTCTTGTCGTTGCAAGAAGCTACCACCATTTTAAAGTTAGGTTAGCAAATGGTATAACAGAAAGAGAACAATGACAGAGATAAACAGAGGGAGAAAGAGAAGAGATGCATTTCGGTCATTGAGACCTACATAGGATATACTTCCATTCTCCAATGAGGTTATATCTTTGACTATTTCGCCTTTTCTCTGCCTTTCTACTCAGGTGCTAATCTGATATTCAACCGCTACCTTTTTCTAGGAGTCGTGCTCCATAACTACTTACCCTTCCTCATCATAATCTTCTTCATCCTCATCTAACCTTCTGCCAAGCTGAGCAAGTTGAAGAGGATCAATGGCCATCTTGTCCATATCTGAAAGAGACCAGCCTGGGTATTCTTCATGTTTAGTCTCTGTTGTAGGCTCTGCTGAAGAAGGCTGAGTTGCTGCCACTGCTGCTGTTGCAGCAGCTGACGCAGCAGCAGTTGCCACAACTGCTGAGGCCTTTGCATCCACGTTCTCATTTACCTCAGAATTCAGATCAAAGTTCCGAACAGCTTGATTGGCATCTTCACCAATTGCGTTCTCTTTCATCAGTTCCTTCGACTCAGAACCATCATCTATCATCATTCCAGGGGTTGAATGACTTTTGTTACTTTGCTGAAGAGTTGAGCAGGGTTCTGATTCTATTTCGCGATGAGAATCTCTTTCAGCATTTCGAGCTCCTCTTCCACGTCCCCTACCTCGTCCCCGGCCTCTTCCTCTGCCACTGGTGCCTGCATGACCAACATCATGCTGCATAGAATACATGTTAAGGAAGTCACTTATTGAAAGTAATGAAATTTACATATATACATAAATACCATGCTCCTGATAATGACATTTGAGTGACATATTACACAAAGGACCGATTTAAGTTGAATTTATAATACATGTAAGAGGCGTCTCATTGAAAGTATTACAAACATTTAAAATAACATGCATTTCAGAGAACAAACCCAGTAGTTCTTATGCAGAAGTATCTAACATAACACTGAAGTTCAGCAATTAATTTATAACTGGATAACTTGTTGTCAGAGAAGAAAACATTTAGCATCATCATTCTTAAAGTTGCACACAAACTCATCCTATGTTCTATATTCTTATTGAGTGTATCTCTATACACACACATGTTGAATAGAAGCCATCTTACCATTCTGCTCCTCTTTGATTCTTCATCACTGTCGTTGACTTCATCTCCAGCAGCTTTCCTGGAAGAATGATATGGAAACATGTCACCAAATAACTAAATCCCTTTACGAATTAAAATGTGAGAAACAAGAAGGAAGCCAGCCTTTCTCTAACCTTCTCCTTGAAACTGTTCGGTCATCAGCAGCAGCAGCATCAGAATGGCCATGACCATAGTCAGGAACCCGGCTGACAATGTCCCTCAGAAAATCAAATACATTAAAGCTCTGTACACAATGCTTTCTGCAGTTTAGTTGGACACTTAGTTAGACCAATGCACAACACATTGAAAATATATAACTCTAGGGGTAACAAAGAGCAAGATATGAAGCAACATCATATGATACCATGGTGATCAGAAGACTTGTGAAATGAAAAATGTAGCTTGATATAGAAAAGGATAAAAAAGATTATTTTTCTCCCAGATCACAATCATCATCTACAATGATCTTCATAATAGATGTGTGTCTAATATTTTGTGATCCAAAGAGAATGAAATCCAGACCAGGTCCAACATAAAATTAAAATCTTTTAGGAATCAAAATTGTGAGAAAGGATAATATCTCTTGATAATTTTAGTACAGTAGTTTCTATTATTGAAATCAAAGAAGAACACATTTTAAGAAACTTTCTATGCCTCCATTCAACCCTAAACCCCCAAAAAGCTCTTGTATGACAACATGAAAGGACGTTGGTTCATCACAGTGGAATCTTGATACTCTCATATCATGTTATTTTATATTAGTTTGCAGTGATGTCGATGTTCATGGTTTTCCATGTGTTTCTTCATTTACTTCACTCTTGATATGATATTGTAGTAATTTTCTTCTCTTATTGATAAAGTGCATCTTTTAGGGAAAAAAGATTAAACAACTTCTATATCAACAAAAAGAAAACAGTAAAGAAAAAAAAAGCACCTCAGCAAATGTACTTGCCAAGTGGTAATTTGCTTGTAAACTAAAATAATTACAAGAAGCTTTTACAAAAATCTTCTTACAACTTGTAATTGAGATTAAAAAGAAAAACAAAAGAAGCTCAAAGTTAGTAAAAAGCAAAGCAGTAATTACAGGCCGACAAAGGGTTCAATTTAAATTTAGGATTAGGATAATGTCTGCAAGTTGCGATTACGAGAGAACTAGAATATGGGTTATAAGTAAATACTTAAATCTGTTACTTCAATACATTCTTTGGGTCTTTGGTGGTATTGAATCTATTTTCTGTCCTCGGTCCTCTCTCTCTCTCTCTCTCCCCACTTTGTCTCACTCTCTTTTTTTCCCTATCACCTTCTTTTCTTTCTCTCTCCCTATTTTCTTTCCCACACCAAATCAATTAGAGTTTAACTTTTACTAAAGAAAGAGAAATGAAATGAAAGTGAGAATAAGTTATAAATGTATAGTAATAAACTACTAATACTTTTGCAAAAGCCTATAGTCAAAAACTTTGAAGTAAAACTCCAAAAAGCATCCAAGGCATTTAATGTGAAATCATATTTATATTGTTGCTATCTATATAACTAGTGCACATTCAGATAATCAAGAAAAGTGAAAGAAAATGGTCAAAGAGCATTTGTGCACGAAAACTTATATAAATGCAGAAATAATGTGAAATCCTCAAGTAGGCAACAGAAACTGCATGCTACAAAGAATAATGTTAATTCTTCACTTACAAATGCAATGAATTCATCGTCTTTGCTCCTCTTTGAAGGGTAATCTCATATGTACGATCACAAAGGTCTTGTAGAAACAATTCCAATGCTTTAGCTGCAAGGTAATAAAAAGAAGCATGAGCAAGAAATATACATGAATGGAGGAATTATTTAGGTAAATCATGAAAGTTACAGCCACTCACAAACTAAAACAGGCACTGCTAATGCAATCTTCCCAACATCTTCATCGGCTTGCATAATCTTTTTAATGCGAGCCTGAGAAACAAATATGTTTGAAAGTTTCAGCACTAATCACATCTGTAAAAATGATAAGAAAACCATAGATAAGGGAATATCATTCCAAGAAGATGGCTCCTAAACAGGGATGACAATGAGACTCATTGTCCTACAGCATATATAAAACATAAGAAAAACATTCTCCTTTATTTACCAAATCATTTAATCATTCTTTTATATTAATAGTACAGTGTGGAACCATAAAACTGTATATTTTAATTACAAGCAATCAACATTATCTATTAATGTCAGGATACCCTAATATAAAACAGCAGACCCTATGTTTCTGAGATCAGTAAAAAACCAGACAAGGTTTCTTAAACACTGAAGAGAGAATATCTAGATAAGAAGAAAAGATCATTGACACATCAATTTCCTTGTCTCTCCATTAACTGAGAACTTCACCTCACAGGTACTTGTAAGTTGCTGGTTTAATACCATCAACATAATGCAAATAAACTATCAAGAAGCTCACTGCTTTTAGCAGGTTCTAACTTCAAACCAATCAAGTGACAAGTACAAAAAGCACTCTAAGGATGTCAACGCCAAACTAGAACAGGATGATCAACATGAAACTAAAGTTCTAGAATTCAGTAAGTAAGACATATTCTGTGGCCTACCAACTATCACTTGACATATGATATGGCAATGTGAGATGATTACTATAGCGCTTGATGAAAAAAATAATTCTGAAAGATTTTCAAAGTAAGACTTGCCAGCAATTCTTTTAAACAACTCTCTTTTCCTGTTTCCAAGAAAAGGAGTTAAGGGAGAACAAACAAATCATAACCGACAATTGACATTTCAACATGGCTGCTTAGACAAGTGAGTCAAAACTGAAACATGCTCAGAAACCACGTAAACCACTTTGGACACCCTTCAAAGAATAATTTCTTTTCTAAAGAAACTAAAATATTCTAACCAAAGAAAATCAGCATTAAGTACGAAGACAGTTGATAGCATTTTTAGTTTGCAGAGAAACAAAGATCACTTGGAACCTTCTTATTTCATGTGAAGAAGAAACAAAACCGATTGAAGTACACATAGCCACATATTTAAAAGAGTTTGCATCCCAAAGCCAGGGAAAGAAACAAAGATTAGCATCAACAGTTTATGGTGTTCTTCACATTCACGTACCTTAAACCAACCTCAAGAACTAAATTAAAACACTGATCAACACTAGCATGAAAGAACTCAAAAGAAGCAGCAGAAAATTATCAACTTACCCTCTGTTTCTTTCATTCCTCACGCTAAAGAAAGAAATTTTGATCCCAGTTACATACACAAAATACAACCAACTCAAATGTTCCTAACCTAATTGCCATAATATCAATCAACTGAATTTGCTGCCAAATCACCCAATTTATCTGAACCAACCAAAGCGTAAAAAAGTATAATTCATGAGTCAAATCATATTAGGAAAATATAACCTCCATGGCTAGTAAAGATGGATCATTTTTGAAGAACCATCCAAACACATTAGTAAACCACAAAACAAACTACATGGGGTTCCCATAAAACAGCCAAAAAACAAAGAACCCTCCCTAAAACGACTATGAAAAACACAAATCCGATAACATACTCCATGAAAATTCCATAGAATTAAAACAATTATAAACCCTAATTATTGAAAACAGCATGAACTAATATATGGCAAACTAATGATGACCCAGATCACACAAATCCTATAAATCGAAATCGCAGCAACCAAAACAATCACAAAATCAAAAACTAAAAAAGACCCAGATTTCAGTTTCAGTCGAATCAATCAAAAATCACATACCCAAAACAAATTAACGTCGGATAAAACAAAGAAATTAAACAAATTCAATGAAAAGCAAAAACAAAATAAAAAAGCTTACAGCTGGGAAACGGGTATCGAGCTTCTTCCTCATGGTTTGGTTGTCAGATTTGGATCATTAAATTATTTAATTATTAAAAATAAAAATGCTAAACGAAAAAAGACAATCGATTTTTTTTTTAAAGATTACTTCAGAAGGAAATCATTGTTGTTATAATAATTTCAAAGATGAAAAAAAATCTAACAAAAAAAACCCAACTCAGATCCGAACAGTGCCTTTTCTTTTAGCTCACAAAAACCAAACAAAAATGAAAAGTCTTTGTTTCAAAACCGAATATCCCTCCGTACAAGTTTAAAAAAAATTAAAAGGCCAAAACGATAAAGATGAAAATTTTTTAAGTCAATTAGATATTAGTTGATAAATTCACAGTTTGGTTAATTTAAGGTTTGAACAGTCTAATGTCAGACGACCACGTTTGGAGGGTCGATTCTTTAATCGGAGATTCAAGGGAGAGGATTACGTTGGTTTACTCGTGTAATGAATTTATTGGGCTGTGTTCTTTGATTTCATGGCTGGCCACGGCATTTTATGGTTGATTTACACAGTATTTTTTTTCTTCATTTTTACCCTTAAAATTTTTATGTTAGTCAAAATAATGTTCTAAATACACTACAAAACCCTCTTTGTACACCCCAAAATTTTTTATCAAAAATACTCTATTAACAAAGACTAATTTTTAACCTATAATAAATAATAAAAATATCTTCAATAATTTATACACCTCAAAATCACTTAAATATATCTCAAAAATAAATTTTTAAGAGTTATATTATACTCTCTATAATTTATTTTCGATAAAAATATATGATTCTAAAAAATGAGTTTTCTAATAACACAATATAACTTTCAAAAATCCATTTTCGAGAATCATTATGCAATCTCAAAAATGGATTATCTAGAACCATATTTCTTAAAATAAATAATTTAAATAAAATAAATACATTTAATCCTAAAATAAATCAATCTATTTATCAGTATCTCGTACAAGAAAATCAAACGTGACAATAACAATGTCATCAATAGACTGGCAAATTCAACAATAAGGATTGATGGCCGAAAGATTAGAGGTTATTACTGTTGAATTTGTCAAACTGTTGATAACATTATTAAGGTTAACGTTATATAGGGTGTTCTAGCTTGGACTAGCATATATGCACATAAATAAGTTATCGATATGCCTATTCTTATTTGATCATATGTGCAAGTAGAAAAGGCATGTTAGTTCTCAAACATGCATTAGCATAAATGTGTTTTTATCTTGAAATCAAAAAATTAAGAACACCGTTTTATCTATGTAAAATTAGAAAACCAAAAAATGTTATTCTCAATTTTTTAAATAATCAAGAGAAATAATAAGTTTATGCCAAACATGTTGAGAATATTGATTTCAATTCTATTCGCACACATGATCAAGTAAATGGGTTTATAAGCTCATGATTAAGATTTCTAGAGAAATCAAGCTTCTTAAAAATAAATTTTCTAGAAAAGTCAAATCTTTTCAAATATTCATTTTCGAAAAGACTAAAACTTATTGAAAATGGATGTATGAGAAGTTTTGAATTTTTTCAAAAATAAATTTTTTAGAAGCTTTCACTTTTCTCAAAAATGAATATCTGAAAATCCTTAAAGTTTATTGGATATACATTTTCGAGAAACCTCAAAGCTTCTCATATATTCGTTTTCGAGAAATTTAATTTCAGAACCTTAAGAGAGAAAAAGAGAGAAAAGGTAGGAATAAAAAATAGGAAATGAAAGATGGGTTGTATTTAATATAAATAAGAAATTGGCTTATAAATTTATGATATATTCAGAAGTGGGGTGCCTAGAATAATAAATTGGGAGTAAATAGAATTCTCTAATGACTTAACTTTCATTTTTTCTTTTTGTAATTCATATTATTTTTTCTTATATAATAAATTATACAACAAACTAATAAATAAATAAATTTTATTATTAATTTTAATAATTTATTAACAAAACTATTATTTAAAAATATTTTAATAATTATTTATTAATTTTATAAACATTAAATCATTTAAAATATTATTGCATACAATTATTATTCTAATAGAACTCTTAATCGTCATTTTCTATTCTTATTATAATTCAATTCATCCCTATCACTATTTTTGTATTCAAGTAAATATCTTATCATTAATTTTAATATTATCGTTACAGTAATTAATCTCATTTTTATTATTATTTGTAATTTTATCAAAATCGATATTATTGCTTGTTTAAATAAACCCTAAATTGCATGCTCTAGTGAATAATTTTTAATTTTTAATAAAAATATACATGATTGAATTGTACCAATCAAGAAAATTTGGCAAAACAAATGGAGAAAATAGCTAGTTAATAAATGAGAACCCTCTTTAACTCTTGTCATTATATTATCCTAATTATTCCTAATGTTAAGCAAAGTTGAACTGTCATGAGAAAAATTCTTATGTTTAATTTTCCTTCCAACTCAAATTTAAACATGATTAATTTTGGGATTCTTTGAAGTCAAACAATGTTTGTGTGTCATATTATACACCAAAAAGTTACATAGATATTTAATCCAAAACTCATCTCATATATATAAATATCTCACTTATAAATCTCAAGATTATATTTGCTAAGTTTTAAAAGTTTTAAATTTAAAATATCTCATCTCATACGTGTAACATATCTTATCATAATTTAAGGGTTGGAGTAAATCAAACCTAATTGAATCAAATACATTACGTATCAGGCTTGAGTTTAACTCAATTCAAAATTTTGAAGTTGAAAACTTAATTCGAGTTTTTTTAAATTTCATTTACATACTCAAAATTTATTTTTTAACTTGATCTTACTGTAATTTATTTTTAACCAACTTTGTTCTTATACTTTGTTAGTGGTATTTTTGGATCTAAAGGACATATTGGTCATTCCTTTCATTAAAGATTGTTAGCAAACAGTTAGAAGTATTTTAGATTTTTAAGTCAACCTAATATATATAATATTAATTACATCAACTCCGTTATGTTACTATTCTGTCCCCCAGACCCATTTTCTTACAACTATAAATAGAGATATCTAAGTACCATACCATTCCCATTCTTTTTATACATTCTTATCTTTCTCTTTTTTTTATCTCCTTTGTACGGACCTTTGACTTGAGTGTCGGAGTGCAAGCACCAAAAACACTTACTACTTTTGCCTTTAACTATTTTCTTTCCTTTCTTGTGATTTCAAGGTTTTTACCTTACCTCAAAGTTTGACACCAACATTCTTAACGACGGTAAAATTAAATTCAATTACCATTTAAACAAGAACTATATATAACTTTCATGATATTTTTCAAAAGAAAATCATGATTTTTGAGACAAATTAAGGAAAAAATTAACAAGATAAAGAAAAAAGAAAAATGTCAACATAAATTGTGATTCATAATTTTTGTGTAAAATATAATATAAATATATAAATTATTAGTATTTTATATAATATAAATACACGAATTATCTGATGTATCTATATGAACTTAAAAATAATCTAAAGTATCGAATGGATGAATAATTAGTATTTTTACCCTAACAAATAAATTTATTCTTATGGCAATGAGTAAACATTAATTTATTAAAAGGTTGATGCATGAATTTTCGCCAAATATCATTGACTCTTTTATAGAAGTTTGACCTATCAAGTAAGCAATTGTTTTCACATACTAATTTGAAATACATCTAGATGAATTTGATGCAGGAATTTCCTAAGACACAAAATATCAAGAAGCAACAATTTTACGATGGGATTTCTTTCCATAATTGAAAGGATATTTCCTTAATTCAACTTTGATTATAAAACTAAGCATCTCTCTTAATTTTTCACCAAACCAAAAATATTTTGGCCATGCTTAGAATAGGTGAAGAACCATGCCCTTCTGAATCCTCTAGCCTAACAGCTACCTTAGAAGGAGTTGCACACAACACGGTTAATGAAGCTGTCAAAGAACCTGAAACCGAATCAAGCATTGGTGTTTCGCTTGATTTGAAGCTTTCTTTGAATGAAGATTCGCGTTCGTTATGCGAATCAGAGATTGAACTCAATCTTTTCACCCCTACGAACCCTACTTCGTCTCACACAAATGAGTCTGGTGTCAATGAGACTTCACAAGAAAGGCGATCTAATACAAACAAGGTTTTCTCATGCAACTTTTGCAAGAGAGAATTTTCTAATTCTCAAGCCTTAGGGGGACATCAAAATGCTCACAAACAAGAACGTGCATTAGCCAAAAGGCGTAAAGAGATCGATGTGAATGGTTTTGTCCCTCCACACTTTCCCAATTACCCTTATCCAAGAATTTATTCACACCCTTTTTATGGATCTTTGAATAGATCACCCCTTGGGGTTAGACTAGAGTCCATGATCCATAAACCTTCGTATCCATGGACATGGTCCAGCAGATATCATCTTGGTCATGGTTGGTCTAGGCAAGTCATGATGAACCCTCCTCATCTACCAAGTGCTAATCAAAATCTAAGCATCAACAATGGTGGATTTAGAATCCCAGGGCCTTCAAACTCTTCAAGAATTGTGGAAACTGGTGATATTTCTCAACCGAATGTTGCAGTAAATAGGCCAGTAGCTAGTGATTATCTTCAACCAAGCAATCCTCCAGGAAGTGATGATCACAAGGATGCGTCAGAAGTTGATTTGTCCCTTAAGCTTTAATTGTTGTTACTATTTTGTTTTAATTAGTTTCTAGTGAAGATTGCATGCTTGTTGTAGTTAGGTGTTTAAACTTTAGAGTTTAAACTTCCATGTTTATTTAATTTCTTGTTCAACTGCAGACACATTTGCATAAATAAATAAATGAATGAAATTAAAAGTAATATTTCTTTGCTTTCTCTCTTTGTGCGCGTGCGAATGCATGAATATACTACGAAAATATGAAATTTGAAAAAGAAAAGAAAAGGAAATTTAGATATATTTCCTTACTAAGTCTGATATTAATGGAAATAATCTATTTTATGATCACTAAGACGATCATTAACAATGATTATCTACCATAAACTTTGTTAATTTTTCTAAATATGGATTTGAAATTTGTGGAGAATATCGAAAGTTAAAATTCTAGATGCATTCAGTCAATGTTGAGAGTGTACTCAATGAAGGAATTAAGCCTAAACAAAACTTGAGATATCTCTAACTGTATAAAAAAAATTACCATTTCACTAATTAGGATGATAGATCAAATTTATCACTTACCTTCAAACAAATGCAATTTTATCATTGTACTTTCTATTTGAATTAAAATGACCAAAAGTTAAAATATTTCGTTATTTTTTCACATAATATTTTTTATCATTAACTTTTTACTATTTTTGAATCAAATTAAAACAAAAGTATATACAATTATAAAATTGAACTATTAAAAAATGAATGGTGAGTTTGATCCAACATATGATTTAAAATAGTAAATTTGAATTTTATCTCAATTACAATCACAATTGAGTGATTGAATTTAATATTGAGTGACAACGAAAATGTAAATTTAATGAAAATAGAATAACTTTTTGAGAGGTCTAGCCATATATAATAATAAAAATAATAATTGAGTTTTAATCAACCTTGCGTAATTTGAAAGCAACCAAGCCCAAAACTCACCATGCATTGAAGTTCAAGCTTGGAATAGAGTATTAATTGTGAATTCTTTTATACGTACCAAATTGTAAAAAATAATATAGTTCAGAGACTAAATTATATATTAACCCAAAATAAAACCAATTAAGTTTTACAAATTCATAAAGGATTTGATTGAGAATCTGTCACACATGAGAGTGACATAACATAATTTATTTTTGCAAATTGCCCAAAATGAATCACAAAGCAAATATATCAATATCAATAGGACTCAACCTCAGCATTAGCCTGCCACAAGAACGTAGCATCAGCATTCCCATCACTGCAATAAAGGCAAGGGTGCTGCACAAATCCCTGAGCCTCTAAAACCTTCCTAGCCATCATCACGACCTGTCTGTTGCTCAATTCACCTGAGTTCTGATTCAGTACCATCTGCACTGCATTGCTAAACGCCCCATACGCCTTTCCTCCAATCTCAGCAGCGTTCATGTCAGCTGATGTCTCATTTGCTTGGCATCCACTCAACAGAATCCCCTCATCCGCCTTCAATGGTTCAAATAAATCCGATTCGTGCTGGGGTATTCGGAACTTGAGACTGGCATCAGCACCAAAGGATTCTAACAAATGAGTTCCGATATCTGATGTGTTGATGCTTGTTAGTGATGTTAGGTGGTCGAGTATGGATTCCAAAGGGATGCTCTTGGCACTGTAGGAAACTATTGTGTTCTTATCAGTAGAAGGTCCAATTTGTTCTTTCTCTTTGTCAATTAGACCACCACTATGGCAGGAATCTGAAAGAATTGTCAAGCTTGCTCCTTTTGGCAATCGATTAACCAATTGCCTGAAGTCCACATCTGTCCGAAGGTGTTTACAAATTACATTAGTGACAATAATAAGAAGATAGACAACTGAGGAGGTATAAAGTATCATCTAAGGTGTAAACAAATACAACATTCTATGAATAATTCGTAAATAGGTTTGATTTATATTCATTTGTTAAGTTTAACAAACAATCATGAATAATATTTCAACGTTTGTTAGTTAAACGAGCAGATAACGAATATAATAAAATTTGTTTATATTCAGTTCACTTACATCTAAGAGTATAAACTAATCGTAAATAAATTCAATTTCTATACATTTATCAAACTTACCAAGAGATCACAAATAATATTTTAATATTAGTTTTAAATGATTTGATCTCGAACATAATAAAATTTCTTGGCTTCGTTTACACCTCTAATAACATCAATGTTATAATGCGTATAAATGGATTCCTCGTCTAATAATATAACCGGCAAAAACAGAGGAAAAAAGCCTTAATTACCAGTGATGAGATTGAAATCACAAGGCACGATTGCTTCATCCTGCCTGAGAGGATGGCCAGGTTTCAAGCTAGGAATTCTTGTCCCATGTCCACTATAATGGAAAAACAGGACATCCCCAGCTTCAGCCTGGTTCACCATCTTATCAAGTGCAGCCTTAATGTTCGCACCCGTAGGCAAAACCGAGGACCCTGGTGTATCGATCAGGAGCTGAACATGGCTAGGATCAAACCCAAATCTTTCCAGGAGCACGTCTCTCATGGTTACCACATCATTTATGCATCCATGCAACTCGTATTGGGTGTTGGGATAGTTGCAACCGACCAGAACAGCCAATCTCTTCTTGCCTTTGTCCATTAATGCTGGGATTTTAAGATCTATAAAACAATATTCTGAGGAAGTATTCTTCAATATTTTTCGTGTCTTGAGCTTGGGATTTATAGTAAGTGGATTTTCATAGTTGACTTGGAAAATAGTTCAAGCAACCTTCATTTCTGCCTTATTAGATGCCTTTCAAGCGTCGGAAGATCGCTTCAATCTATAAGTTTGTTCCACATATAGACATTTGGCTCAATGATACGTATTCCGAATGCCTGACTGCTTTAATCTCACTAAACACAAAAGCACTGAATATTTGATATTTATTCAATTTTGTATCACAAGGTATCACAAGGTATATATATATATAGATACATGCACACACACACACACACTAAAGCATTTGTCTCAATGATATGTATTTCAATTGCTTCAATATTGTTTCAATGTAGATCTATTCATGGGTCCGTCTAGGTTACTATTTGTAATCCTTTGTCAAAGTTTAATTCGGCCTTTCGATTTGAATAAGCTCAATTATTATTTAAAAAATATTTAAAATTTTATTTTATATAAATATTTTATACAATTTCAAAATTAAATTGAAATAACAGAAAAAAAAATTTTTTCTTAAAAAATGATTCAAGTCAAACTGAGCTTAAACTCAAAAATTCATATTTAGAATTCAATTCATGATCTAAGCAAGTAACTGTATCTATGAACAAATCTATTTTTGTCTAGTTTTTATAAAGAATTTACATATTTCATATCTGAACATTTCAAATTTAGTCTTTATAAAGTATTGACATATTTCATATCTAAATATTTGGTTGAATGATAGATTCCAATTGCTACTCTATATTTGATTTGCAAAAGGATTGAACAAATTCTTTACGTTCACTTGACCTTTGGAAAAGCTTGGGAGAACAATTTCACAAATTTTATAAGACCCTTGCTTTGTTCTATCAGCATTGGATTCATAATCCCCCCACCAGGGTTCAGCTGCTTTTTGCATATAAAATTTTTTTTTAAAAATAATTGTACTCATATTATATTTTGTGTGTTTTCTTTCTTTGTTTTGAAATTAACTTAAAAATTTTTGTATAAAATATAATATAAATACATAAATTTTAATATTTTATATAATATAAATACATGAATCGTCAAGTTTAATTTCACATCTCAAACTTGCATATATCATGAAATTATATTGAGACCAAAAAATTTTTTTAGAAGTAAAGTCCGAACTTATTATTAATTTTTTAAAGCTTTACAAATTCCAGAAATCAAAACTTGATGGCAAGAAAAAAGAAAGAAAGACAAAATGGGGACCTAATAGTGATCCCAAGAAACAAAACGTTCAAGAAAATCAAAGAAAAATAACATATCCATTCGGCATTTTGACTCTGCTTTGTGTTAAAAGAAGATACCCTCTGAACTCTGCTGATATTTCATTTTACATTAGCACCTACCTTCATTTGCAACATGGGCCGCATGTACTTTGGGCGCTTTCAAAACCTTTCAAGTTTGACGAGCGATTAGAATTGAATAAAAAAATTAAAAATCAATTTAAAATTATAATATTTAATTCATAATTCAATTATATTCTGATTCGAACTAAATTTAAATATTAAATTAAAATTAAATTAAAAAAATAAAATACCAATCAAAATCAAATTATATATTTTAAAATTTTTTACAAAAAAATAATTATTTTATATTTAAATCTATTTAAATATATAAAAATTACATAAAAATAATATATAAAAAATAAACAAAATTGAATTTAAAAATCGATGAAAGAAACTAAACCAATAAAATTTAATTCAGATCAAATCAATTTTAAAAAATAATTAGATCAAGTTTATAAAATTCATAATATTATATATTATTCATATTATCTGAAAAACTAAATCGAGTTCAATTCCGAACCGTTGATAGGTACGTTGATACCATATGAATGATCATAATCCATGGCACTGTTAAATTGAAAGAGAAGCTTTTGTGAAGCAATAATGCAACAATAAAACCGCTGCATTTCATCAGGTTAACACGTATACAAGATAAAGATAGATTTTCCAGCGACATTCTTATCATAAAGATAGGTTGTCCAGAAAGCATGAGTAAGATCAGCACATGACGCAAGGTTCAAACCATATTCATAATAAAAGATAATATTAGATTCAACCACTCACGAAACACAGCCACATTAGCTTCAAGAGTGATCTGGCTCCATGTGGCTCAGATGGCTAATTCAAAATCGTAATATTGAAATCAAACTAATTCTAAATAATTCGTTTCGAATTGATTTTCCTCATTCAAATTAAATTTAAATATTAAATATATAAATTAAATTTAAATCAACTTTCAAATAAAAAAAGAAAAGTCAAACCACACTTAATTATATAATTTTGTTAATTTTTACATTTATTTTAACCTTTTATAAAATAAAATAATTATTTTATACTTAAACATATGAAAATAATATATAAAAACAAAAAAAACTAAATTTCAAAAACTAATGAATTAAATCAGTAAAATTTAATTCAAATCAGATCAGTTTCAAAGAAAAGTTAGATTGAATTTTAAAAATTCATAATATTATATATTATCCAAAAAATCAAACCGAATATCATCCAAACAATTATCATCTCTATGAATGATCATAATGCATGGCACCGTTAAATTGAAAGAGAAGCTTTTGTGAAGCCATAATGCAACAATAAAACCACTGCACTTCATCAGGTTAACGCATATACAAGATAAAGATTGATTTTCCAGCAACATTCTTATAAAGATAGGTTTTCGTAAGATCAGCACATTATGCAAAGTTCAAACCATATTCATAGGTTTTCGTAAGATCAGCACATGCTGCAAAGTTCAAACCATATCCATAATATAAGATAATATTAGATTCAACCACTCACGGCATACAGGCACATTAGCTTCAAGAGTGATCTGGCTCCATGCGGTTCAGATGGTAAGTCCCTTCGCTCTTATGGTGCACCTCGACCTTGAACTTCTCTTCCTTGTCTCCCCTCTTGACCTTGAGAAGCATGTCAAGTTTGGTGAAATCTTCGACCACCTGTTGCATATTCAAACCTTTAGCACTCAAATGAAACTGCAGTCACTTTTGCTTTTACTAATTCTACCTTTGGTGCATAGAGTTTCAAACTGTTATTCAAACATATGTCAACTAGATTGGATGATTCTAGTTCCTAGTCCAATGAAGTCCTAAACGCAGTAAAATGTTTGCTTTTATTAATTCTACCTTGTTTCAAATTGTTCTTCAATCATATGTCAACTAGATTGGATGATTCTAGTTCCTAGTCCAACGAAGCTTCAAGTACCATAAAATGTTTGCTTTTACTAATTCCATCTTTGATGCGAGCATAGAGTTTCAAATTGTTCCTCAACCATATGTCAGCTAGATTGGATGATTCTAGTTCCTAGTCCGATGAAGGCCCTGTTTGATCACGCATTGAAAATGAACATTTTCAATAATTTAATTTTTTAAATGCATTTGATAATGCATTTTAAAATAGACTTAATAGAACTTTTTCAACCAAAAAGTGTTAATAAAATAAGTAGATAAAGCCCTACTTATCACTTAATGCATAAAACATTCAATAAATTTTCTTTTACATTTTTTTAAACTATTATCCCCAAAAAATAATGCTTCATTACCAGCAATGACTATAAAGGTAAATTTTTAAAATGATAAATTTTCAGAATTCAATATTTTACAATTATCAAACAATATATTTATATTCAGCATTTAACTTTAATTAAAATACCAAACAGTTTTATAATTCAAATTCAGTATTAAAATTTTTTAACACTTAATTTTTCAGTTTATCAAATAGAACCAAAGTCTTAACCACCGTAAAATGTTTGTTTTTACTAATTCTACCTTTGGTGCAAGAATAGAGTATCAAATTGTTCTTCAACCAAATGTCAACTAGATTGGATGATTCTAGTTCTGAGTCCAATGAAGTCTTAAACACCGTAAAATTCAAATAAAAATTTCAAAGCAAAATCACCATACAGAAAAGTGACAAACCAGAAGCCAGTGTTGAGGAGATGGGTAATGAAGTGACAAATTGAAGACTCACAAGCCATGCAGAAAGTAAAAATATGAAGATGGTTACATAACATTGTATGCACATTCTCAACAAACATACGACTAATAAACATACAAAAATATGGGATAAATTATGTTCAGAAAAGCAGTAAGCATAGAGCAACCAGCACTCTTAGTTCCATAAGTTACTCAATACACGGAATTAAACTTGATGCAGTTCAATATAACTAAGTCAAATAAGTACCCACTCCCATTTACGATAAAACAATTAAACCTTTTTAACATAAGTAGTTATTTACTGCTTACCTCAGCCTTGGCATGAACTATTTCTTTAAGTTCATAAGGCACCAGGGAATTAGATCTCTGTTGTATGGTTTTGATAGCATGATTTGCAGCATCCTGAACTACGGGATCATGTGTTGGCACAGCTTGCAATCCAGGGCCATGGACATCTAATCATAATTTAAAACAAATTGTCAATAAAATTCCGGATGAAACTAACGTACAAGACACTTCCTCTCCAACAAATTGCTAGATCATTACGAAAACATTTGGCATGAGGACATTGTTCATGCTATAAGTAGCTTGGTGAAACACAAATCAATAACCATAAGCAACTGTAATATCCCCATTTCTTCTACCAAATTGAACCCAAAAGGCCTTAAAACCAACATTAACTTAAAATTTCTCTCCTAAACAATAAGGCTATATCTAAAATTAAATTTTCCATGAGGCCTCATTATGTGATTTACTGCATCGACAGTACATCAAATATAAATCTTATATCTAAAGACTACCTCATTAATGAATAAATTATCTATTAAAACTACAATTTTTTACTATGAGGCAAGTTGTGGTTCATTAACAATAATAATGCATCTAATAGACTAACAATCTAAACAAAAAATAAAAACGGGTATCAATAAAAAATTGCAAAGCATTTTTAAACATAATTATTCATATAAAAAACAAAACAACGCATATTCTTATTTACAACATTAACTTTTTAATGGTTCAAAGAAACACATTTCCCAAAAAAAAACATTTATTTTTAATTTCAAGAAAACCCAAAAATTTCCTACAAAAATCATAATCATTAGCAATTAAAAACAGAGAAAAGATAAGCTGAGTTATGAACCACCTCTCTTGACACCAAGATCAGAAGCAGTACAAGAAGGGGAATCATCAGCATCACCAGCATGTTTAAACTCCTGCAATTCCTTAAAGTTCATCCAAGGCTTGACCCACACTTTAGCTTCATAAAGCTTCTTTTTGCCGGCATCCATAGCTTCCACCGTCAAATGGTGAAGTGTCCCAGCCACCACTTGCTCGGTGGCCTTCACCACCCTCACAAACTCAACCATCGCATTCTCTTTCTTGTTGTGCTCGTCGACGGCGAATCGAGCTAGGTTTTCGAGCTCGGCGCTGTTCTGGGATCCTTGAGAAGGGTGGACTCCTCCTAAAGTGGTGGTGGTGGTGGCCATTGGCTGAGAGCAAAGGGTTGATTCAGCAGAGAAATTGTGGACAAAGAGAATTGGGATTGCTATGGAAAACAAAAAGGAGAGTGGGAAAATGGGATTTTGCATTTGGGTTTACATAGAAATTTTTGGATAAATTTGGAGAAATCTTATAAATTGATTTGAATCAAAGCTTCGGCCTTCTGGCTTTATGCTTTAGCTGAGAGAAGAATATTGAAGCGTAAGTCTTTGACACGTGACTATAGTGCCACGTGTCAGTTGAAATAAAATAGTTTTGCTTAATTTGTAAGCAATTTCAAGGGCCCTCAACCCTTCGAAAAACCCAAAAAAATTTGCTAATTTTGAATAGAAATTTTCGAGTCCGATCCAATTCAAGACATTAAACTATTAATGTTTTAAAATGTACTTTAAAATATTAAAATATTTATATTTTCATAATTTTTAATATTTTAAAATATATTTTTTGAAAATTTCGAGCCTGATAAGCTGGATTGGATAAAGCTTTCGACAGAGTTTTTAGAAGACTGATTAGGCCTAGTCCTACCCATAAACAACTTCAATTACAATTAAATTACTCATAATTTATAATTAAAATTCATCAGAAATACTATATAGAATTATATTTATAAATGATGAATCTTTATATAATATTAAATAAATATTTACATGTTGTTATACGTTAAATTTTTGTTATTTTATCATCTCTATTAATTATTTTTTATAAAATTTATTTAATTAAAAAAATTAAAAATTAAATTGAGGTGACATGAATACTTAAATTAACATATTATTCTTGTAAAATATATGTAATAAAATATAAAAATCCAAAATAAAAAAAATTATAAAAAGTAAAAAATAAGCTCATAGAGATTGCTATATGAATACTCTTATTAAATTTAAAATATTAAATTTTTAAATTAAAATATCAAATAATAATTTTATTAATATAATATATTTATATATAAATATAAAATTAAATTAATAATTAAATATATATTTATACATATCTTAAAATGAGATGAGACAAACCATCCTAAATATACTTCCACCCTATTCTTGTATCTTATAAAAAAAAATTAAGAAGTGAACAGAAAATTCTAGAAGAATAATGTAGGTAATCAGACTGTTACTAGTTCACAAGAATGAGATTTTTTTTTTTTTTAGCAAAACATTGTAAAGTGACGACGTGGACAATGGGTTGCAATTGAGGTTGAAGGGATCTGTCAGTGTAAAGTGTTTGGGTAGTTTGATTGACAAGTGCCATGCTGTGATAGAGATGGAATATCAAGTTTTGGCAGTTTGTATCACAAGTGCCATGGTATGATAGAGATGAAATATCAAGTTTTCCAAAAATGAACGGCTATTCTTAATGAGAAAACAAATCCCCTTTTTTTAGAAAAAAAAAAAAGCAATCTTGATTAAAACTCTTTTTGTATTATAAGAAATTGATTACTGAGTTGATAAAAGTGTGGACGAAAAACATAGAGTCAAAGCATAATTAGGGAGTATTTGGATCGAAAAAATTCATGGTTTTTTTTTGTTGAAAATTTAGTAATGAGTATTTAATTTTTATATTTAATTCAAAATAATTTAATTATGAAAAAAAATGTCAAATTTTTAATCGTACTTAAAATTTTGAAATAAAAAATCTAATCCTTTATATGGTATTTTAAGATTTAAAAAAAAAAACCTTATTTTTAAATTTGAATTAAATAAAAAATAATATAATAATTATTATCATTTTCAAAAATATATCTATAAGTGATCGAACTCAAATATAAATTTTTATATATAAAAATATTTATTTTTATATTATAATTAAGATATTTATTATAAAAAAATATCTTAAATAATCATTGATCTCAATTAAAACATATCATGTTTTCTTCATTGAAATGTTTTCATTAATAATTTAAAATAATTTTTTATTTATTTTCATTAAATAAAGTGATAAAATAAATTATTTAATGCGTTGGAGTTTTAAAAACGCCATAATTGAGGGATAGTTTAATTAGCTGACGTGGGTGGCCTACTTTAAGGTTAATAAAGCCTTTTTAGTCGAAGCCGTACATTGAATGTTTGTTGGGTAATGCAAACTGTTTTTTGTTTTGATTTTTGGCCACGGTCCTTAAATAAATTCAGCTTTGCAATTAATGTCATTTAAACTTCTTATTCCTTGCCCTATTTTAAATTTATAATAATATTTTATTTTTGGTATTTCGCAGGAAGTGCTTCATCTTATGATTAGATAAAAATAAAAAAAAATGCAGGTAAGAAAAATTATAATTATTTAAGGTTTTTTTTAAATGTCTTAAATGATTTTTTATTTTTATAAAAAAATTATTTAAGATATTTTTATACAGAAATATCTTAAATAATTTTTTTATAAAAAATTTTAAAAATCCTTTAATTTATTTATAAAATATTATTTAAGATTTTTTTTTTACAAAAATATATTAAATAATCATTTTATAAATAAAAAAAGATCATTTAAAATTTTTTTCTAATATAAAAAAAGACTTTTATATATTTATAAAATGATTATTTAAGATGTTTTATGTAAAAAATATCTTAAATAATTATTTTATAAATAAATTAAAAGAACATTTTTAATTTTTTTCATGATATAAAAAAACGTGACAATTGCATTAATTGATTTTTTTAATAAATTTTTCTATCAAATTTTGTTACTAAAAAAAGTGTCAACTGCTTCAATTGATAATATTTTATAAATAAAAATAATAATCAAATAAAATATTTATCTTTTTTTATTGTAAAATGTTTTATTTATCATTTGAGTATTTATTATTAATAAAATAAAATAAAAATTATCATCATATATATCAAAGAGATTATAATAATTATACAATAATTAATATATATGAATTTACCCTAATTAAATGAGTGAATTTAAATATAAAATATCCTGAAAATAAAAATAAAAAAAAACTTCAAATATTATACTTTTTCAAAAATTATATATTTTTTTAAATCTAAGATTTTGTGAATTAAATGTCTTTTAAAGTAGTTTGAGTTCATGAAGTTTTTACTTAGGTACGAGCTTTTTTTTTTTGTCAACATTAAGTATTGTTATTTTTATTTTTATTACTTGTCCAATAATTATAATTTAATCCCAACAACCATAATTACAAAAAAAAAAAAAAAAAACTTTCTTCTTTATATAAAAAATTACCTAACTTTGTTGGGTGCGAAGATATGAGAATACGAACTTCTTAATCTCATTCTTTATTTGATTCCTACTATATGAGAAAAACTTGTTTTACCTTAAAAATGTTTTTTTTTTTCTTCTGTTTGTTCTTTCATATTTCCTTCTAATCAGAAAGCATTCTCTTACATAGATTTGATCAAATACTTATTGAATGATTAACATATTTTTAATTAGTGGTAAGTATTTGGTTAAAATTTTCAGAATTTATTATTAGTATAACTCATATTTTTTATAATTTAAATATAAAAAAAATCAAACTCAACTTTTTAAATAAAAAATAAAATCCTAATAAACTAAGTCAAATACTCTATGCAAATATCTTACGATCATAAACGCACATATGCTATAATGAAATAATGGAACTGAACGATCACAAGACCCACCATCATCTGTTTGGATGATGAATCATCATTTCGAACAGTTAACTTTTGGCAGGAAATAAAGAAAGGCATGATTGAGCTTGAGAATATCAACAACTATTCCTGTCTTTTTTTTTTTTGGTCAAACATAACATTAATGTTGGGAGTACTTAAGATAAATGATTTTCTTTCCGAATGCAAGTAAACGAATGAAAACATGCATGAAATTAGCCACAAGTTATCATTGAGATTTTTTTATAAAAAAATTATAAGTTAATAAAATTAAAAAGGGAAATATATCATTTAAATTATTATGTTATAATTAATTAATTATAATTTAAAATTATATAAAATTAAATAAAATTTTAAGTAAAATTCACATTTAATAAATTTTACATAATTTTTATTATGATAAAATAATTTTAAAATTATAAATAAAAATTTTAAAGTAAAATGTACACTTAAAAGAAATTATAATTTGATAATAAAAAAATATTATTGCTGAAATTTAAGCTCCAATATATTAAATATCACTATTTAAAAATAATTAAACTAACTGATTTACCCTCATAATTCTTTTATTTTGTTTTATTCCATAGTGAGGGTAGATAATTATAGTGGCACAACTGTAAATTTAGAAAAAAAGAAAACAAAGAAGACATTTTTCAATGCTTATTGATGAACTCTTTGATTCCATCAATAAGGGCAGTAGTTTGGGCAGCAGTTTGGGCAGCAGTGTTTGGGTCCATGCCCACAGCATTCTTGTTCAGGTAGAAGCTATGACCCATTCCAGGGCTGATCAACAACTCCACATCTTTGTTAGCTTTTCTCATGGCTTCATAGTATTCAATCTCTGTGTCCTTGATCATATCCTTCTCGGCTACACACAATAAAAATGGTGGCAGATCTAGGCCGTTGAGTGGCGGGGCCGCAGGCCCCATCGGGCAAGTGATAGGATGGTCCTTGGTGGACCCAAGTGGCAGTGCCAGGGCCAAAAACTTGTCCAACATGTCTAGGGTTAAGAAAGGTGATTCCGGTTGCTCCAACTCCGACTGGCTCCGCTCCTTCCGAACAAAACCAGGGTGGATTGGAACCCCACCTGCTAGCCTTAATGGGCTCAAACCCAAGTGCCCACCACGTGCAGCCACTTGATGCACTATGTTCCCTCCTGAGCTGTCCCCAATAAGAAAAACCCGGTTGAAATCTGCATGATCATTGAGCCATGGCTCATTTGACTCACCTTTGGCTAACGACCTGAGCCAGAGGAGAGCAGCATAGCCATCATCACAGGCTGCTGGAAGCCTGTTTTCTGGTGCAAGCCTGAGAAAAACTGAGACACAAATGGCTGGAACTGACCTTGCCACCCTGGTGTACATGTGATAGTACATGCACCAATCAGCTTGGCAGATGCAAAAACCTCCCCCGGGGAAATGAAGTATGATTGGCAACTTAGTTTTGTTTGCGGGAATTTGGTCTGGCATATAGATTCGAACCGTGAGGCCCGAATTGGAATCAATAACAACATCACGAGTGGCTACACCTTCAATGAATTGGTCATGGGGTGGAACAGACTCTGTCATGAATTTCAATTCAGGGGGACCTGTCCAGGTTCGGTCGACTGAGCCATCGTCATAGACTCTTAGCCAACCGGACACCTCATCGACTAGCTTCTTCTCTTGGTCCATAATTATGGTTTGGTCTCAGCTTAATTGCATGTGTTTTGGATGGGTGTGTAAAACTATAAGTAAAGGATGAACCTGACCTGACTGCCCTTTATATAGAAGATTAAGGGTTGTGGAAGGAGGAAATTGCCAGGTTATTTAATCAATACATGTGTTTATATATATATATGCTTTTTAAAAGACAAAAAAAATCTAATTTAATTCTTTTTTTTGGCTTCAAACTTCAAGAAATGGAATATAAATATCCTTTTAGCCTGAGAATTCATGTGTTTCAAACTCTTAATCTTCCAAATTCATATGAAAAAGTTTCTTATTTTCTTTTTATTAGAAAAATAGTGAGATTAGCTTATGATTTAATTGAATTGATAAAGATTAAATATTTTATTTATAAAATCTAACTTCGATTCTTATTATATGTTAGTAACAATTTTTTTAACAAGTGATCTATAAATTTAATATAAAAGTTTATTTAGACTAATGATATGTCATAATCTTGAAATTAGATAGCTTTCCCTTAAACTTTTTTTAAAAAATAATGAAATTAGAAAGCTTGATCATATCCCTTTTATTTTTTATATTTAATACTAGAAAAATTAGATGGAAAGTGAATTGAGATTTCCAATCTACTTTCTACCTTGGAATTTTATAAAGTGAGATGGACTTATTATAAAATAATATTGTTGTTCATTTCCTTGCTATTTCTTGAAACAATTACTCAATTATCACACCGACCAATCCCATCATATCTACAGTAGAAGAATTATTGAATTACTTTCCTTATCCAATTTAATAAAATATTAAATATTGGAAATAAAGAGCAAGTCATCAAGAGTCAAGCATAAATTAACTTGTTAGGCGATGAGAGTTAAATAAATTAAAAATTTTAAATAAAAAATAAATTAATATTTTGATATAATAATTAAATATAATAATTCTTATATTTATATCACGTTTAATTCATGTCAAATACATAAAATAATAGGTGAAGAACCAACTTATATTATATACTTATTTTTATCTTTTATAAGATGTATCATATTATATTTATTAATATATATAATATATATATAAGCATATACTAATAAAAAATTTAAAAAAATCATAAATTTTATCAATTTATAAAAAAATGTATAAAAAAACTCAAATACATAATTCATTTAAAATTATGAGTCTTTTTTTATATAAATAAATCAATTGTTAAACAATAAACTTTTCTTCAAAAAAAAAATATATATCTTTAAAAGAATAAAATTGAAAACTTTAAATTAAAAGTTAAGATATTTTTCTAACAATTTACAAATTGCCCTATAGTCTTTATAAGATAACAAGAGAAAGAGATTTACAGTGAAATTTAAAGCGGAGAATTATATGGAGAGGAGAAATTGTAATTTGTTAAAAATGTTTAATAATTGATTGAAGATTTTTGATTTGTGAGACATTCAAAGGTACATTGATTTTTTTTTTTTTTGAAACAGATTGAATTTAATTTTAAATTTATTAATTTAGGATTTGAATGTTGGTAGGATAATAAATAAACAAATAATAATAAAATTTTAATCTTATTTGCAATCTATAAAATTAAATTATAAAATTACATATAAAAATAAAAAATTCATAACTTTAGTTTGAGGGAGCCAATTAAATTATAATATTATATACATACAAGGATATGTGTGGGTGAATGCTTTCGAGGAAGATTCGTCAGTGAATAAATACAAAAATTATATAATTTGTATCAATATGCTAATGTATACTAAAATTTTTTTAAAATTCATATATGTTTTTATTTAATTTTAAATTATATTATTTTCATATTTTATTATTTTTATGATTTTATGATATTATATTTAAAATTTACGAATCTAGTAATAACCATGCACATGCAATGAAATTATTTGGAAATTCAAGAAAATTTTGGTTTAAAATGGCTAACTATAATTGCTAAAAACTTATTTTCTTAGCCTTAATTTGAATTTCATCATAGGTTCATGTAGTTGGGTTTACTGTATTATTTATTAAATTCAAATATTAACTATAATAAATTTTATTTAATATAAATTTTTTATTAAATTTTATTTAATTAATTTTTATCAATTTTTTATTATTATTATTTTAATTACACTAAAACCACTTTTATTGCACTCGAATGGAACTCAACATGTGTTGTTAAGTCAAGGTCTTCCGTTCTTTATTGCTTTCGTCAAAGGGCGGCGGACATTGCGGATGAATATATGCTACCGATATCCTGCTTCCCTTTAGAAAACGCATGCCGCATTTATAAAAAAAAATTTTCCTGAAATTATTTGTTTAATTAGAAATTCCAATAGCATTAATTAAATAATTTTCAACATATATGATAAACATTATATTAAGTGGAAACTAATTCATGTGTTCAAAGGGAATAACACCACACTGAATAGAAGAAAAATGAGACTCCAACTTGAAAGATTTAGGTTCAACTGTTAGGATAAGAATGATGAAATTTATGAGATAAAAGAACATTATTATGTATCACGTACTCAAAATTAAAAATGATAATGGTTTAATTTGGTTTTTATTTAATTGTTTTGATTAGTATAAATATTATAAAATTTCAAAAATTAATTCAAATTCAAACTAATTTTTTTTAATTGATTAAATTTGAATTAAATTCTATTGATTTTGGTTTAGTTCTTTAGATTTTATAAAATAATTTTTTAAAATTTTGGTTATTATTTTAATATATTTATATAAATTTAGATAAAAATACTTATTTTTATTTTATAAAACTTTAAAAATATATAATTCGATTTGAAAATTTATAATTTTTTCACCTTTTGTCTAAAAATCAAATTGAATAGAAATATATAATATTTGTACTTAATCAAATCGAAACAATAAAATATTACGGTTTCAAATAGATTTTTTTATTTTTTTCTTAAACCTACCCAAAACCTTATTTATAAAAATAAATATTTTAATACATTATTAGTGAATTTTTTAATTTCAGAAATGATCAAAAATTGATACATGTTTATTTTTTTTTAATTTTTTTAATATATTTTAAAAGGTATGTATTATCATAATAATATCGCTTATAAAATCTAAAAACTCTATTAACACTAGATAAAATAATTTATCTAAAAAAACCCATTAACAAATCAAACAAATCCAACATATAATAAAGAAAAATATTATTTGTGTGCGTATCATTAATATTGCTAGACGTTGATGGAGATAGAAGAGTTCTAGTTAGCACAAACAATGGTTTATTTGCAATTAGTCGCATGATATTAATTAACTATATGTATCCATTTTTTATAGATTCATGATCGTTAGTGATTTTAATGGAAAAAAATCTTTCATTTAATTTTAGTATTACAACCCCCAACAATCATCAATTATTTTATCCGGCACCTTTAGTGACATTTTAAAAAATTTTACATTTATGAAATAATGTATTAAAATTATAAAATTAAAATTAATAACAATTTAATTTACTGAGAATATTGACTATTTTAATTGGAATCATTTTTTTATATTAAATTTTTTTTTTACTATTATAATTTGTAATTATCTTGATATTATTTAAAAATATATATTTCAAATATTTTCACACGAAAAACATTTTATAAATATAAATATAAATTTTATATGTTATAATATATTCTCAAAATATCTTAATATGAGGTTGGAATGTCACATAATTACAATTTTGTTTTGATTAATAAAGGAAAATTGCCAAACAAAAAAAAAAGCTTATTTTTTTAACAAAATTCCTTGTTCTAATAAATGGATAAACCTAAAAATGGTCAAATTAATCTATCTAAACAAAGAAAATTTGACAACTTTTGTCACAATAAAATTCATTTTCTGCTCTAAAATTTCTCAATTAATCAAAATTAGGATGCTAAGAACCGTAAATTAATTAAATAACCTAAAACTTTAATTTTTTTAACTTAAAATGAGTATTTAACCTAAATGATACAAATACCATAGCTTGCAATACCATGTCACATTGGAATTAAGACAAAATATTGCGGACGTTGAATGAGTAATGAAAAGAACGAATGTGAAAAACGCCAATGGAAATGGCAGACAACTAGACAATGAGTAAAATCATGATTTGGAAAGTTATTGGCTGCTTCCCACAATCCAACAGGCGAGGAAAGAAAAACACGTCAGACTCAGAAAATGACTTACATTTTTCTTTTTTTAAAGTTTGGGATCCTCCTTTCCATAGGTGTCGTGACGGTGGTGGCTAGGGAGGACGACCCGATCTTGTTGGGTCAATTTTTTTTTTTAAAATTTAGATTTGAGTCGAATTGAATTAGTTAAAATTAAAAAATAATTAAGATTAGATCGAATTCGGATTTACCTAAAATTTAATTTAATTCGATTTGATATTATATAAAAAATTATTTTTAATTAATTATTTAAATTTTTTTTATATATATTTATATAATGATATTTTTAAATATTTATATTTTAAAAATAATATTTTATTAATTTCGGATCAGATCGGGTATGATTTACATAATATCGGGGTCGGATCGAGATCAGGTATAAAAAAATTCGAGTAAGATCAATTCGAGTTTAATAAAATATAAAGTCGGATTGAGTTTGAAACGAGTAAAATCAGTCTTGAACCCGATCCAATGCCAACCCTATTGGTGGCAAAGTCAGTCGATCATAGAACTAGGGTAGCTAACGGTAGTCATTTTTTTTTATTATTATATAATATTATGAAATTTTAAAATTAATTTAAATTTAAAATTAAATTTTTATTTGATCTAAATGGAATCAAATTTTAGTAATTTGATTAGATTTAGTTTGTTGATTTTTAATTTTTTAATTTTATATATTATTTTAATATAAAATTTTAATATATTTAAATAAAATTTGATATAAATTTATTATTTTATTTTATAAAAAATTTAAAATATATATAGAATTGTAATTTTTTTTAGTTCAAATTTTTAATTTTTTAATTTTTTAATTCGAAATTTGATTCATATTTAATATATATATATATTTAATATTTAAATTTAATTTAAATTGAATATTATAATTTTGAATCAATTTTTAAATTTTTAAAATTTTTTTCTCAACCTTACATAAAAGTAAAGTTTAACTCAAATAATTTATTATTTTTTTGAATAATGGATTTTAGTAAAGTTGAAGTTCAATTTTTTATACCTATAAATTCTTTTTTATATGTATTTTAGCGGTAAAAAAAAATATAGTCAGCCTCTTATTTGAATTTTCTCTTCCCCTAAATTTAGGTTTTTTTTTATTTTACATCAATAGAGCAAAATTTTAGTACAAATAAGAAGAAATGAAAGAAATTTGATTCGAAACTAAATATTTAATATCCTTTTAAGCGTCTTTAACTATTAAATTAAAAGTTTAAAAACTTAAATTTAGGTTTTGAATCTAGCACTCCATGTTACTATATTATACATAATGGTTTTGGTTTTTATTTTAATGAAATGTAGGAAAGAAATTTTATTTTGTGCATTAAGGAAAGAATTTTAGATTTTATTAATTATATGAGTAAAGAGTTGACCTATGTATTAATGAAATAATTTAATGAATATTACAAATTTAATAAATCTTTAGCTGTTAGTGAAAATAATTCTCATTATATTATAGTAACGTTTTATGATTAAATCTTTAAAATTTAATCATAAAATGACATCATAATGCGATAAACATTTTTAATATTTTTCTTTACTGAAATAAGCCTTAATAAATGAATATTTTTAAATTTCTTGACCGTGTTTAGAGAATTTAAAAAATTTACCGTCATGGTGCAAAAGTGAATTTATAAAAGTTTATATTCAAAATTAGGAAAGAGCAACCATAAACTTTGTAATATTTTCCATGGTATAGGATTATTTTTTTTTGGAGTAAATTACATAGATTTTTCTATCATATTAATCGGATGCTAGTAATGGGATTTGGGTAAAAAAGAAGTTTGTGCAAATTCTAAATTCCAGAAGAGATAAATTAGTGAAAATTATAACGCAATGTTAAATTTTGAGTAAATAGTATCCCTTATCTTTAAAATTTGGGATGCATATCGTTTTGATTTTTAAATTATAGAAATTAAATTGTTAGCCCCTAATAATTGTCGAATATCATGATAAATTGATGATTTTTCCTTCAATTTATTTGTTAATTTGTTAAATGTTTCATGTGATAATTGAATGAAAAAGAAAAAGGTAGAAAGAAAAAAATGGTTGCTTTTTTTTTAAAATATAAATATATATTTGATCAAAATTTGTCATTTAAAATAAATAAATTTCAAAATGTGATTTTTTTTAATTTTTTAAACATAATATAGATTTTTAATATATTTACAAATGTTATAATTTAAACAAATAATTTTTTAAATTTCTACGTTTAATAAGTTTTTTAATTTTTTATTTTTTAAGAAAATTTTTTATTTTTCAAATATAATATATATTTTTAATGCGTATCATCATATGTTATAATTTAAAATAAATAAATTTCAAAAATTTATTTTTGAATAAATTTTTATTTTTTTAATATGATATTGTTTTAATATATTTTTTATCAAAATTTATAGTTTAAAATAAATAATTTTATAATTTTCAAATTTTAAGAATATTTTTAAAATGTTTAGATATAATATATTTTTAAATGTTATCTAGTTTTATGATTGAAAATAAATAAATTTCAAAAATTTCAATGTATTAACTTTTAAATATAATATAGTTTTTATATTTTATCAAAATTTATAGTTTAAAATAAATAAAATTTGAAGTTTTCTATCTTTAAGAATTTTTTTTAGATATAATATATTTTTAAATTTTATCTAGTTTTATAATTTAAAATAAATAAATTTCAAAATTTTCTTTTTAATAAATTTTTTATTTCTAAATAGAATTTATTTTTTAACATATATTTTATCAAAATAAATAGTTTTAAATAAATAAATTTTCAAATTTTCTATTATTGATAAATTTTTTTCTTTTTAATTTTTAGATCTAATATATTCGTATATTTTATCTAGTTTTAAATTTAAAATAAACAAATTTCAAAATTTTCCTTTTAAATTTTTTTACGTTTTTAAATATAATATAGGTTTTTAATAAATTTTATCAATTTTATATTTTAAAATAAATAAAATTTAAAAGTTTCTATTTTTATTAAGTTTTTGTCCCTTTTTTTAATTTTTAGATATAATATATTTTTATATTTTATCTAGTTTTGTAATTTAAATAAATAAAATTTAAAAATCCACTATTATAATAAGCCTTTTTTAAAATTTGAATATAGTATAAGTTAATATATTTTATCAATATTATAATTTAAAATAAATAAAATTTAAGTAAAATAAATAAAATTTAAGGTTAGATTTAATGATATTAATGACAAAATGATTATTTTATTACAACATTAAAAGTTTAAGAACCAACAAATGATATTTAAAAATATAAAAATCAAAATGTTATACGATCCAAAATTTTAGACTCCAAATTTACCCTTTTAACTTTTTCAAATTCAAATATAATGAGACTAATTTAAAGGTTTCAAGACCAAGACCTAACAAACACTCATTGTAAAACTAACAATTTTAAAATGCATTTATCATTCTTCAAAAATATCATATTTCAATTCCTTTTATATCAACCATTTATTATTCAAAAAATGCTACTAAATAAAAAAATTTCGAATCAAAATTTAATAATTATCTAAGCTTCTATCATTTTATTATAATTAATAAAATTTTTTGTTTTTTATTTTCATCATTTGAATTATGATTTGATGAATATTAGTTAATTGCAAACATCTATTTTCATGTAATTAAAATTTTAATTAAATAAAAATAAATATTTATAAATTCAAATAGATAAAAATATATATTTTTAAGGATTCAATTGATATAGAAAATACGCGGCATTTATATACAACTATTTATCAATACAATCAACTTGGAAACAAATAGGACATAAGAAGTGTTTGGCAAAATTTAAAAATAAAAAATGTATTATATATTTTATGTATTAATATAAATTATAATATAAAATTTTTATTTTTTTTATATATATTAAACATAAAATAAAAGTCATGGAAAATAAATTATCGATAAGGTTGGGTTGATAATCTGACAAGCAAATGGAGCATGAGCCATTTTGGGCCTAAGCAGTCGGCAGCTTTAGCCGAGAACAATCTTGGTGTAAGACTCGAGACTTATCCGTGAGTCAATAAGCCCACAAGGCCCAAGAGTCGAGCACCGAAGAAGGATTTTTATACCTGGATTCGATATGCCCAAATTATTATTTTACTGATGAAAATTTTTATTTAAATTTAATTTTAAAACATATTTAAAAATATTATGTTTCGGTTCCTCAGTAGAGAAAAATCTCCTCCTTTCCTTCCATAAGGAAGAATCTTTTTTTGTTCAGGTGAGCATCGATTTGCTGTGTTTTTTTATTTTTACTTTTCTCATTATTTTTAGATTGAATTTATTTATTTATTTGATTAATCATTTGAATTATTATTTATGAAAAAAATTTATTTGATTATTTTCAAGATTTATAGATCTAATTAATTTATAAATTTTTTAATTCAATCTGATTTTTTTTCCTTTATCTTTAAATATCTCTATTGCTTCATGGCTATCAATTTTGTAATTTTTAGGTAATTATTTTATGTAAAAATTAAAATATTGCATTTTCGTATTAAAAATTTTAATTTTTAATTATTGATTTCTTTCGCATCTAAATTGCACTTCAAACTTGCTATTTGTGTGGCTAATTGGCTTAATTTCTTATCTCTTTTGCCTATTATAGTCAATGATATTTGTGCTTGATTTTATATTATTCTTCTTATGATCATTCTCTTATCAATGGTGAAACTTTCAATTCCTTGTAGCCATTGTCAAGTTTGAGCTTCTGTTGGTTGACTCTGCTACTATAGTATTGTTTTTAAAGCTCTTTCAAACTGGTTATAGTCTTGCAATCGAAGCCTTGTTCTAGGATTTGCATTATCATAACTGGAATATTTAATTATGTATGTATTGATTTGTAATGTTTGATTGTTTTTCCTCTCCAGGCCGGCCATTCCCTCGTTGAGAAATTTTATTTTATCAATAAATTTGAGCATAATTTTTGTGGAGTTTGCTCTGTTGTTATGGGTGCTACATCTAATGTTGTAGACGATAAAGAGGGGAGGTTGCCACGGGAAGTAAAGGATGCTTTACAATTGTTGGCATCTGAGTGGGATGATATAGTGGACTTGAAAGCTTTGCAGGTGATCCCTCTTAAAGGTGCGATGACCAATGAGGTCTTCCAAATAAAATGGCCAACCAGGACAGATGATGTGTCACGAAAGGTTTTAGTTAGGATTTATGGTGAGGGTGTGGAGGTGTTCTTTGACCGGGATGATGAGATCCGGACATTTGAGTTTATGTCAATGCATGGGCAAGGACCTTGTTTGCTAGAACGGTTCCCAAATGGGCGAATTGAAGAGTTCATCCATGCACGGGTACTTTGAAACCCCCTTTCCTTTTTTCTCATTTTCTTTATTTTTAGACATGAACAAGCATTATGTATTCTGTTTCAAAATGATTATACAAATAAAAGGTTTTGCTCTTCAAGCAGCTATTTTAACTAATTTTAAGATTATTAAAATATTTGATTTACACAATGATTTACTACCTGTCTACCAATTATAAGAATGACTTGCAAAATATCATTATTATCATTATTATGATTAAGATAAGATGATCTTTTGAACAACTTTTAGTCTTCAATATCCACTAAGGACATATATTGTTCACGTTTATTAAGAACATCAAGATTTATTATTACCATGAGAATCACATTTATTTTCCCAATGAGTATTGTAATTAATAGAAGATTCACAGTCTCTCTTCTTGATGTCCTGGAGGGGTCGTTTACTCAATTAGTCAACAGAAATGTCAAATGTACTGATATTCTCTTTCTTCCATATTGACTTTCAGACACTATCAGCATCTGATTTGCGTGATCCAGATATATCAGCTCTAATAGCAGCCAAATTGAGGGAGTTCCATGAACTTGAGATGCCCGGTCCAAAGAAAGTTTGGCTATGGGATAGATTGCGGTACATTTTACTATTTCTCTGTGAATTATGCTAAATATTATGGAGCTCGTATCTCTCAGGTACTGCATTAGTTTTAAAGTTTCTACCAGTGGTCAAATAAAGTACTTCTCAATGTTTCAGAAATTGGCTTAATGCAGCCAAAGGAGTTTGCCCTCTGGAAGAAGCTAAAGCCTTTTGCTTGGAAGCTTTTGAGGAGGAAATCTGTATGTTGGAAAAGAAACTCTTTGGGGGCCATCAACGCATAGGTTTCTGCCACAATGATTTACAATATGGTAACATAATGATGGATGAAGAGACTAAATCAATAACGATTATTGTGAGCTTCTATCAAACTGGCTTGCTTAATATATAGTTTTCTTACAGTAATTTTAATAGCAAAAGTCTTCTTTGTGATTCTCGTTGAACTATGTGTTAATAGCTCTTGATTTGTCTAGACAAGGTGTAGTAATAGGCCAGGTTATTAGTTGTACTTTTAAGATGGGAGGATAACAGTTAAACCTTTGACCAAGATGGATTTTGGGCTCAAATTCAAACAAAACCAAAGACTAACAGCGGTGCTAGTAGTCATAAAATCTTTAGTTTTCATATGATTGCATCATTGATATTCTTCTGAATACCTAATGCCTGAACCCTGTCCCTGCCTGTTTTGGAGAAAGTTGGCTTAAGATAGAGCAGATTTGTTGCATTTATCTTCGTCCTTTTATTATCTTATTAGCAATATCATTCTACATGTATGAATGTGTCCAAAGCATCTTTATTCTTATGTGATGGCATTTGATGATGTTTGCATGGTATCCAAGTAGAGTTGTGATTCTGCATGGTTGAATGACTTATAGGATATTGATGGATGTCTTGTGATCTCATGGATTTCTCATTGATTTCTCGCTATAGCACCAGAGGGACTTTTTCCTTTCATTGATTTGGAACTGGATCACAACTTACCTAAACTGTATTTCTATTAAGAGCTGCCCCTAAATCCTTTGGGAAGCCCAAAGAATTATCTGTCATAGGAGAATATTTGTGTTTGACCATTATATGCATGTATTGATCTAAGGAACTCATCATATGATTTAAATGCTTGGTTTGCTAAGTTCTGAGCATTTTAATGTGATAAATGAGTTCTCTAAGTCACATTGAAACAAAATTTCTTTACTTGATTCTGGCTGTGGGCTGTCGTTTGTCCCGCTTTTATTTTAAAGATCCTAAATTTCTTCAATATTGAACATTTAAAAAAAGAAATGCACTCATGTATCTCATGGTATCCTTTTAAAAATGAATTATATTGAACTTTAGGATTTGTATTTGCTTTATATATGATCATGAATTAGATTAAGCATCTCAAGCTTGATCATGAATGTTGTTGACTAAGGCCTTATTTATGCATGCAGACAGTTGTGCTTGCATGTAACTTATCAAGCAGAAAGATATCTAAGTAATTAGTGAACAATAGAAATTTCTTGTGATCTTAAATTTGAAGCTTATTAAGAGATTGATTGCTCCAAGACCAGTTTTCTGTGTTCCAAATATTTAATTTTAATTATTTGGAGGTTGATTGGATGCCTGCTTTAACAGGATTACGAGTATGCAAGTTACAATCCTGTTGCCTATGATATTGCAAACCACTTTTGTGAGATGGCTGCTGACTATCATACAGAAACACCCCACATTATGGATTATAGTAAATATCCAGGTGAACCTTTTGATCTCATTTTTCAGTAAAAAGAAATTGCTTTTTATTCCCTGAATGATAAGGAATTTTCTTGGCCTGTGTCTTTCATAGGTTTGGAAGAGCGGTTAAGATTTCTGCGAGTATACCTGGACTCTTTAGGTAACTGTTTATTGCTTGTAAAACATTGTGACTTTTTTCATTTGTCACATGGCGGCTGCTATTATGAATATCTCATTTTCAGATATCATATGTACACACACACACATGCACAAATAGAATCTGAAGAGTTGTACCCCTTCTACATGGAGGACATATAGCACTCCATATTTTAAAATTACAATTTTTAGTCTTCTGCAGGCATGAATAGCTTAGATGCATTTATGTCTAACTGTCTATAATTGTTCTATCTGCAACCAATTTAGCTTATTTTCTGTGAAGTGGTAGAAGGTCTTTTTCCCTCTTCTATACTTTGCTAAAGGAATAACTTAATTCATTTTTTAAAAAGTTAAGGCAGTTTTAGAACCTGATTTAATTTGTTTCTATTTAATTGAACTTGATCTGTCAATGTAACTCTGAATTTGTTCTATTGTGAGAATCCCATGATCTTGTCTGTCTTTCATTGCAGGTAAGGAACCTAAAGACACTGAAGTGGAGCAGCTGCTTCAAGATGTTGAGAAATATACTCTAGCAAGTCATCTCACTTGGGGCTTGTGGGGAATAATATCGGTAATTTCCATCCTCATGTTAGCTTGTTCATCATAGCATTATCATTCAAAATCATTTAATGATGAGATAGATGGCCTAGCCATTTTGACCTTGTTGTGGGCCCTTTTGACAATGATAGTATTTATATTGTTGTTATGTTAGTTTATACTTTTTTTTTCTAGCTAAATGTCCTTTACATGAAATAATGAATGTTTTAATAAAATTATAACTAATCATTTACATTCATTAATTGCATTGACAGAAAGGTTTAAAACTTTAGATCCACCTTGTTATTCATGGTAATTTTTTTTAGTTGAATGAGACATTTTTAATTATTCTTTACAATGTGAATTGTTAATTATAATTTTATTAAAACCTTTATTGTTTGTGAAAAGGGCAATCAAATTTAGAATAGAGGTATTACAAATTATCACACGATTGACCTTTTATAAGTTTATTCATTTCTTCACTAGTACAGTTTTTTTTTCTCTTTGTATCCGTTCTTACATCTCCCAGTTCTCTTTCTTTCTTTGCAATTATCCTATCGTGTATTTGGTTATGCTGAGCCCACGGAACCTTTCATAAAGAGGCTATATTTTAAGTTATTAGAGGTTTAAATGTCAAATCTTCCTTCTAGTTGGAAATTTAATAATCTGCTAATCCTACCTTTTACCTGCCTAAATCTCTCTCTCTCTCTCTCTCTCTCTCTATAAATATATATATATATATGTATGTATATATATATACACATGAAGAAAAAAGAAATCACCATTTTGCTGGGTAAATGTAGTTATTGACCCAAGAGGGACTAAACCTACAGATACTTGAACTTGTGATTGACTCTGAACGAGAGAAGAGAATGTTGCTTGATGTAATGGCATTGGCTTGTAATTTCTTTCTTTCTTGAGCTTATTACTTGAATAATATTATATCATTTAACAGTTATCCTCCTTAGGAGCATGTGAATGAAATTGACTTTGACTACAAGGATTATGCCAGGCAGAGGTTTCAGCAGTACTGGATGCGGAAGCCTGAGCTATTGGACTCTTCTTGAGCCCCCACTTTTTAATGTGAGCAATGTTCTCTATCCGTTTCCTTTAGTACCCTGTGTAGATTCGAACTATTTGTAGGAGATATTCATGATTTATTTCATAAGCTGCATTACATATTTATTATTCTTGTCATGAATGCTCATATGTACTGTTTTTCTATTTTGGGATTTTTGGGTGATATTCACCAAAAATGATTTGATGATAATGCCATCTTCCATCTTTGTCTTGTTTGTAGCGACAAGCAATTTGTTTATGATGTATTTGATTAAAAACAAAAGCAGATGATATTATTTTTTGTTGTATTCTTTATCTTTGATGGTATTTCTTGTCTGGGATGACTTTCTTGAAGGTTGAATGGTGAGACTAACATTAAAGGATTATGAAGGTGAAGGGACTTTTTGTTATGTGAACTTAACTATTTTTGTGTAAACATTTCTAAGGAGAATCCGGATGTAAATCAATAGATGACATCTAAATACTTGATGGTAGAGGAATTAGATTTGTTTGATCCCACTAGAATCCTTGAAACGGACATGTAGTAGTACCCATGGATCTTATCTTGAAACTCGGCATTTTAGTTGTGCCAATACTTGGTGAAGTGGGATTAACTTTTGACATGTGAGCAATAAATGAACATTAAAAGTGAAGGAAAATGCTGCATCATGTCTGATTCCTTGATTATGTTTCGTTTATAGCTAAATTCCCTTTTATGTCATACTGCAGGTTTGTAGGCCTCGTGATTTATGCAATTTTACGAGGTAACCATCTCATGATTAAGATGTGATGATGCAGTTTTGCTTATGTTATATGGCATGAAATAACATGAACATTGTTTTTTGTATGTTAAACAAAGAAAAACCTTAAGGACATGGATTGGTCTGTTCAAGTAAATATTTCAGATTGTGCATACTGAAGGCCGAAAAAGATGATTTTTAATCGCGTGAATTGCAGCAAAGGGACGAAATGATAGCAAATAAAATACAAACCTTGAATCAATAATTTTTTTTAGCAATATGTAATAATTCATCTGAGAGATTATATCATAATGCTTCATCTAGTTGGGGAGGCAGTAGTTGACTCTAGTTACTAGGGTTTTTCGGATATTTCTTGTAAATTGGTTTGAATCCACCGTTTTCTATCTGAGTTTTGTCCACATGATAGCATCATACATTTAGTTATCAAAGTGCTTGCAAGATGATATATCTGACAATTTATGTCATCGTGACATGTACAATATTATATTCCTATCATGTTTTATGTAAAGATCACGAATCATAATTTATATTGATATGAAAATATAAAATATAATATTTTGATTTTATTAAATATATTTATGATTTTTGTAAAATTTTAAGTTGTGTTATTTTTATATTTTTTATTTGTATTATTTTCATGTTATATCATTGTATTATGTATTAAATTATCAGTTTTTCTATTATAAGTTGCATAAGTTGGAGATGTGACTGTTGCTAACAGAAAATTTAAAAAACCAAAGGCTTTTTTACCAAATAGTTGCTCAACTAAATTATAGTTAAAATTAATCACTGCCATGGTGTAATTCCTGGTCTGGTGATAGGTCGAACTTATTGGAAATTGAATTTGAGAGCGTGTTAGATACATCAAAGAGTAAAAAATGTCAAGAGGCGTTGGAATTACGATTCAAACATATTTTGACCGTCAAATTAGTATATAATTTCGACGGTCAAATCGGTATGTACACGAGAATCGTTAGAATGGTTTATTGGGCATAACATACTTCATTAAGGTCAAATTAGTATATGCATGAGAATCATTGTTAAGGTTTATTGGGTATAGAGTGCTGTTAAATGCATCTCAGCTTTTTTTTTTTTTACAATTTTTTTTTATTTTTATAGGTGAAATTTTTAATTATATTTTATTTTTTCACAAAATTTCGAAAATAAATTTCTAGAAAGTTATAATTTTTTGAAAATGAATTGTTGAAAAATGATAAAATTTTTTGAAAATAATTTTTCAAAAAATTAAAAATTTGAAAAATTTTATTTATTTTCAAAAAGATTTATGACGTTTTGAAAATTTATTTTTGAAAAATTATATGATTTTTTGAAAATTTATTTTCGAATATTATAAAATTTTTAAAAATTATAAAAAAGATAATTAAATAATTTTACTTTAAAAAAAAGTTTGGGTGTGAAAAAAAAAAAGGAGTGCTTTTACTAGCACTAATAAATATAACCCACTTCATTAGGAAAGAAACAATTACCGATAACCCTCGAGTAGTTGTTGAAATTGCTTGAAATTATAAAAGGAAATGCAACATTAATAACAACTCTCAGAAACCAAATAACTCTTATCTGAATCAAGTTCAACAAAAATGATACTACAGTTGTAAAGTTAACAATATGTTACTTTGCAAAAAGCAAGCAGCAAGCAAAAAGAGAAAGTACGAAAAAATAAAAATAAATAAAATGATAACTTAACAGGAGAGTTCTCCGCCTATTGTTAAGAAATGATTTAAAGCTGTTTTATGTATTAAGAATGATATCATATTCAATGCAAAATATTGTTGTCTGAATTTAAATTCATTAAAAGATCATAATAAAATAGTTTTTCGTAAATTTATTAAGTCGAACGTAAATAAATTTATTTAAATTAATAAAAAAAATATAAATATATATTAAGTAAAATCCAAAAACCTCATTTTGCGTGATAAAAAGTTAATGCTTAACTTAATTTCAATTCCACTGTAGTATACAGGAGCAATGAAGACAAAAAAAATAAAAATTACAAGAGATTGGTCCAAAATTTGTCTAGGAATCCTTTTAAGAATTCGAGTACTCCCATTTTTAGGCATTAAAAATTTTATTCTTAAAATATTTTTGATAAAAATAAAAGCCTAGTGCATTAAAAGGTTTGTTTGGTAAAGTTTTGTTCGTTTAAAAAAAATTTATATTTTATGAATTAAAAGAGATTTTTTATTATTTGAATTAGTTAATAAAAAATGTTTTTTGTTATTTATTTATTTTTTGAAAAATCTATTTTTTAACTAATATTAATATAACTATTAAAATATTAAAAATTATTTAATATTAAAGTATATTAAATTTATTTATTATTAAATTTATTAATATTAAAAACTAATTATATTTTAATTATAATATTTAATATTGAAATATTATGTTAATATATTAAATACTTAAAATAAAACTATTTATTATTCTTTATATTATTTATCAATATATTATAATATTATTTATAAATAATATTTATTATTATATTATATTAATAGTATATTATTTATTAATATATTATTATAATATATATTAATTAAATTAATAATATTTAATATTAAATTATTTATTAATATAATATTATTAATTAATATATTATATTAATAATATATTATTTATAAATAAAATTATACTCAAAAGTATTAATTGTTTCCGTAAACAATTTTTTTTCAAAAAATATCTACCCTTTTCAAAATCATAAGACAATTTTAAAAGAAATAGTTTCATTTTTTTATTAATTGGTAAGTTATTTTCTGTTAACAAACTAATTTTTCATCAAACAAATACTTAAAAATGTAAAAATAATTTTTTGAAAGTTATTTTTAGTGAAACAAATAAAGTCTAAACAGGTAAAATAAAAGATACACTAAGCGGCTTGTTTTTATTAGACTCAAAGCTATAATGTGGATGTGATAAATGAGTTTGTTTTATTAAATAATACTCAAATAAATCTTTAAATTTTATCCAAAAATAAAAATAAGTTCATAATTTTTTTATTGTATGAAATTAAAATTATGAACTTTTATTTTATTATAATTATGCCAATTAAACCTTGAAAACAGATGAATAAAGTCCAAATATTATAATATTTTTAAAATAGTATTCTCTCATATATTTATCATTTAACTTATTCAAATAATTTTAAGCAAATATTTTTATAAATTATATCATCTTATTAAGAGATTGAATATTTTACATTGTTAAAATTCTAATTACAATAAAATAAAAGTTTATAATCTTAATTGTCATAAAAGATGGATTTATTTTTATTTTTGAGTAAATTTGAAGGGTTTATTTGGATTTTTTTTTGGTAATTATTTTGCTTTGAGGAAAGAGAAATTAAAATCCAAATATTTAAAAAAAAATATCAATAGTGAAGTTAAAAAAAAAATATTAAGGGATTATTTTAAGAGTAAAATTTTTCCTAAAAATTATTTTAAAATGTAATTCATATTAGTAAACAAATATTTAAAAAAACCATAAAATAATATTAATTCATTAAAAAATGTAAATGTAAATTTTTTGGCTCCAAGTTATTATTTCAAATATATTTTATAAATAATACATTATAATAAAATTTAATTTAAAATATATAAGATATATTATATCATTTTAATAATAAAAGTATAAAATATAAAACCTACTAACAATGAGTTTAACTAGAAAGGTTACTCTGATGGCAGCATGGGCTTGGCCAATAAACAACTCTATACATACATTTGAAGAAAAACCTTCTTTTGATCCAAACCCAAACACCTGTTTAGGCGTTTAGCTCAATTGACAAAGGCTTTTTAAGCCATCAACAAAGGAACAAACGGATTCTAGGTCAATAATCCATTGGGAGTTCTCGTAGCCATTTTATATGCAGTTGAAGTAGCAATACAAGTAGTTGTTCCATCCGTTCCAAAATCTCCTCTTTTTTGTGTTCTTTTAATAAAAATCAAACAGTTCGATAAATTTATAAGGTTTTAATCAATGGGTCTCAAGCAAGAAGATTTACTTCTCAATAACAGCAGCAAGTGCGTATTTTTTTTTTTCATATTATTTTATGATATATAATTTGATTTTCAGTTCTGTTTAATTTTCCTTTTTTTTTTTTTTTTGTGTAAAACCCATAGTTGGAATGTTGATGAGATGCCCATTGACAAGCAAAAGCTTGCTGCTCCAATAAAATCAGCTGTTGATAAGTTTCAGCTACTCCCTGAGTTTTTAAAGGTAATTTTTGTGAGTGCACACTAGAAATTCGACTTTTCCATGTTCATCCCGTTCAGTTCTAGTTCATGTGGGGCTTTAATCACCATCCTTGAAAGTTTTTGACTATTTGTACTGAAATTCTGAATGCCTGAGAGTCTTTGGTCTCCTTTGGTGTTGGAATTTGATTGACTCTAATTCATTTTGATTTAACTTCTGTTAATAGATTGAATCCTGATTCCTGATATTGTTAGCACATCAAAAGCTTGTTATCAATATTTTTTGGAACATTAGATCAAAGCTATATTTGTTTAATCATATAATAAACCAGATTTGGTAGGATTGGGAGAAACAGTTTTGGTAATCATACAATCATATAATATATTTGGTCCATCACTTATATGCTCGGGTTTCAAATCCACAATGATGTAACCTAAACTGACCCGAGCATGTAAGTGATGGACTGAATATATTTGTATGTTGCTTAGGAACAATGTCTTCTCTGGTTTTAAGGTAGAAAATCCACCCTAGTACATTCAAAATACCTGTTCTTGGGCCCTACTGATAATGTTGAATCTTCATGGTTGCCACTGATGCAAAATGATACACTGATATCAGACTACTAAACCACGTACGGCTTAGTATATAGTTCTTATCCGAATGTTTATTTTATTGTTAGAGACAATAATTTTTGCTTAGTTCATGACTTTGTTAAAGCTGTTAGGTGTATGGTATTTGTTTTAATAATAAACCCTTGGCTGTATGGTATTTATCTTATGTGAAAGAAGTTTATATTTTTGAACTAAATTATGGTTTTATGATTTTTTTTTCTTTTTATAGGTTAGAGGGTTAGTTAAACAACACCTGGATTCATTTAACTACTTTGTTAATACCGGAATAAAGAAAATTGTTCGTGCCAATGAGCGCATTGCATCCGATGTTGATCCCAGTATTTACCTCAGGTTTGATAACATTTTGTTGGTGATAATTGGTATATAATATGATTTACTAACTTGCAATTGTAGATTCCATTTGATTTTTATTTTCACTACTTGTTATTATATTTATTTATTTTTTTGCTTTCAGATGCAAAAAGTAAAAGAAAGTGTGTTTGATCAAGAGATTTTTTTTTTGAATAATTGAAATTAAAAAATGATTTTTTTTTTTTTTTTGGAATGATGACATGCAATATTTTACTTTTTTATTTGGAATGGTTACATTTGAATGTGTGTTGTAGTTTAACTATTTGATAATCAAATATGAGGATTTTGCTTTTTAGTAACTTTTGAGGTAACAGAAGACAGTTAGTAGTAATAATAGCAATAAAATGGAGCTTTAGCTGTTTTATTGTCATGAATTAGTGTGTTTATGTTGTAATTTGTTCCTTGACATTCTGGTTATGACTTATCTGTTTAGGGGGAAATTAAGTTTTCTATGGTATAATTTGGATTTAGAATTTTTTCGGCTCTAGTTGCATCTTAACTTGTCTTGTGATGCAGGTTTAAAGATGTTAGAATCGGTGAGCCCTCCATGACGATCGATGGGATTAGTGAAAAAATAAATCCCCATACATGCCGGTTGTCAGATATGACGTATGTACAAAATTATTTTTCTAAATGCTTTGCAAATTGTCTATGTGCAACTATTTCACATAGGCGTTCTTGGAATTTTTATTTTGTCTGGTGTGATAACAACTAAAATAAATGGAATAGTGAGGATTAGTAGATGTTGTTCTGGTTCGTCTTATTAATAAGCTGTTAATTTTAAGGTATGCTGCACCAATTTTGGTCAACATTGAGTACATTCAAGGGAGTCATGGGCAGAAAACTAGACTGGAAAAGGTACATCAGATACTTCCTTGACGTGTGAATGATGTGGATTGATAGATGCTTCGGATGTAACACAAAATCTGTTCCTGCAGAATGATCTTGTTATTGGAAGAATGCCCATCATGTTAAGGAGTTGTTGCTGTGTGTTATTTGGAAAAGATGAAGCTGAACTTGCGAGGCTTGGTTTGTGTTCCTTAAACTCAGAATAATGGCTTGCTTTTCTGACTTTCTTCTCCTTGTTATATTTATTTTTTTTCATTGTCTGTCATTAGGTGAGTGCCCTCTCGATCCTGGAGGATATTTTATCATTAAAGGAGCAGAGAAGGTAATTCAGACTGTTTTGATTGTCTAAATATATGTTTGCTTTGTTCTCTACTTACCTCACATGTGTGTGAATACACTCATTCGCTATAACATGCTTTTAGTTTGTCAGTAATTGCCATACAGGTTATTCAGTTAATATTCATGATGAGCCAGAAATCTGTAGATAAGTAGGTGGTTAATCGTACAATGAATGGATAAAAATGAATGAAATTAGTGGGATTGTTCTGTTAATTTGTTCTTGTTCTACCTGTTCTGATCTAGCTTTTGGATGGGACCCATCAAAAAATGATCCTGATCTTTTTTGGTTTTAGACTTATAATTGATTGTATTTCTCTGGACATTGTTGTATAGGATATTGTTAGGATCAAATGATGGTATAAATATTGTTGCACTAATATAAAATGTACATATTAATTCCACTTTGGTATTTTTTATCCCTTACTAATTTCTTCTTGTTTGCCTATTTTTTTTTTCAATGATCAAGATAACTTTTAAAATATAATAAGAATAATACATGTCAAAATGTGGAATTTTATAATTTGTTTACTTTTAAGTACTTGTTTTGCACACTAGCACTTTTTTGATGTGCGTCACGAGTTTGATTGGTCTGAAATAGAGATATTGACAACTGTGTTTGCTTTATTATTCATTTTCAAATTCTTTTCTCATTGGGACTGAATTTTATTTTTCTCTTCTCTTGGTAGTTTCTTATTTTTAGAATGCTTGTTGTTCTCTTTCTTGGTAGTTTCTTGTTATTATAATGTAATGTCATGATTCTGCAAATGTCTTTCAGGTGATTTTAATACAGGAACAACTTTCCAAGAATAGGATAATTATTGATGCAGACAAGAAGGGAAAGTGGGTTGTTCTTCCAATTTTTTACACTTTGCTAATGTTTGATTCTTCCTTGATCCTTGCTCATCTGCTTGATGATTGACTCTTCCAGTCCCTTAGTTCTTTTATCATGTGCATTACTTGAGGATCCTTGGCTCCATATACAATTGTACTAGTAAATGTTTACTGTAAGTGAGTTGTGGAAGAGTATAGGGTGGACGTTAAAGTATTGTTGTTGTTTGTCTAGTTGTTAAAGTCATTATCTAATTTGTCATATATTGAATTGCTTAATAATGGTGTTACAAACTTTCAGAGGGTTCTTAGCAAATAAGCAATTAACATTTTTCTAGCTTATAGTCAATTAGCATTGCTGCTTGTTAGAAAATATGTTTGAAGCTCATGGAAGGATTAAGAAGGAAACAATGATATTGATGCAATGTAATTTTAGCTTGTAAGACTTTATATTGCTTTATGCTTTTGTGTAATACATAACATATTTATGCATTCATTTTGACATATAGGATGATCAAAGTCTTGTTATGGACTTTGGTTTCAATTTGTGACTAACTTTTTTATTGGCATTTCTACTTGGTTGATACATCTATCTTCTGAAGTTTTAGCTTAGCTGTCACTATGTTATAGTAATTTCTGTTCTTATCAATTTCCCCACCCCTTTGGATTTGTTCTAATTTCTGTCAGTTCTACTTGAGCCCTCCAGTATAAATGCATCTGTGACAAGCAGTTCAGAGGCAACAAAGAGCAAAACAGTTATTCAGATGGAGAAAGACAAGATATATTTGCTTCTCAATCAATTTGTGAAAAAGGTCTTGTTGCATCTTACTTTCTCTCGTCCTTTGGATTCCTAGATTTTTTTTTTTTTTTTGGGAAGAGTTATTAGTGCTACATTTTTGGACTTTCGCTTTTGCTGAGTGTTGTTTTCCTATAGATCCCTATTATGGTGGTCATGAAAGCAATGGGGATGGAGAGTGATCAAGAGGTTGTGCAGATGGTTGGTAGAGATCCTCGTTATGGTGCCCTTCTTTTGCCTTCTATAGAGGTAAGCTATGTGGTTGAGGATGCAAAGCTGATCATGATTGTATTATTTAAAAGAATGGTAAATAATTCCTGAAAAGTCAATTGCATATTCCTGAAAGGAACATAAGAATTTTAAAGATGTATATTTCTTACTAAAGGGATATGACAAAATGTATTGTTTTATTCAGAGGATTTTTATATATTGGTTTATAACAGTTGTATATATTATGGGTGGCGTAGAAATGCAATGTCATAATTAGATTGATAAAGAAGTAGAAGTTGAGGGAAGGGTGCCTTTGCTTATTAATTTGTAATGTGGATCTATGAATGCATCAATGCAAAAGAGTAAATCATATGAGTGATTTATAGAAATGAGGTAGAGGTATACAGAAAATGACCTAGGTAATAGTCTTGAAAAAGGGATTTAGTTTCTAAACTCCGATGGAGAGCTTTATTTGGATTTTCTGGTGGGATTCTTGAGTTGTCAAGATCTCTCAAGGAAATTGAAAAGTGTCTTGAGTCCACCCTCTACTATAAAAGCCTGCACTAGTTTGTATTGTGCAAATTTTAGATTTCTGAAATGAAATTCAGTTTTCTAGCCTTTCTCCTCTGTGTTCCATAACATTTCCTTGATAATAATTTCTCAATCTTCAGATCTTGTGGCAGGATTCTTGAGTTGTCAAGATTTCTCAAGGAAATTGAAAAGTGTCTCTAGTCCACCCTTTACTATAAAAGCCTGCTCTAGTTTGTATTGTGCAAAATTTAGATTTCTGAAATGAAATTCAGTTTTCTAGCATTTCTCCTGTCTTCCATAACATATCCTTTATAATATTTTCTCAGTCTTCTTCTCCTCTTCCACAGGCACATTCATTAAAACCTGCATTCTTTACATATTCATCCCTTCCTACACAAAGTCGTTTAACGTCTGACACTACATCAGAGCATAATTGTTCTATCAGTTGGCCTCTATTAGTTTCGGCTTTCCTTTAAACCCTGTTCAACTCCCTTCTAGATCAGATTGTTACTTAACTTGATAGTTTCTCTACTACTTCTATGGTCACTGAATATTGTATATAAAAATCCTCATTAACTAATTTCATGATTTAGTAGTTTTAATTTTGTAACCCATTTTATGATTTATTTGTTAGGCATTGGCATCATAAAAATGATCTGCATCTGTTATTTCAATTTTGTAACATGGCTGTGCACACGCATGCATGCATGATTAAGATGTTTCTACTCAATGTGTTCTTGACTTTTCTGGAGTTATTCTTGTCTTCACAAAATGGTGTTTTTTTTAATTTATCTTTACTTTCCAGGAATGTTCAGGTGTTGGCATTTATACCCAGGAACAAGCATTAGAGTACCTTGAGACAAAGGTTCAATACTCTTTGTTACTTGTGTAATAAAACTTATGACTTTAGCTTTTTATATCTAGATTTCAATGCACTAAATGGATCCTGAAGGTGATTGTAGATGTTTATGTGTTAATTTTACTTTGATTCTAGTATGCAATTTTTGTTACTTTTATCCAACCTTTTAAAAATGAAAATTCTATGAAGCTGTATCAACTCCATATGCATGTTAAAATAAGATGCCTTCTCTTTAGGTCATTTGTCTGAAGTACAACAGGAAATGCTGTATGGTGTTGAATTTTTACTCTTATGGCCTTTATTCTTTCTAAGGCTCCTTATTTTGTTAGTCACATGGTAATTTATTTTTTAAGGTAAGATAATGGGCCCAGTCAAGTTGCAAAATGTAGCTGGACAAAATTGTTGCTTCTGTTGTCAATATAAGCCTTATTATTACATGCTATGTACATGAGTAATAATTTCTTTAATGCATGAGCACAATATTGTTTATAAATAGTAGTAAAATATAATTTAATTGCATTAAGGGTAGATCAGTTTTTACGATTTAGATAAGAATTAGGTGTTCTAGATAGTACTAAATGAGGAAACACAAATAGTTATTAGGAAGTCTATGACCAATCAAAAACAAATTATAACTTTTAAGAGCCTCTCTCCCCTCAATATTTCATTGTTTTAACTAAAGCAATAAATGATTTAATAAATGAAATCTACGAGTCTTATTTCATAAATAAATGTTCATTGAATATTTGATTGACCTTGAAGATTTGACAATTTGGTCTTTTCTTAGGTTGAGTCTGCTATCTTGCTTACTTTGAAAGCTAGCCTTGAGCTCCAGTAATCTTGTCAAAATTCAGCTTGTTCTGTGCATGTGAGCTCTGCTCAGAGTTTTTATAATTCCAACCTTAATTAACTTAATATGGTAAGAGCCGGAGGGAAGATATTTCCTTGTGCTCCTTTAAAGTTTCTTTGATGGGCTAATTTTCTGACAATTGAAGGCCTGTTTTCATGGAGTCAACTCAGGCACCAGAGATCATCTTAATGTTGTTCTGTTTGGAGGCACATGCATCAGATGATCAGTGATTTTCTGCCAAGTCATCAGATATTTCAAATGCATTGCTGTGGCCAAAGATTCTCTATAGAATAATATGCAAATCAAGATGAGCTGCCTTATACACTAAGAAAAAAAAATCAAGTCTCTTAATTGAATCTGACTAGCCTTATTAGATATGTTAATTGAACCAGAACCAAGCTTGGGCTGATCATTGTGGTTCCATTTGCAGTCCTGATTACAAGGAGTTTCCTAACTCCATGAAGGCTGCCATAGTTGTAGAAGAAAAGCCATTCCTTTTTTCTTTGTGTTAATATTTTTACTCTACTTTCTCTTTGTTTGAAAATCAACTAGTTAATGAGTCACAATTAACTCAAGTGTTTGTACTTGCTCCAATCAATTCATGCTTTGTGCTTGTACATTGTTCAGCAGAATGTTTTTCCCCTCTTTTTTTGTTTTCATACCTTATGAAAGCTATTTCATTGAAGTCAGAGTCTATTTGAAGTGTTGATGCATCATTTAGTTTGCGTTTTCCCTTTTGCCATATATTTATTGTTGTTCCAATGCTTCTGGTTGGTTCAAGTTTTCATGCCGATCATTTCCTTTTGCAGGTGAAAAGAGCTATGTATGCTGCTCCCGCATCTCAGAAGGTTTTTCTTCCTCCTTAGTTGGTCTCTGCATAAATGCCCATGTTTGCATTATTGCACATAGATGTGTTGAGAGCTTTTCATCAATGAAAATGCTATGCTGTAGGCATTGTTTTGCATAAATTAAGTCAACGATTTAGTTAATCTTTATTTATTTATTTATTTTTTTATAGGAAGGGAGAGCTCTGCCTATCCTTCGAGATGTGTTTCTTGCCAATGTTCCAGTAGGTTTTGTTTTAACATTCAAAGATCAATGCCAATATTTGACATCAAAAACTGTTTACATTTAATTTTCTCTTTTGTTTAGGTTCGTTGTAATAATTTTCGTCCAAAATGTTTGTATGTTGCGGTAATGATGAGAAGGATGATGGAGGCAATTTTAAATAAGGATGCAATGGATGACAAGGTAGCTGATTCAACTCAGTATGAATGAAAAATCTTCTTTTTAGTTATTGGCAAATGTGGACGCACCACAAGTGTGAACTGAAAGTTAGCCTTATTATGTAGCTGTATAACTTAAAAAGCACTAAAAGCAAACAGCAACAAGCTGATTTCTTAGATGTCTGTTAGTCTAAAAATATTACTAGAAGGATTTATTGGATTAAATCTAAAGGTTGACTGGTAAGTGTATAGTTGACAGAACATGCTTAATATTAAGCACTAGAAGTCCTATCCTATTAAACCTGTGCAATTTGCTTGGAAGTTTACATCCTTAACTTTACCACAACAACTTTTCAAAGTTGCTGCCATGTAATCTTTAATCCCCCCAATCAAAGTACTTTATAACATTTTTCTGTTGTAGCCCAGGTTACCAATAAGCAAAGGGAAAGCCATGTGCCCCTAAGTTAAAGCATTTTATATGAGGGGTGGCATTGCATATTTACTTATGATTTTTATGCCTGGAAATTGGATCATCCTTCAGACTAGCTTAGTGGTATTTATTGTTATATTCCTTTTCCATGTTTATCATTCTGAGGCAAAGCAGGTGTTGTGGTGTGTCATAGATCCTATCTATTCATGAATTCAAGGAGCTTGTGGAATCATGGAAATTGATGAATATGTTACAGTTAGTGGTGTATGTAAACTTACTTGTGCTTGGGTATATAAATGGTTTTCCTTTGTTTTATAGGATTATGTGGGGAACAAGCGTCTGGAGCTATCAGGACAACTAATCTCTCTGCTTTTTGAGGTATTATTTAGAATTATGCATATTCCTGAAAACCTTATATGTCATTGGTATTAGTTCTTAATGTTTTTCCCTGTCCTTGTTGACTTATTAATGTAATAGGATTTATTCAAGACAACCATTAGTGAGGTTAAGAAGTTGATTGATCATGCCCTATCAAAGCCCAGCAGATCTAGTGCTTTGGACCCTTCTCAGGTAAGTGGAAGAAATCAGTATTTTCAAGACAAAGTTCTTTTTCGTATGCCAATTTGATTTTTGATACTCAAGGAATTACTCAGCTTTAAATCTTGTATTTTATCATGTGGGATTTGGCAAACACAATCTATTTTGGAGTGGTGATAGGTGGAGATAGGGATGTGGGGACGGCTTGGATAAGGAGAGTTGGGGATCATGAAGGAGGATTTTTTATGGCAGAAAATGACTCTCTGTTGAGTCACATATTTATAGTCCACTTAGGCTTCTGCAGATTATTTCAAAAACTTTAACATTCTTCAACATGTAACAATGATTGAGTTATGGCCCCAGTGCTAACAATGGTCTGACCAGAGTCAAGACTCGACTGGTTGAAAGTCCAACTAGTCTGACTGTATAATTTGATTGAGTTTTAACTGATTTCAGATTAACAGCATAACGAACACTAATCAACATAAAGTCAAACTAGTTTTAGCTAAACGACAGTGCTTGACTAAAAACGTAAAAGCTGGTTCTACAGATAAACAAATGTATTTAATCTCCATATTCATTATATATTGCATTGATCTTTTTGTTTTTCGTTGAACCTGTTTCTCCAGATTTGCATAGAAAATTTCTCAATACATTGTAACCTATAATTTTCTTTTTTGAAATTGTAGTTTTTGCGTAGTAGAGAGACCATTACTGTTGGGCTTGAAAGGACCCTTTCTACTGGTAACTTTGATATCAAGCGGTTCAGAATGCACAGAAAAGGCATGACACAGGTATTTTTCATCCTCTCAATTGGTGTGCATTAATCCATTTTTTTCCTGTATTTTCTTGGTACAGCATAAACTGATGGAAATCTTTCACTGATAGGTGCTTGCGAGGTTATCTTTTATTGGGACTTTGGGCTATATGACTAAAATCTCACCACAGTTTGAGAAGTCTCGGAAAGTAAGTGGACCAAGGGCCTTGCAACCCAGCCAGGTGAGGGTGATTTCTCCGCATTGCTTGCAAAATACTTTATTATGGATTGTTCTTTGGTGGTTTATGTTGGTTTTCGCATAGTCTGTTTCCTTTTTTTTTTTTTTTCTGTATATTTATTTCAAATTCTTTTTTCTGTTCCTTTTTCTATAGTGGGGAATGCTTTGCCCTTGTGATACTCCTGAAGGTGAAGCTTGTGGATTGGTTAAAAACTTGGCCTTAATGACTCATGTTACAACTGATGAGGATGAGGGTCCATTGATTTCCCTGGTATGTACTTAGTCATTTGAAATTTCTTTGTTAGTGAAGTTGTTGTCATGGTAATGACATCATGATAAAAGTATTTACTGAAGAGATACTTCACTGATGATATCAAACAGTCTTTGGTGCTAAAATATAGAAGTGTGATAATGCAAATCCACTGGGTGACATGATATGAATATATCAATTATTAGGGATATTTTGGTTTGGTTCAGAGTTGTTTCCTCCTCAATTCTAACCGCACTGAGCTCCTGTGTTTCTTCAAATGTGAACTTAGCAACTGGTGAAACCAAATTATTGTCTCTCTCTCTCGTTTGTTACTTTGTTTGTAGTTTCATCACCTTAAGTAATTTTTCTTTTTTGTGATTTAGCAAGAACTTAGCTACTTTTTTTCCTTTTTGTGATGAAGTAATGAAACCTTTTCAAATTGAATCATTAAAACTGTGATTTTCACTCAAGAAAGAATTGACAAGTTAAAAAAATTCAAAGAAATAAGAAAAAAACTAGTTGCCAAATTTGGCTGGATTTTGATCATTGTTTTCCTGATTTCCAGCTTAAAAAGATCAAGGAGGGATTTTATCAGAGAAAAGGAACTAGAATGGTTCAAAAAGAAAGCAAAAAGAGGAAAGAAACTAGAGAGAAAAGCCTGGAATTTCATATCTAAGAAAAAATGGAAAGAGAAGAAAAACCTAGATGATGAGTTGATTGTTGAAAGGGGCTACTCTGATAATACAGGTGCTGGGGAAGGTCAATGAAAATAAAGATAAAAAAAGATGTAATTGAGCTTGGAGAGGATGAAATGTGAGGTCCAAAATAGTATAAAGAATAAAGAATAGATAAATAAAAGGAAGAGAAGTTAGCTTCGAAAGAATGTAGTGGGAATCTAAATAGGATGCAAGTAAAGTTAGTAATAACTGATAAATATGTTTCACAAATTTATTTAATTATTTTAATATTCAGTCATTAGCATCAATTAGAAAATAAATATGATAATACTGTTCATACAAGTTTGATACATTGATATCATGTTGCTATTAAATCTGTCATTTTATTCTATGCTCAGAAAAATTGGTATGATCATCACTTCATCAGTTAGTTATATAATCTAAAAATTATTTATTTATTTGATTTTATGATTATAATCTATAAAGATATCAAAATGCAATAAATTATTTCAATAACATAAAGCCTTATCCTTGGTTAGATATTTCATCTAACACTGCAACTTGCTTGTGATTAATTTTTGAAGCAAAACTTAAAGAAGATTATTATTTTGCATGTCAAGCTGAACTCTTTGATGTGTCATTGACCTAAGTCATACTATATTGTGTAATCATATCATTATTTGCCTATTTTTACATTTTAAATTCATTTAGTGTATTTTTGCTGTAATAGTGCTATTGCTTAGGCGTTGAAGACTTGGAGCTACTATCTGGAGAAGAGCTTCATACACCAAATTCATTCCTGGTTATATTAAATGGGCTCATTCTTGGCAAACATAGAAGGCCACAGGTGCTGTCAGTGTTCGTTTGAAGCCAACATGAATTGATATCTATATATGAAAGTTAACTCAATTCAACTGAACCATACTGTTAAAGTTTTTGTAGAGCATTAGACAAATGGTAATTCTCTTTGGTGTTCGGTTTAAGGCTATACTCCTAAAAAAAGATTGAGAAAAGAAGACTTGTTCAGTAGAAATTTATATATTAATATACAAAAGTCAACACCAGTCAACTAACCTTTAATCTCAATCTAATTGCAGACTGTTATGTATATAATTTTACTTTGGGTGCTTGATTTAAGGCTATGTTCCTTGAAAATTTGTTGAGATAACAAGTCTTTCCTTTCTACTTTTGTAATTGTCAGCCTCTACTTGCATTATATCACCCTTGAGCACTAGTGCATACCTGTGACTCTGTATATGTTCTTTCTTACATTTTCCCCCCCGTAGTACTATTGTAAGTTAATAAGGATAAATTCATTTGTTACTGCCTGTTTGATTCAAATTCTGAGATGTTCCTCTGCTCTAGATCTGCCAACCAGCCTCTAGCTTCTGTAAAAGCTGAATATAAGCTTTTAGATCCCCAGACCTTAAAAAGAGCTAAGTGCAAAAAAGCTGATAGAAATATGCAATGAAATTTTTGAAGGAAAAGAAAGAAGTCTTGGTTATTTCAAATATCCTGATAGTGCTTTTCAAAAAGCTTTACTTCAAATTCACTTTTTATAGCTGCTGCAGCTGGTCCAATCCAGTACTTATTCCATCCTTTTTTTTTTTTTCTGTATGATAGCATGTCCATTACTATGAACTTATTTTAGCTATGCTGAAATTTGAGCATGTAGTTTTCTAGTTGTCCTCGCTCATTTAAGACAAAATACTTGGTCTTATCATCATTATATTGCATCTCTTTTTCAGGTTGGTAGGTATCCCTTGATGATGTACCACTCTAAAAACTTTTTTCTATTTCGCTTTCCATGACAAAAACAACATTTTCCTTTAGTCTTTGAACAATTAATTTTGTGTTCAGAACATAAGACACTTAGGAACTTCCTGATCATTTTCCAATTCCCAGACATGCATACTTGTGTTTTAAAATTTTTGCCCATGTACAATAATTTTGTTCCGCTAGTCCAATAATATTCTCCCCCCTTTATGTAGCATTTTGCTCAAGCTATGAGAAAGCTGCGAAGAGCTGGCAAAGTTGGTGAGTTTGTGAGTGTCTTTGTGAATGAGAAGCAGGTAAAATCTTCTTTCACTTTTCTGCTATGCAATTGTCTCTAGTGTGATATTTGTTCTTCAAATTATAAAACTTTTCTTTCATTTTTTTATAATTATGCTGTCCGTAGTCGTAAACACCTTATGCACATTCTAAGTTTAAGATCAATTTGCAAATGTATCTCTGCTTTCCCTTTAATGGCTGGGTTTTTTTGCTTTATATCTACAAGTTAATGACAATTTTAAATATTTTACTGATCCTCAAGATTTAAAAATGTTGATCAGCGCTGTGTTTACATTGCTTCCGATGGAGGCCGAGTTTGTCGACCGTTGGTAATAGCTGACAAGGGAATATCAAGGATCAAAGAACACCATATGAAGGAGTTACTGGTAAGAGTTATATTTCCTATTTTATCCAAAGAGAATAATGTTTTTCCAAAACTAATTCTAACTTTTTGCTCATTTAGGATGGAGTTCGTACTTTTGATGACTTTTTACATGATGGATTGATTGAATATCTTGATGTCAACGAGGAGAACAATGCTCTGGTTTGTTTTCCCTAATGTTTTTATGGTTTGTCATTCTCATGTTACAATTTATGGATAATTACTTTTGAAAACATGATTATCTATTTATAGATTGCTTTGTACGAAAAAGAGGCTACACCTGAAACAACCCATATCGAGATAGAGCCTTTCACGATCTTAGGTGTTTGTGCTGGGCTAATTCCATATCCTCATCATAATCAGTCACCAAGAAATACCTATCAGGTTTTGTACATTATTTTCTGGTATCTTGAACTATGTATATCTGTGAGCTGTGTCTTTTGCTCTTATCATCTCTAATTTTTTGTGTATTTGTAGTGTGCAATGGGGAAGCAAGCAATGGGAAATATTGCATATAACCAGGCAAGAAGTATTATTTAGTATTCTGTTTATCTGTATTTGTAGTTTTGAGCAAAGAGTCCTTTATTGCACTGAAAACATGATAAAGTTTCCTTGAATTCAAGAAAATTTTTTTGAAGGTTTCATTAGTCTAAAACAAGCATTCTCTATTTTCTGTAAGTTCTGCTTAATCTAAAATGATTAAATAATTTGATCTCATAGTCTGCAAGGTATAGGCTTACATATACAGATATAAAATACGAACATAACTTTGTTTTCTGAGAAATTTCTCTCATAAACTTGAGATAAGATTTTGCCTTATGTATTTGATGAACTGAGTTGTTGAAAGTAATGATTACTTGCCAAATGCTCTCCTCACATGTTTTGTTTTTGTTTGTTGACTTGTATCCTTTTAAATATCATTAAAAATTTAATTCTGAGACATGTCTCCCTGCTAGATTTTATGAGTTTTTGGTTTAATTTCATATGTTTGAGTTTAGCTTGAAAACTTTTGTTCATATATTTCTTTCAAATTGTTTTTCTTGCTGAGGTGGTCCTTTTATGTTGTAGTTGTGCCGGATGGACACATTACTTTATCTATTGGTGTATCCTCAGCGGCCTTTATTGACAACAAGGACAATTGAACTGGTCAGTAGTCTGTATATTTTGGAGCATAACACATCTTTTTGTCCTGTAAATTGACTGCTATGCTTTCAGGTTGGATATGATAAGCTTGGAGCTGGTCAGAATGCAACTGTTGCTGTTATGAGTTACAGTGGTTATGACATAGAGGATGCAATTGTCATGAACAAGTCTTCTCTAGACCGTGGTTTTGGTCGATGTATTGTGATGAAACGGTATACAACTTTTTATCCTTATGATGGCATTTATTATTATTCTTATTGGACCTTCTTCCCTGCATGGCTTGGGCAATTGTCTAATCACATGTTGTTATCTCTATTGGATAGGTATTCTGCCGTTAATCAAAAATACGAAACTGGTGCATCCGACAGAATACTTAGGCCACAGAGAACGGGCCCTGGTTCAGAAAGGATGCAGGTAATGCATTTACTTACCTTTCCCCAATTGCATGGGTGGATTGCATTGTTACATCAAGCATTTTTAAGTGTGTTCACACAATTGTTTGTTTGATGACATTATATCTTTTGTTTATTAGTTGTCATTGTTGTGATATTAGTATATTTTTTTGTAACTTATGTCCTCTTCCAATATCAAGCTGTAGTAGTCTAGGATTCTGTTGGTGGTGATCTTCCTCCTTCACATAGTGGATGGCAACTAGTTTAAGAAGGCGACTTTAATCATTTCATTTTCCAAATTTGCCTTTCAGAAGATGGCATTTGAAAATATATACTCTTTGAGTCCTTTCATTAAAATGGATAGCTTTGGAAATAGAACCCTCTTAACATTTTTTATTTTCTTAATGAAGGGTTTATTAATAGTTGACAGAGGAAGTAAGATGTTTTCTACAGTTGTACAAATACAAAACATAACTTTGGACTATATCCCACCTCCACTCACAAAACAACTAGAACTGTGCGTGATCTGGTTTACATTAACATACATTATAGAGTCATAGAATAGACTTATCTTATCGCCAGTCAAAGAATTGCCTTGCCGTAATTGTATTCTATTTGAGCAAACTAAAAGCTTCAACTTAAAAGCATCAACGGTGATGTGAGTTAGTGCATTGAATTAGCACATTTCTCTCCTCATGACGAGTAGAAATTTTAAGAGAATGAGCAATGATAGAAAGAAAGATTGTAATCGATATTTTATATTATTTTTGAGGCTTATCTTGAAGGAAAATTATTTTTCTTTATATTTGTTATCTTCATATAGGTCTAATTTTAGAGGGCATTTGCAGTGAGTTTATTTTATTTTGGGCAATACACAGTATAGTTTAAGGAGTTAATGTGTTGATAATAATATTTTGATGAATAAAATAATTCGAAAGCTTGTTTTTCTCCATTTATACCCTAGTTTCTGTTAACTTTCCAAAACGTTGGTCTAAGGATTGTCTTTCTTTTTCCTTTTGTGGATCTCTTTTCGATTTTGAAGGTTTGAGCAACTATATGCAATATCAGTTCAACATCAGGGTAAGAAGTTAGTTTTTCCAATTTTTAGAAAGAAAAAAAGGGGTGGTGGCATTGCAAGTAGGGTTTCCAAGTTTATAATTTTTAGTTTTTTACCCTTAATAATTTAAATTAATAATGTTTTCAAATTGGTATAGATCAGCAATAAAATGCAAACCCTTCAGTTAACTCTTCTCTCTGTCTCTCACTCCTATACTCTCTTCTCCTTTAACCTTCCATACATTATGTTATAGTTTGCTTGTTTGCTACCCAAAAGGGATTATCCTTTTCCTTTTGGTGTGAACATCATATGCTTTAATGGTGAATCAAGAATAAATTGTCTCTTTATATGTATATGTATCTTTAACTGGTTTTTAAGTTAGAAGATATTATATTACCTCACATCATTATAGGCTTTGAAGATTGGGAGTGAATAATGAAATGTAGAATGATGCAATTAAAAAAAAATGCCATCTGCTTGATTCTTTAAAGGTATGTATGCAGTCTTCAAACTAGAATAATGAACCTTTAGAAGGATGGAGCCATTCAAATTATCCAAATTATTTTAAGGCATCCAACGTAAAACCAATTAGTAATAGGTGGAGAGACCTATCTTATATTTAAGGAGTAAGAATTTCTCAAACTTAATCAATATGAGGTTTATTTTTATCATCACATAATGTTCATCCACACATATGGGGACGTAGGAACTATCATGTGGCATATACAGATATACTTCATGTGTAGGTTAATGGGTCTATTTTGTTGCATGGACTTCACATGTAAGCCTAAAAGGTCTATTTAGTAGGGCCAACAAGTAGAGCTTGCTCTGATATTGTGCTAAGTATACAACCTAAAGCTACTTGACAGTGGATTGAGAGACCTTGATTCTACTTAAAGATCCAGAATACCTGTCATTCAATCAATTTTGGATTTGTTTTATTACCACTTAGTGGTCCACCTCGTGTAGGAAAATAGCCCTATCATGTGGCGTGTACATGTATAGAGATAATCATTTTATCATGTGGCATGGATTTCAAGCCTATTATGAAGGGGGCAACAAATGGAGGCAAAACTTGCTTTGAAATTATGTCAGGTATTATTATAAAGTCTCCAATTTAAAACCAACTGGTAATAGGTGGAGTGATCTCTCTTCACTTATGAACCCAAGTTACCTTAACTTTAATTATGTGAGATTTATTTTTATTATCACTTGACAAAGGTGAACTGGTTGTTAAAAAAAATAAAATAAAATAGAACAAAGGTGAACTGTTCAGCGAAGACAGTTCCTACATTTGATTCTTTACTAGCTCATGACATCTAAAAGAAAATGCCATGGAAGTAATGATTTTATTGCTCTATTGGTAACTAGTGGATATTAGACTCGTCTTGTGTTTTATTGTTAATGCGGTGCCCTTTTAGACATGAGTTGTCAGAAAACACTTTATGTTGGAAATGGGCATTGTTTGATGCATATCCAAAGAGAGGTAAAGCAATATTAACGGTTCAATTGGTTTTAGTTTCTTATGGTGAAAATGAACTAGCCACCTCATAACGTTTTCCTAAAGCCCCTTCTTTCTGCACTTCCACTGGATCGCTACATTTAGGGCAAATTAAACTTTTTTGTTTTATGCTTCACTTCAGTCTCCCAAAGTAATGGGTAATCTGGAAATGTAGCTCATTATTGTAATTTTTTAGAAGTTAACCATGCTAACTTTCTATGCACGAGCACTGTTTCTAATTTTATTGGATTATTTTGTGATTTCCATCAAATTTCAATTGTGAAGTTCTTTGTGTAGATATTGGATGATGATGGAATTGCTGCTCCTGGGGAGATTATTAGACCAAATGATGTCTACCTTAACAAGGAGTCTTCTATTCATACAAGAGGGACTCGTGTATCTTCAGAATCTCTACCAGATAGGTAAGCTATTCATTTTGCTTTCTGGAAAATTCTTTTATTGGTCTTTTATTGCTTTGAAATGTTCGTCATCAATTTCCAATGTGCAGTGCATATAGACCTGCAAGGCAAACATACAAAGGTCCTGAAGGAGAGTCTTGTGTGGTGGATAGAGTTGCTCTTAGCTCTGATAGGAACAGCAATCTATCGATCAAATTTTTAATACGGCACACACGTCGACCTGAGGTAGGCAATATTGATTTGGTTTCATTTCTAAGTCATATTTTTCTTCCTCAGAAAAGCAAAGCTGACCTTGTTTTCATTTTGTTTCTCTTTTAATACTTATTCACTCAGGTTGGTGACAAATTTAGTAGCAGACATGGCCAGAAAGGTGTCTGTGGCACTATTATTCAGCAGGAAGATTTCCCATTTTCAGAGCGTGGCATTTGTCCTGATTTAATTATGAATCCTCATGGTTTTCCAAGGTAAGATCATTTCTTAGTTACATTATTTTATGATTGGAATGATTATAATCTAAGCAATCACCCTACAACCTTTCTCTATATCCTATTGCCTGTATAAGACACTTCTTAGATTTTGAGATACACTTGAGAAAGTGTTCACTTGTTACCGTTTCTTTCCTGTTACTTTTTTTCCTCTTTCTTTGAGATAATATGTAATGCTTTAACAACTAATTACAACATGGGTCGATTTAAGCATGAACCCTTTCCTGACCCCATGCCTGCCCAAAAGATAAACAAAAAGAGCTAGTCAGCCACTTCCTTTACCATCCATCTAGAGAACTACAAGTCCATTTAAGACGCATAAACAGCCAAAATGCATGACGGCATTTTTGCTTTTTGGAGGAGCTTCTTTGTACACATAAAAGGAATGTTGTTCCTGCTACAAACAAAGAAATATTTATAGAGCTTGGTAACTCTAATGTAGGTTAACAAATCCAAGACAAAATGCATAAGAATTCTGCATAACTAGTCCTTCAAACCACCTGCAAGTGTAAAAGGGGTTGACTGGGTGAACTAATAGCTCATATCTTGAGTTGCACGTCTAATTACATTTTTTTTTTTTTACCTAGGATTTTAGTTGCTAGTGTTTCTATATGAAGGCAAAACAGTTCGGTATGCCTTTCCCTTTTTTCCCTCCTTAGTTTTTTAATTGTGAGTAAAGAAGTATATATTGCTTAAAGAAATGCAAAAGTCATATGGAACATAATGGAAAGCCTGCCTGAACTTTATTCTTATTGAAGCTAGTTATAGCAATCTCATCCTTTTTTTTTCTTTTTCTGAAGCCAATGTGTAATTGAACTATCAACATTATGGAGACTGAATTCAGTAATATTAGTTCTCCCTGGAACTTGACCTAGTGTCTTTAATTCTCAGCTTCTCTTTTGGTTTCCTGAAGTAGATAAGTGTCTCTCAAATGGGTGAAGTATTTTAACAATAAATGATAAATGTAAATTAGGAATTTAGTGTTTTAATAGTTGGAGAATTGATTTTTCCTTTATGCTTCTAAATGGGATGAGAAGTACTTGGTTTTGGGTCTTGCAAAATGAGATTACAGTATATGCTTATGAATGGGAAGGGAGAAGTCTCTAATAAGAGAGCCATTTTGGAGTGGAGTGTGTAGAATTAGGTGTTTGACTTTTTGGAGGCATCAAAGGAGTATTTATCGAATATGGCTTAATTGAGGTGGTTGTTGGTTGATTGTATGATTTGCTTTTCTGATTCAAGTTTTGTTGTACTGCTCTTCGTTTCTTGAACTATTCTTGGAGACCACTGTGACATATTTATGCATAACTACAATGAAGGAGGGTAAATGTTTTAACATGTATTTTATGATTTTTGAAAGTGCATTTGTTTCTCTAAACCTGTCTGTGTGGTGTTCCATTGGAAGTGAAAATGCTGCCAATGCACATATGGTTCTTGTTCAAAATGTTATGGAACTGATTTTTCTTTATGATATTCAGTTGCTAGCGTTGCACGCTTTCAACTTGTTGATTGATGCATATTGATAGTCTTTTGTTATTGTTAGTCGAATGACTGTAGGTAAGATGATAGAGCTTCTAGGAGGCAAAGCTGGAGTTTCATGTGGTAGATTCCATTATGGTAGTGCCTTTGGGGAGCCTAGTGGTCACGCAGATAGAGTTGAAGCTATAAGGTTACTTACTGCTCTCCTTCCCCTCCTCTCCCCCCCCTCCCCCGGGCGCCTCTCCCCAATAGTAGTTTTTTGTCATTCCAAGCACAGGGAGTTTACCATATAATCTCCATCTTTGTGACAGTGAAACACTTGTCAAGCATGGTTTTAGCTACAACGGGAAGGACTTCATTTATTCAGGTTTTGCTGCTTATGCTCTATCCTTCTCCCTCTCTCCCCTTTCTTGGAAGTTGGAGCCTCCTTCAGGTGGCAAGATTACTAGAGTTACATTTCCTATTTCGAATAATGCATCTTGAATTTTGTATACTTTGATAATGAAAAGAACTAGAGTTTCTAACTCAATTTTTTAAGACGTCATAAATGTATTGAATGCTTTGCAAGAGAACAAATATTAAGATGCTATTCCTATTGACACCCATCTCTGGTGATGTGGATTCTTCTGTTTCAGTATTCATTGACAAACTTACTGACAACAAGTTATAGTATGAGGGAACAATATCAATATGATTGTTTTATGATTGCATACTGATATTGATACATGTATGATTCTAGATGATGTACACAGAAGAATAAAACAGAATTAAGAATAGAAGTAACCTAAGATTAGGGAGGGGGCCTTTAGAATTACAATTAGTCTATTTCCTAAAACCATGCCTTTAACCTGCAAAGAAGGTGAAATTCCCTTGCAACTATTATGCACAGGATTAGAGCTAGAACAGTGATTGCTTTTCTTATGTTTTCTCTAGTATCAGTAAGATACTCTGCATTCAATGTCACTGTATAGATGTGTATTTTAGGTTCTCGATTTGAACTTTTTATAGTCACTGAAATGTACTTTCAAACTTTAGTAGAATCCACCATGACCAATTCCTTAGGATTTTTGTCACTAGAATTGAGAGCATGTGAGTAATGTCATAATCAGTTGGAAAGCAGAATAAACTGCAACTTCTACCATTATTCTCTATCACTTCTTATTGCATCTTCCCCGATTGACCAGTGACCTTGGATAATTCATTGAGATGCTATAAACTTATTATTTCTCTGTTCTACATATTCATTATTCTGACATGGGTTGTTGAAATGATAGCACCTGATATCCGTAAATTTTCTTCAGGTATCACAGGTTGTCCACTACAAGCATATATTTTTATGGGACCAATTTACTACCAGAAGTTAAAGCATATGGTTAGATTTTGTTTCGTTACACTATTTTACATCTTTGTTGATCCTTTAACTTGATTCACAACCAGAATTTGTTTTGGTTATTTTATTTTGGACTTTCTTTCGGTACAATACTGAATGTTGGATTGTGGGTTACTTATGGTTGTGATCATGACAACCTGCTTCAATTCTTGTGCTCCCCTGCTCCTAAACATAATAATGCATATTGCAAAGAACTTGGTTATCATTTGTAGTTAAGCATAACTCTTTTTGTGACATACTATGTACTCCATCTATGGCCGGACTCTATCCATGGAACAGCTGACATTCCTTCCCTGCTTCTATCCTCTTATTCTCCCCTGCATGTTTTCTTTGAATAAAGAAGTAGAGCCAAATACCAAGTCCTAGGTACCGAATTGTTCTGAATCTCCAATCAGAAAAGAAAAACGATTTAAATTTTTATTTATAAAAAATTTTAACCTTTTCATTAATTTCTGAAGAACAGCCTTTATATATTGCTACATACTCTGCCTACGAGAGGACTGAAGCCATGGAACAACTAAAATTTCTCCTTCATTTACTTCATCCTCTTCTCCCTGTTTAAGCATAAAAGGAAGTAAGCTGAATACCAATTTATACCAAGTTAAATGGTACTGTTTGAGTACCGTTTTAAATAGCTGTCCATCCTCTTGTTCCTTTTAAAGCAGCTATCATATATCCATTCTTCAAAGATGGCCTGCTCACTTTCGTTCATATCACATTTCCCCATGCATTCTTCTATTGAACCTCTATGCTAGGCAGGTGAGATGCCTTGATCTCAATAGGCCCTCAACCAGAAGATTTTTTTTTTATCCCACTGTATTACTTGGACTTTTTATTGTAATATTAAGGTGCAACAGACATGCATTTTATGTTTGTTTAGCTTACCTGATGGCTGTCTAATATTTACATATTTGCCTTTCTAATTACTTTATGACCATTAGGTCCTTGATAAAATGCATGCCAGAGGTAATGGGCCTCGAGTTATGCTAACTAGACAGCCTACGGAAGGGAGAGCTCGAAATGGAGGTTGTTATTTTTTACAGTTAGATTAACTTGCTCTGTTTTGATTTTACCTCCAGAAGTATTGTTTGCTCTAGTAAGTGTGTGTGTGTGTGTGTGTTTGTTTGTTTTCTCCCCAGGGTTACGAGTAGGAGAAATGGAACGTGATTGTCTAATAGCTTATGGCGCTAGCATGTTGATTTTTGAGCGCCTGATGATTTCCAGTGATCCTTTCGAAGTTCAGGTATTTGACCATGCTTTTGGTGGTTGCGAATTAACCTATCAAATTCTATGTGCATGTGCTGTTATTGATTTGTTTAGAATTCTTAATCATTGGAATGTACAACAATGCTTTGTTGTACTGCTTAAGAAATAGAAGCAAAAATAATGCTCAGATGCTTGTGTATTGTAATTTTTTCTGCATTTCAATATATGTTGTTCTGTTTGAAAATTTCACTTAAGCAAATAAATCCTGCATCAAGCTTACTTCCAGTCAATAAAGTGTACCTGCATGACCGCACAATCTTCAAATTAATCATTGCTATAAAAAGTAAAGATTTGGCCTTCTTGCTGATTGAATTTCACCTGGTCTCTTACAACCACAGGTTGCAAAATTTGCTTCCGTTTTTGCAGTTTGGAAACCTGGAGCAAAATTCTCATTGAAGTTGCTCATATTAAACATTGTAGTTCGGTTTAGGAATAGCAGTTATTTTCATGTTTCTTAATGTTGAATCAGTCATCACCTGTGAATACCATTTATCCATATTTTTCTGGTAGTGGAGTAGTGTGTTTCTTTCATTTTATACTTTGTACTGCTGGGATTGTTGATTCTAATCAGCTTAAATCTTATAATAAGCATCTTTTGGCGCAGGTTTGCAGAAAATGTGGCTTGTTAGGATACTATAGCCACAAGCTGAAAACTGGGATTTGTTCTTCATGTAAAAATGGAGATAATGTTTCTACTATGAAACTGCCATACGCATGCAAGCTTTTAATCCAGGTAGGCTCGGCAAACATTGTTGTTATACAAATGAGCTGTTTGAAATTATCATGTGAGTAACTGATGCACAACATTGTACAAGGACCTTTTTAACTCAAAAATCCAGTTTGCTTGAACATGATGCTTGTTGAATTTTGATTTCTAAATTAAGGTTGTAACTAGTTCTCTGGTGGGGTTTGTTTATTGAGTGTCATCGTTCTTAGACCTTTTATTGATGTATAAGGGTTTAGCATTGGACTTGTTTTCACACTCCTAGTGAGCACCATGCAGTCAAAAGGCATGCATTTCACTACTTTTGCTTCAGGTAAATGGGCAGACGGATCATTAATTTTCCCAACCATTCCCTTTTCCTTCTACAAAGTAGAAGTAACACTGTTGAACCTCAGTCATTGGCCTCCCAATAAAACCTCAGTCATTGTCTACATTATTCTATGTTCTAGAACCATCTAATAAAACAGGCATCAGATTCAAGTCCTCAGCCAAAGAGTGGGATGGAATAGAAATGCTAAATGACTTGTGTTCTCAAGCTTTCTGCTCTAAATATGTAAGAAATGGAAAAAACTGGAAAAGCAAGTTATTATTTGTTTCCATTGTCATGTGTCGAAAAGAACCCTCTTTGTTTCTATGGAGTTTGAAATTGCAGGATCATTGAATGCCTTATTTTCCTAGTCTTTTTGCACGCGTATGCATAGGGTTATTCCTGTTTTCTTATTTATTCATCTCAATGATTTTAGTCCTTTGTTTTGCCTCATGCCCTCTTGTTAACATTCCTACCATTTTCAGGAACTCCAGTCAATGAATATTGTTCCGCGTTTGAAACTAGCAGAGGCTTGATCTGATGGAATTTCCCTAATATCTAGATTTGGCAGCTATGCAGTAATTCAAAAACAAATGGTTGGAATGTTCCGGTAGGCAGACCATTGTTTCAGGGTAAGATTGCAGCTGCTCATTTATATGCAGAGAATGACTCCCTTAATTTTGTACAACTGGCGTGTTGCTCCGAAGATATGTTTTCGTGAATGTCGGCGAGTTCAGTCGGATCTATTGACATTTTTGTATTACCTATCGCTTAAGTAGAAGGGTTATTGCAATTAGGGATTTTGTCAAAGATCATCTGTTCAACGCTTAAAGCCATGCCAGTAGTTGGGCAGTTTATAGGGCATTATTTAAAAATGTATTGTTATAATTTTATTAACTTAAAGAGGTTTTTACATATTCTGGATTGTTATTGTATGCTGTCTGATCAGCAAGCTGTGAATTTTGATAGATCTGGAATTTTCTTCAGTGAGAATTATGATCTTGAAGTGAGGGCTCAGGTTCAAGATATCTGTGAAGTTAGTATGTTGAAAGAGACTGAAAAATATTTAGGGCTACCTGTTTGGTGTGAGAATGTAAAGTAGATTTAGTGATTCGAATATTCATGTCGTGTAAAATATTAAAATTTGTGTATTTATATAATGTTTTACATAAAAATTACGTGTCAGATATAAAAATATGAAATATATTATTTTAGTTATGTTAAACTCATATAATTATTATTAAAATTTTAAATCATATTATTTTTATATTATATTTATGTTATATTTTAGATTATCAGGTTTAACTTTTTTAAAAAATATTTTTAATGGAAGTTAAAGAAAGATTGAAGGATCATGTTCAACGGAGGGTGAAGAGATTTTTGACCGTAGCAAGGGAGATTCAATTAATTCTGTAGTACAAGCAATTCCAACTGAGACGACTGATGCAATGTCCTGTTTTCCCCCAACTGAAAATGCTTTGGAGAGGTAGCTAAGCTAGAGATTTCGGCGATAATCTAAAAGAAGAAAAGGAAGATCCATTGGTCAAATTGGAATGTTTTATCTATTCCAAAAAGGGAAGGTGGACCTGTTAAACACTGTTTTCCGGTTTTGTCCTTTTGCTCTTCACGCTTATTTGGGGTGACCCAGTAGCTGAAAAATGCCACACCCGGTAAGAGCTCTGTCGGTACACTTTTGTCAATCACCCAATTATTGTTGTAAGATCCATGTCATATCAATGCTTCAAGTGTACGAAAAGATAACCTAACAATTTACCTTTTTATATAAAATGCGTAATTGATGATCAAGCGGTTACGTTAAGTTCTTTTTTTTTTTTCTTATTTTTTTTATATTGATTTAATTAAAAAATATTATGCCTATAATTTTTTTTAAAATTTGTGTTATTAAATCTTGAGTTCTAATAACATTGGTTTCAAATATCAATCGATTAAATTATTTTAAATTTATTCTGTGTGATTATTGTATTTAATTATTTAAAATATATGATTGATTTGATTTTGAAAATTTAAATATCGACTCAACTTATTTCTTTTAAAAAAATTGAAACCAACAAGCCTATAATCAAGAATAACTAAACCAAAATAAAATTGATCGATTCGTTTGAAAAAATCAAAATTTTTTTATTCTTTTATCTCCAATTTTGAATAATATAATTTTACAAGAATTTTTAGTCAATAAAATTCACTTTATAATTTTATCACTAATATTGTATTTATCATTTTAAAAATATAAATTATAAAATATTATATACAATATATTTAAAAATTTATTAAAAACTTAATTAATTCAATCAATTTAATTATTAATTTTAAAAATTAAAGATCAATCGAATTAACTTATTAATCTGTTTTATTTAATCTGTCATTGTTGAAATCGAACTAACTAAATCAAATTGACAAAATTTAATTATTTTTAATCAATCAACGTAGTTGTAACCTTCTTATGGTTATGCTTAATGGCTTAAAACAAAAACCATAAGAATCTGAATTGAAAAAACAAGTATAAATGGTGTGGTGGGAACAGATTTCAAATGCTTGTAAAAGTCTCGAACAAAAGTAGAGAGATTTTTAATATTATTTTTCGTAATCCCAAAAAACAAAATCATCTCTCTTTGGCCCCTAAGAGATTGTGCATGGCCCTCCCTCATTTGTTTGTTTTTATATTTCACATGCATGTGGCCCCCAAGATGATATTATTATTTATTATATTTTAATTATTTTAAACATATTCCAAAGATTATATAGCAACCCTTTTATTTTATTTATAGATTTTGCAAAATTCAATAAAAAATAGATTTAAAATTTTTTGAGGTATTTATTTATAATATATATAATATTAACAAATTTATTAATTTTATCGATAAAAAAGATGTTTAGAAGAAAATTTTGAAATATATAAAAAAATTTCCTTAAGTTTCTTATTTTTCATTCTTTGAAAATGTCTAAAAATTTTTTTGAAGGTATTCAAATTTTTTTTAAATGTTCTTATTTTTCATCCTTTGAGAGTGTCCATGGACAATATAGGTGTCCTGTGTCCATTTGGATCTACTAAATAATAATGAAATGCTTATTCAAAGCTATTTTGATTATATATTAACCTTAGTTTAATTTTTTTAATTTATTTCTCTAATTTTCTATTAGAATTATATGTTGGAAAAGGGCTATTTTTGTTAGGCCAAAATCAGATCAACCAATACAAAGCAGAAAATAAAGAAAAATGCAAGAGTCTGCAAGCTAACTTGCAATACAAAACATAAGCAAGATATCAGAAACAAAGCAACAACCTTCTCTCTTTATCCTAGTCAAAAGATGAGAGATTATTGATCAAAATGTAGCCAAAATCCTTATATTTCATAGACTAGTGCTAGTGCTTGGGGCAAGCTAATGAGACCATCACCTCCATTGCTCTGGTTGGTTCCTCAATCAAGCTTCATCTTAATTATAGTTAGAGATTTAGAAGGTCGTCTTCAGCTACTTGACCTAGTGACTAAGACAGTCTTAAAGAAGACATCAAGGAACCCCAGCCTTTCCCCCCTCCCCCTTAACGTAGGCCCCCTTAATCAACAAAAAAAAAAAAAGAGATTTAGAAGGTCAAACCAGAACCTCTTAGCTTTTCTTCTAAAATCTTATTGAAACGTTCCACTGCTGAAGAGCTGAGATAATTGACATGGTCACCCACCTGACCTTTCCTAAAGAAAGATTTAGTTTGGCGAGTCAAGGTTTCCAGGCTTCCATTTTTGTTCACTTCCAAATCCTTAAGGTTGTTCAAGCTGCAAAACTTTGATATGTCCTCAATAACTCCAGCTTTCTCTTCCTCCATGGAAAATGGAAACCCCATGTATTCTGCAATCTTTTTTATATGAGGTAGTGGGTTTTCCTTTCATGTCCTCATACTTGAGAAACAACACTTTCTTTGGCTTCTCCAGGGATTATTTCCAGTACCCAAGCACATGATCCCAGAAAGGTCCGTACCCTTCTTCACCTCTGCAAAACTGCTCAAAACATTCCTCCAATGGCCACTCAGCACGCTCTGGTCGGCTGGTTACAAAGTGCCACATCGAAACGATTACATCCAACGGATTGCGAGTTATGTAAACAATTCGGGAATTCGATTGTTTGATTGATTCTGCCAATGCATGATAAGGAAGGTGAGTGGAAAACAGCCTTGGCGATGAAATGGCAGCAAAATCAGGGATGAGACCATCATTGTACAATGTCATTTCGAGATAGGGAATAAGGTCGTGAGGGTTTGATGAATTCAAGGGGCTGTTTGAAAGTGCGAAACGATTGCGGTTCATGATGGTAAAGGCCAGTGCTTTCAACCATGTGGTGCCAGCTTTTGGCTTGCTGGCTAAAATAATGTCATCATCCAGAGCTTGGAAGTGTTCTTGGAAGGATTTTACATTTGGAACAAGCTGAGATCGACACCAAAAGCCTTGGAAATTGATGAAAGTTGGGGTTTGTTTTTGGGGCTGTTGGTTGTTGGTGATGTTTTCTTCGGCCATTTATGAAAAGCTTGGAGGATTTGTTTGGGATTGGGAGTGCTCAATGTGTAGGTCTAGACTTTATAGCCAGAAAAAGTAGGAAAATTTTTGGTGGTGGGTTCAGTTGGGTTGGATCCAAATACTTAAAAATATTCCCATTTCAAGGGTCAGTGCGGCACAGTTAAAGCCACATTTTGATTTCACTCACATTGGTAATTCGCTTGGCATTCTTTTAGTATGCTATATATTGAAAGAAATTCCTTAACGTTTGTATGATTGACATTTGGCTGTATTTAATTGGTTAGATAAACATCAAGCCCACGTCATTTTTATTAAAATAAAAAAATAAAAGAAAGAAAAAGTAAGAAAACTTATTTAAAACCTAAGTCATAATAAGAAAATTAAAAAAAAAAAGAGGAAGAAAAAAGATTAACAACCTAGCAACTTAAAGAAATAACAATGAAAAACAAAAATATAATAAATCATGAAAAAAAAAAAGAAGAAAATGTGGGAAATAGTAAATAAGAATCTAGATAAAAATTAAAAAAAAAAACCTAAGAGAAAGGTTAGTTAAAAAGGATTGAATAAAAAAAAAAAAAAAACAAGAACAGGAAAAGGAACAAAGAAATAATCAAAGAAAAGTATTGGCTTCTTGGAATTGTCGGCATGTTTTTCATTAATTCTTTTTCAGATTTTCTTTCATTTTTTTTTTTTTTCTTAATAGTTGCTCTTTCAATGAGTGAACTAAATGTCATATTGACATTACTTGTTTTACTTGATTTTCTCATATTTTCATATTAAAAAATAAAAGTTTCTTGAACTATATATCCTATTAAAATTTTTTTTTTCAATTCTTTCAAAAAAGAAGTTCTATTTTTTCTTGAAACTGCTAAACTTTTACCCATAACTTTAATTTTTCAACTCGATAATAAATTTTGAAAATTATATATATATTATTTTAAATTTGTTTGCCTTTTTATTGTCTTCATATTGTGATGCTATTCTACATGCATCTAAAGGTAGATTATTATTGTTACATAATGTATAGAATTTTCATAACATCTCTATGGATATAGATGTGATTTGTTGATTAAATATTTATTGGATATTTACTATGAAAATAAAATTTGATTAAGCTGATAGTTTTAAATTGGTTTTTTTTTTTTATTTGGTGTAAGACTTTAATGTATCTAGTGAGTTTCGTATATGATAACTACTTTTTATGTAGTTTTAGCTTTATAAAAAAAAAAGATTCTACTTTATTTTTGCTCTAAATTGTATCATTTCAACCATGCTTGATTTATTAAGAAATCACAATTCAAAAATTGTTCATTCCACAACATAAGTCTTACACACCGAATACAAAAACTCTTCACTGAAAATTGTTCAATACTTGTCCGATTGCTCTCCACTTTGTTAAAACCTTTTGGTTTTTTATGTTGTGCAGAAAAACAATTTTTCTCTAACTTTTCTTAATGGCTTAATGACATTATGCATTTAACAAAAATGGGGGTGTATCATTTTTTTGGTTTGTAAGTTTTTTTTTTTTTTTCATCCAAGCAAAATTGCTGATAACAATTGTTTTAATGAGGTTAAGCTAGTTACGGATAGTTATCCTAATATCTCTCACTCACATAAAATGAATGTAAAACTCTCATTATCTCGAAAACGTTTTCTTAATTCTTTACATTGGATTCATACAAAGAAATAAATTGCGCAACTAGCATATTTCAAAAGCTCAGTTGCTATACAAATGTTAGGTGCAAATAGTAGTTCATAATCACATATAATCATTTACACAACTGTTAGGTATGTAAAATAACACTAAAATACAAGTTGAATAGGTATGTAACACCCACCTTATACACATTTAGTTATATTTCAAATTTTTCATAATCTTTTTTTATCATATTGTATGATATACTTACATATTCATAATTATATTCAACGTTTCAAACATAATTAGTCGACTTATGAATACAACTAAATTGACACTTGAATGATCTTACTTTCTTTTAGAATCTCTTCATTTAAATTCAACTGCCATCCAAATATATCTCATGAGATGGAATTATTCATGATCATTGACAACAATCCGCTAACATTAAAATAAAATTTTAAAAAATAGTCAAAAGTCTTTGAGGGTATTAAATATTAGATTTTATGATCTTAAAGATCTCACACAACATGAAGCAAAAATCTATTCTTTTGTTACCTTTGTTGGTCTAACAATGCACATGTGATATAAAACACATTTTACGATATTACTCTTCTTTTCTTAAGAATTGTATGTCTTTCATCATTTATATATCAATATTGTACAAGTGATAGTTCAAATACTTTCAGTATCTAACTTGAGTTCACAACTCTACTTGATTTCATTTAATCAACATGATTTTCACTTACATATTAAGACAAACAAAGTGAATTTTAAAAAAAGTAAATATCCTAATATGAAATTAAATATATGTATATGATATTATACTACTTAAAAAATTATTTACTTTTTGTAAAATAAATTAATGAAAGATTTATATACAAGCATAATCATATATACTTATTTGTTAAGCAAAAGTGAAACCAAAACCTTGATTTGAATTACTAATCATTAAAAAGATCACAATTCAAAAATTATTTGTTCCACAACATAAATCCTTTAAACCAAATATAAGAATTCTTCACTGAAAATTGTTCAATGCCTATCCGATTGCTCTCTTTACTTTTGTTAAAACTCATCTGTTTTAGATGTTGTGAAGAGAAACAAATTTTCTCTAACTTTTGTTGATGGCCAAATGTCATTATGCATTTAACAAAAAGTAAAAAAATTCAATATAATTAAATCAAATAATATCAACCACCCAATTATTTACTATTTATTACATCTTTATTTTTAATTTTGTTTTATTTTCAACCATGCTACCAATTTTACTAATTTTCTGTCATTTAGATAAATAATCTTCTATTTCCCACTCATGGATGCACTTCTCAAATTATCCCACCAATTCCCATGCTTTTATGACTATGCATCATTATAAATTTCAAGATTTTTTGTGCAATTTCCAATTGTTTTTTAATATAGTAAGCTGTTACACACAAATAGCTTAGGTTTTGTCAATGACTTTTTATTTAATGATAAAGAGAAGTTCTTAGAATTTTAAAATTTTAAGTTTAAATTTTAATATATATGAATTTTATTTTATTTTATTTGGGATTTATTAATTATATTTTAATTTATTATTTAATTTATTTATTGGATTATTCAATAATTTTTTATATGTAAAAGTTATAATAGACTATAATTATAATTTGTACTTATAATTTCATCAAAATAACTAAAGTTTTGGGCCAAACTCCAAACATTTTGTGGTAAGTGCAATTCTTGACTTGATAAAACCTAAATATTTCTTCAAATTAACTTGCTACCCATGTGATATATGGATTATTTTTATTTTATTTAAATTTAAATAAAAATATAAATTAATATTATTAAATTATTTACATATTCAAAATATATGTAACATATAAATAATATAATTAAAATATCAAATCATAATAAAAATAAAGTTTTCTTTTTAAATTTTATTGAATGCTATAAGGATTCCTCTGTTCCATAATTATAAAGTTATCATAGAATTCATATTTTCTTTTTCAAAAATCTTAGTGAAATCTTTTATGGTTCTAAGATTTTTTAAGCTAAAATATAAATAAACTTGAAATTGATACTATTGATGAGATTATCCTTAAAATTTTTTATTTTATTTTTTATGAAAAATAATCTATTGATTTGAAATTATGTTATATGTTTTACGATCGGGATATGGGTTGATAAATTATTCATTCTTTGAATACACAACTAGCACATAAGTTTTTATTTATGGCACATAACTCTATGATATCAATTAATCAGAGCATCATTTTTATTTTTATTTTATACGAATGGGGAATATTGAATAACTATTAATTACAAGACAAAATATATTACTTGATTAAATAAAATTTTTTGAAAAAATAAAAAATTTGTAAACAACATTGGTAAAAATATAAGAATATATGTGTTTTTGTATTTTTTTTTTAAATTACTGCTAAAAAAATATTACAAATGATTTAAAAAAAAATCCTACCTGAGGAAATGAATAGTATGTTTAGTAAAATAATACCTCATACATGATGGAGTAAATAATATGTTTAGTAAAATAGTACCTATCATAAAAAGAAAAAAAACATATTAGTTCCTATAACAAGAATAGACTAATAAAAAAAAGATTAAATTAATAGTAGAGAAAAATACATTTAGCTCAATGGGATATTGGGAAAACTATTTAAATAAGAACTACCAACAATGAAGATTTTTCTGAAATTGTTTTAGTATTTATATTTTTTTCACATTTTTTTTATAAAATATATTTAAAAACTGAAGATAATGTAAGAATTATTTATAAAAATAATTAAAGATATTAAATAATATTTTTAAAAATTATGATAAATTTAAATATTCATGTTAACTGCAGATAAATTAAAAAAAAGATAAATTACTTTAAACTTGATTTTAAAATTAGATGAGGTGATGTATAGGAGAAACTTTCCTGAAGTTGTTTTCGTATTTATATTTTTTTTTCAAATTTTTTTTGTAAAATATATTTTAAAAGCTAAAGATAATGTAATAATTATTTATAAAAAAATATTTAAGATATTAAATAATATTTTTAAAAGTTGTGATAAATTTAAATACTCATATAAATTACAAATAAATTTTTAAAAGATAAATTGCTTTAAAATTGATTTTAAATTGATATGAGGTGATGCATAGGATAAATTACTTTAAAATTGATTTTAAATTGATATGAGGTGATGTATAGGATAAATTTTTCTAAAATTATTCTGGTATTTAAATTTTTTATTCACATTTTTTTGTGCAATATATTTAAAAATTGAAGACAATATAATGATTATTTATCGAAAATATGAAAGATATTAAATAATATTTTTAAAAGTTATGATAAATTTAAATACTCATATAAAATTCAAATAAATTAAAAAAGATAAATTATTTTAAAAATGATTTTAAATTAAGATGAGGTGATGTACATAATAAATAAATTTCATTAAAATTTAAATTGGTTTGTGATTAAATTTTAAAATTTTAGATAATTTAATTATTTTTAAAAAATATTTTTTATAAATAATTTAAAATTAATAATATCTTATGTGTCATCATAATGAGAAATTTTATAAATTATCTTATGTGTAAAAAAAAAAACTATCTATATAAGCATTTATGTTAACAATTGTTATTTGATAATTATATATGTTATAATAATATATATATGTGTGTATATAGGTTGTTCAGTCTCCTAGGTCAAAGCAAGATATGCCATACCTGACAGCTTAAGACAGGTGGCTACAGGTCGTACATTCGAGATGACCCCAATAAATGATCACCGACAAGACTCAAACCCAAGACTTATTTATCGAAAAGAATAACTTTAACCGATTAAACAAACCACTTGTCAGTAACTTCTTTCATTTGTTCATATGTTTCAACATGCTAAATGTGCCACCATTATAGTTCGAACCTACTCAAAATGCGTGGATATGAACGTACGTATTTAATAATTTTAAATACAATAAAATAATATAATATGAAAAAAAACAAGAATGTAATATGATTTAAATTTTTAATAAAAATATATATGAATTTAATAAAAATTAAAAAATATATTTTATATTTGATATGTTAAAATAATTTGACAAAAAAAAGCCAAAAAATAAAGATGTAACTGAATTAAGTATGAACAAATTTTGTTATATTCGTAATCTGTTCGTTTAATTAACGAATCATGAAATGTTATTTATGATTATTTATTAAGTTTTAATAAACAAAGATAAATGAGTAAGAATCGAACTTATTCATGAATTATTTATCAAATGTTTTATTAATTTTCATAAACAAACTAAATATGAATGAATTTTATTATATTTATCATATATTCATTTAATTAATAAATTTTAAAACATTATTTATGATATTTTGTTGACCTTGATAAATAAATATAAATTACTGAAAACTAAACGAACTGTCTATCAAACTTTCTATTCCCGAAAATCTTCATGAAAGTATTGGATCATGGGTAGTTTTGGATTATCGACTACCCATCACATTTAGGACTATCCTTAGCCCGGTCCATGATAATCCATGAGTATAGCGGACCGTTGCACACCCCTTATCCGCACACTCTCCACTAGCACCAGCCCAGCCCCAAGTCGCCACCATCAAACCACCAGCCCCCAACCTCCGACCACCTCCAGCACCCGAGGTAAACCCTTTTTCTCCCAGCCCCAGAGCTTAAATTTTGCTCAACAAAATCGACAGATAAGTATTTTTTATACACTTTCTTTCAATTATTATATCTAATATATTTCAAATTTCCAGATTATTCTTGCTAGGAAATAGGAATTTGTCACTGAATCTTCCATATAATGGTTAGTGGTAAATCTTATTTCTTGATTTATTTTTTAAATTTTTTCTTGGATATCTAGTTTTGATCTTATATGACTGAGCTTTGTTTTATGATTATGGTTTATTAGGACGCATTTAGGAGGGCTATACTGCAGCCTGGCCCCCCGGAAACTTTTGCTCTCAAGACAGTTCAAGAGGTTATAAAGCCGCAGGTATTTCGAATTATAGCATTGAGTATAATCCGTTGATTTTTATTGAAGTTTTTACTTATGTCGACGCCATTGCCTTTGTATGAAGCTGCCTTGCAATTCTTTGGTTTGTGCATTGATATTATTAGGTCCTTAGAATGTTTAATATGCTGTATGTTGGTACGTCTTACGGTTTACACTATATTTCATGTTCGTATATAATGATTTTCGGAAAAAAAAAAAAAGTTGTTGTACAGCGGAGATGGTGAAGGGTTTTGAACTTGGGAATTGGTATCTTCTTTTGGGAAGATCATTGGAGCTGTCGATTAGGAAAAATATTAGATACATGCATTATTGAGATTCTCAAGAGGAAGATCTCCGGGACTATATGCCTTACTGGTTTTAACATCTATAAATTGTTATCTTCTCTTGTTTGCAAAAAACAACTTCAGTTGTAAGCTAATCTTCTGTGAGTTTTGGAGAGGTTTGGTTTCTAGGTCCTACATAAAGTTTTGAATGATGCCTGTAATTGATCCTCAGACCGAGTCCTAATGTCATGAGTTTAGTGACATGTTAGGTGCAGATAAAGTACATATATCGCTGATGATGTCCTTGGGCATTTCTTAGTTAGTGAATTGGTTCTCTTTTGTTTTTGTCCCAACAGAAACAAACAAAGTTAGCTCAAGATGAAAATCAATTGTTAGAGAACTTGCTTCGGACTTTGCTTCAAGAATTGGTGGTATGTAATTATATCTGGTACTTCATTTAAACAGTTTTTATGGGCTACTTATATTGGGGCCTTTATCAGCTATTCTCTTTAACTCTCTTCTAGGTTGAGAATTCTCTTCATTTACTTTCTTTTTCTAATAAATATGTTATAGAAGACAAATAAGCAGATGCTGTAATCTATAAGCTTCCTTAAAGAATTAAAATGCATGGATGGATGGGGCTTTAATTTCTTAATTATCTGTGGCATTTCTACATTATGCTATCCTTGGCATTGGGCAACTCTTAGCAAGCTATTCATTCAGCTTTTCTTGTTAACTGTCTTCCATGCCTAATCTTTTGTTCTTTTTCTTTCTTTTTCCCAATAAATAGGATATGAAGTACAATAATCTGTGCTTCAGTAGCTTGTTCATAAAATTAAAAATTGTAACTCCATCTTTGGTTGCATGGCATTGAAGTTGTCATTGTAGGTCATCTGCTACTTGTGCGTGAGTTATGTTACTTTTAAATATCTTTTCTGGCAGTAGATACCTTATCTTAGGGTCCATTTGGATGAGCGGTGAGATTGAAAATAAAAATGGTAGTGAGATTGTTAACTGTAGCAGTGAAATTAAAATCAGTGGTGAGATATTTGTTTGGATGCAAACGCAGTGGTGGCGGTGATTTCAAGTGTAGTGAAAAGAGAAAATGACCATTAAGGACATTAGATTAAAATTTTCATATAATAGAATTTATATTATATATATGATATTTGTTAAATTAATAAATAATTAAAAATTATTAAAATTATTTTATATTAAATAAGATAATTTAATATTAAACAAAATAAACAAATTTAAATTTAAAATATATATATGTTCAAACGTTTTAGGAAATAAAGGACAATAAGGTCCATAAATCCCAACTGGACCCTCCATTTGCCCACTGCACGCTAAATAGTCCAGTGACCAACTGGAGAAATGATGACCTTAAACGCACTGAAACATGGCATCCAATTGGCATTCCAGTATGATTTGAGGGTAAAAAGGTGCTTAGTTGCACCACACTAGTGTTAACCGGGCATCCAAATGCACTCTTAGTTCTAAACGATGCAAATCTTTAGTTACAACTAGATAACATGCATGTCTGTCTCTTTTACATTTGTATTCTAAAATATGTAAAATGATGGGGCACCATCTACTTTGTCCATTTTCAAATTTTAGAAAGTACATCAAGCGAGATGGCAGTGGCATTTCTTCTTCATGAATATTCAAAAAGAAATTGTTTCTTTTAGACTATGTTATTTTAGTTAGAAAAATAGGGAAAGATTAATTTTAAAAAAATAAGAATCTACTCTATTGGAAGTGGATAACAGTTTGGGATTTCCCTAAAATGGAAACTAAGACATCAAATTTGGGATGATGGAAATGACATTTACTCATAGCAAGTGGAAGTATGCAACTAAGAAACATTTTGCACCAGCTTTGACAATAAATTCTACTTTCAATAACCTTAGCATTTCACTTTTCTCCCTTTCTTGTTTGTTAGCTTTTGTCTGTTTCTCTAACCTGAATCTTCTTACTTTTCTTGTGTGCAGGCATCTGCAGTACAGTCAGGGGAGGAGATAATGCAGTATGGAAAGTCAATTGATGATGAGGACGAAACACAGGGTGTAATTCCACGACTTCTAGGTTTGTTAATATGTTTACCTAATAAAGTTTCGTCATGTTTGTTGTTTGTAGCTACTATTATGAAATTCAGTTTGCAATTTGTATTGCATTATTATTCCTTCACAAATCTACTTGGTCTGGAATTCATTATTAGAAACTTAAGTGAACCATGGGAAAGTTGTGAATGCTACCGAAACGTTTAATGGAATAAAATTTAGATTCACTAATAAAGAAATTCAAGCATAAGCATCAAGGTAGCTTCTTAATGTGCTGATGGTGAAAGCAATTTAACTCACATAGGAAAATTTTGATAAACCTATGTTTACATATGCATACATACAAATATAAATATAGAGGGTTTTAGACTCAAGGAGATTTGGGTTTTAGGCCTGTAAATTTAGTAGAATGTTGGACCAATGTTTTAGGTTTTGAGATTTGACATCGAGACACTAGCTGGAGTTGGTAAATTTGGTTAATTGAATTTTAAGATCAAGTTTTCTGTGGTATGCTGCTTTCTAAGTTAGTAAGAATTGGTCTAATGAAACTTGAAGAGTTTGGGGTATAACGGTGCAAGATCTAGGGTTCAATTTAGGCTTTGGTAGAGAAGTGGGAGATATCTACCTAAAGTGAGGTTAGTGGTGAGAAGTGAGATTACTGGTGATGAAAACAATGGCTTGATATCTACCTAAAGTGAGTTTTAGTTCATTATGTTGTGTGAATCATTTTCCTTTATTGTACCTTATATAAGTTGAGCACTCTAGGTTCACTATATATTACATAATAATGCTGATTGCTGAAATGACAATATAACAGTAAATGTCTTATTACTTTATTCATCATTTTGGTGGAGAATCACTTAGGCTTTTATTTTATTAGGGTTATTATAATCAGGGTTATATTTGGCATTTTTAGGGTTTAGGGTATATCTTATAAATACTATGTTATGTGAGGTTTTCATTAGTTTTTGAATGATGAATATTTGAGATTTTTTCCCTCTATTAATTTTTTTTCTGGTTTTCTCCCTCAAGCTCTTCTATTTGCCACTCTATTTCCTCTGTCTTCTCCCTAATTGCTTCTGTCTATCTTTGATTTTCCCTTCAGATTTCTATTTTCTATTTTCTATCGCTTTCCCCTACTTGTTCTATGTCATATTTTGTTGTCAACTTGGTTGTTCATTTCCATGTTCTAGATTTTAAGGAATCTGTGTTTTTCTTTTCCTTGACAATGCAACAATATCTTATATCAAAGTACTTCAAGGTTTGCACCCCAAAAAAATACTTCAATGTGATGAATGGTGAATTTATGTTACACTCAGTCTACATCTTATCCTGCAGTACTTGTGTCTTGTCTATAAGATACCACACAAATATATATGTATATGTTTTTGGCTACCTAACTTGATCGTTGTGCGTTGTCACTTTGGATGCTTTCTTGCTTGGTACATTATCGTCCTTGCCTTTTTGTTTTCTCTGTTCCTTTATTTCTGGAGGCTCCAAGAAAACAACAGAATAGCCTGTTACAATAAAACAAACAAATAGGACATGTAGTGTAACTGCATATATGAATTTTATCTTCTGGAGACTTTGAACGTTGATTCCAAGTGTCCTAAATATTGAAAATTTTGACTAGTTATTCTGGATACTGGCAGTGAGTATATTCAGAATGCTTTTTTAATTCCTTACTGTTTCTATGATATCTTGGTTGGATACTGTTTCTTGAATAGTTTAGTATTGAAAAGAATCTGTTTGCAGATACATATAACTCCAGTTTCCTCTGTGTCGCCTCTCCCCTTTTTCTAACTTGTTCTATTGTTTCAGTGACAACTTTTCATCTCTAAACTTACATCCACACTAGTGGTTAGACAGAAAGCTTGCCTTTGAATTGATATGCTGATAATAAACTTGTGATTGCTACATTAAGATTTTGCTCAATTACTTACTCTACCTTTTGCATTTGGTTAGATGTTGTGCTCTATCTTTGTGAGAAAGAACATGTTGAAGGTGGTATGATATTCCAGCTTCTAGAGGACTTGACTGAGATGTCTACAATGAGAAATTGCAAAGATATTTTCCGATATATAGAGAGTAAGCAAGACATCCTGGGGAAGGTGCGTTCTTAAGATGGATTCAGGTTTTTTTGCTGTATATAGATGTAAATTAAATTGGGAAGTTTGTATTCCCTTATGGGTTCACTAGACTCTAATGAATGGTGTCTATATTATGTCATGGTCAATATTCATTCAAGAACTTGATGGCTGCATTATATACAGCAAGAGCTTTTTGCTCGCGGAAAACTTGTCATGTTGAGAACGTGCAATCAACTTCTTCGCCGACTGTCCAAGGTAGTTATGTACTTGAGAATTTCTTTCTTCCAACATGCTTTCTTTTGACAAAACAATTTTTAGTAGTGACAAAAACTTCCTTAATCACCAGCTCTCTTACCTGTATGTTATGCTTGTGACTTACCAGTAATGCACTTTCTACGTTATAATTTGGAGAACTTGTTCCCTGTCCATTTCTTTGAAGGAATGCAGCATCCATTTTCAAATCCCATTAGAATTGCATTCAGCTATCATTTAGATCTTGTGGTAGTTTGATGTTTGCTTGCTGATGTAGGCAGATTAATCTAATTCTCAGTACCTAATAAACTAGAAGCACCATCATGGCATGAACACCTATGTATTATAGTATATATGTGCAGACTTGTGTAAACATCCAGCTCAGCCAGGAGCAGTATTTGCATTGGTTCCACCAATCATGTTGGTGTTAGATTGTCTGGAAAATGATCTTTTTTTTTCTCTAGCCTTCTGTGTTCCTGGTCAAGTGTAAAAATACATGGTTGTTTAAAAAAAACTGCTTGATACCTTTTCTTTTTCATGTTATAAGGTTGTCTCTGGTATCTGAATAATGTCTATCTCTTTGTTTCAAGATGTCTTAGAATTCTAGAAGTATGCAGAAGCAATACATATTAACAGTTGTCAGCATACAAGGTTGAATTACATTTTACAAAGATTTATAAGTTCAATTTGAAAATTTTTGATTATGTTAATTACATATTTTTTATCTATAATTCATGAAAATAATTATGGATGTGATTAATGGCAATGTTTATGCAGCGTTTACTTTGATTTGGATATGCCTATCTTGAAATATGAAGTTTATCTGTTTTTCTAATTCAGTGGAACTTGACTTTATAGGCGAATGATGTGGTATTTTGTGGGCGAATCCTAATGTTTCTGGCACATTTCTTTCCATTGTCTGAACGTTCAGGTAGTTATTTGTATTCGGCCTCACTATGCTCTTTGATTGTTACTGTTTACCCTTTGTGATTTCACATAATGCTTGCAGCTGTGAATATTAAGGGTGTTTTTAACACATCAAATGAGACAAAATATGAGAAAGACCCACCTGAAGGTGCATTCTAGTTAACTTGTGAAATGTTTGTATATTTTGCCTGTCAGTGTCAGCACAAGTTCTAATTTATATGTTCTTTTTTTCAGGCATTTCTGTTGATTTCAACTTTTATAAAACTTTCTGGAGTTTACAGGTTAGTTGTGCCACTTTGAACTTTTGGAAGTGGATGTTCACCACTCTCTCAGTTTCCTAGAATATTTATTGGTCATTACAGGCCTACAATTATTCTTTGCTGATATAAATTAAATTATCTTCAGAACTGGTGTTGTAGGTTATGTAGTCGATAGGTAGTATAAGCTGTCCGGTATAGACGAAATTCCAGTATTTTTTAACACAAGTGAGGATGTATAATTTGACTTTCTATACATGGTACACTGATAACTTGTGTGGATATTCAAGTGGCTCACCCCAACTGCATGGATTTAAATTCCCTTGATTTTCGTTTTTAAGAATTAATCCCAGTTCTAAAATGGTGTCCCTTGAAGGTCTTTTATTTATTTTTTTTCTGTAATAAAGCAGCTTTTTTAGAAACTTCAACCATTGTTCTTACCAGTGAGGTTACTACTATTACTCCAGACAACAAACTTGCGTCCTGGATAAAAACAATATAAAGATTTCATTATTCTTTATCTGAATCTCTTAGTGAATTTACATGTTTGGTTTTTCAGGAATACTTTTGCAACCCTGCGTCCCTTTCAACTGCTCCTATCAAGTGGCAGAAATTTACATCTAGTTTGATGGTGTGCCCTTTATTAGCTGTGAATGAGTTTTTTTCTTTTTGTTTCATATCAATTTCATTTTGTTGCTTTGTCATTAAATTTTGTTCAGCTATCCAAAATTGATGGTTTTAACTTAGACATCATTAAAAAAAAAACTTTTTTTTGAGGCTTTCAGGTTGTGTTGAATACATTTGAAGCTCAGCCTTTAAGTGAGGAAGAGGGAGCTGATAACAATTTGGAGGAAGAGGCGACAACTTTCAACATAAAATATCTTACAAGCAGTAAATTGATGGGCTTAGAGGTCAGTGGCATTTAGAAAAGAGAATTTATTTATGGAGAACATATTTATTTAATCTGTTTCCCCTTTGGAACCAGTTAAAAGATCCAAGTTTTCGGCGCCACATTCTTTTGCAGTGCCTCATATTATTTGATTATCTGAAGGTAAAAACTTATATGTCTGGAATTATTCATGCACTCAATATTTTGTTTCCCTTATAGTAATTGATAAATAATTCTTCTTTTCTGCTAGGCCCCAGGAAAGAATGATAAGGATTCATCTGAAAGCATGGTTAGTAATTTCTTTATTCGCATGTTGAGTTTTATGCAATCTGCTAATGCCCCTCTGCTTTTATTTTTTTTTAATTTCAATTGAGTTTTATCCATTTCTTTTAATTATTAAACTTATTAATGATTATATAAAGGAAGAGTAAATAGACAAAAGACTTTAAAATACTTATATTATTTTGGACAATTAGTTGCTTCTAAATACAGAAATACATTGAAACTGATGGCCGAATTTAATAAACCACTCTGTCCTCTAACTCTGATGTAATATTTTAGCTGAAATTTAAAAGTATTGAATCCCATGCATGTGTTATTGATGAGCTGGTGTAGAAATGTCTACATGTCCGTGATTCCATGGATGAATCAGTCTAGAAATCCCTGCTATTCCATACTTGAGAGTTGAGATGTTGAGTTCTTCTTGGTGGCATAGGATTAAAATTTGATAAATGACTGGAACGATGTCGAAGTTTGAGGTTACTTAGAAGCTTAATTTGAAGGGCTATGATGTGTCGATGATACCTGATTTGTGACCAACATATGGATCTAAAATGTAGATTAAATTTCTCAGATCATGGTGCATTTACATCTCATTTTGTCAGAATTGGCTACTCAAAAATGTTCTAGTAAATCCAAAGAAAGAAGATTTAAGCATCAAGGACCTGAGAAAATTGAGATTTGTTTGTAATGATATACTTTTACAAGAAGAAAAGATAAAATATGGATATTTATCTATTTCTTAAAGTATCAGTATTCTTTTTTTGCCCATATGTATCTATCAAATGGGCCAAGTGAACATCAGTATGTGTTCAAGGATTGCAAAGAGTGATCTGACTAATCCTACTTCTATCTGGCCACATCTTGGTTAAAGTAGAGTTCAGATTAGCCATCCCTATACTAATTCACTGCATATCTTGAACATGTAACACTAGGGTCCAAGTGCCAAAGAAAATTCGTAACACCATGTCTATTGAAGCCTGCAGTCCTAATTTTCCAGATTTTTTCCTAAAATTAGATAAATTCTTGCACAGTAGTAGCTTTCTTTCGAATCTTGTATGAAGAAGTGCTGGATTCCAAATTCTTAATTTTGCCAGCAATCAATCATATCTGAACTGTCTCTGACATTTCAACCTTTGTTATATCTTCATCTGCCTTGCCCCTTCTTCATAGAACATCATCACGTCTATGTTCAAAGAAAAGTCTGAAAGCATACATTACCGCCCAAATTTTAAAGCATAAAATGACATTTGTTCAGACGTTTGAACCTCAATTGCAATTAGAAATGTGCATTCATTTGGAGATGGACTGATAGATACATATTCCAGTAAAAAGAATATAAAATCACTAATTTTCCTTTCATAAATGTACATTCCAGAAAGAAGAAATTAAGTCTTGTGAAGATCGAGTGAAGAAACTACTTGAACTGACTCCTCCAAAAGGAAAAGATTTTCTTCATAGTATTGAGCATATATTGGAACGTGAAAAGAATTGGGTAAGCCTGAGGTTTTTATGTTTCTCTCCCGTATCCTTGGCATTGTGAGGGTAGTTGGTAGCTCTGTTATTTGTTCAGAATGTTTGTGCTTTTAGGTCTGGTGGAAACGCGATGGCTGTCCTCCATTTGAAAAGCAACCAATAGAGAAAAAAACAGTTCATGATGGAGCTAAGAAACGGTATGCAAGTGGAAGTTAATCTTCATGTTTACTTTCTCAAAATTAAATTTCTTCAAACTTTTGTGTCTGGAGAGAGTATTTAAGCCAGGAGGGTGGAAAGAAAAACGTCCTTTGTGTGTGTGACTTTTCTGTGTTGTATTACCCTTTTTTTCTAGGTTTAGTGCTAATCCTGTTCTTGCTCGTTATATTATATATGTAGTTTAAATTTTTATCGTGCTTGTGGTCTCTGTCTACATTTTCTTACAAAATATATATCTTCTCCAATCTTACAGTAGGCCAAGGTGGAGATTGGGAAATAAAGAACTCTCTCAGTTGTGGAAGTGGGCTGATCAGAATCCGGTTTGTAGTTATCAACTCAATCTCTTGAAATTTCCTGTACACAATAAGAGTGGAACAAACTCCTATACCCCTACGTTTTTAATGGAACAATATTAACTATATATTATACAATCTTATTAGTGATGTTGTGCACTGAACTTTAGATCTATGGTTGATTTCTATTTTGCTCCGACTCTTGATTTTCCTTCCCAAGTATCCATGTTCTAACATATATCCAATGGACACGAGAATGGAGGTCCGATCTTTCAAATATATAGAAAGGCATAAAAAAATTGAATATACTTGTCTCAGATACTGTATCCAACAGTTACCCTCAGTTAGAGTGACATAGGTTGACTCTGTTGAATGGTTTGAAATTTTAATTTTGCAGGTGCTTTTTTGTTCGTTCTTTAAATAAAGCTTTTATGGCTTTCATTCTTTCTTTTTCTTTTATTATTAGCATAAGTATTAGGCTATTAGCTACTACTACAGGGAGGGGCATTGTTAACAAACCCAAAAGCTTTTCTTAACTAGTTTTTGAAAAGATGAAAAGCTGTCAGTGACGAGAATTTTTTTTAATCAATGCAATGTGATTTTGATTATTAAAATAAGTGTGAAATATATGGGAATCATATCATGGAGATTTATGGTAATGGATACAATATTTATTGTTTAAAAGAATAGACATGTAAGAGTTGTTCTATTAATATCTAGAGTCATCTTTATGATTTATATTATATTTATTTCTATGTGAAGCAAACAAAACGTGCTCCTCATGAAATAATTAATGGCAAGTATCATGACATCTTAAACTCTTAAAAGCACCAAGTCAATTCTAGAAAATTTTCTGGACCATGCTCAAGAGATTAAAGATTTGGCTAATGTGTCAATAGCATCAAAATTTTAGGGGTTTGGTTACTAGAAGCAAGAAGAGAAGGGGTCTGGTTATGCATTTATTCTTAATAACATCTAACTGTCATTGGTTCTTTGAAGAGTAGTTACATTTTCAATTGGAAGCCAGATTTTCTTATTGTTACATCACCTGTCTCTCATAAAATTACTGCATGTTCAAGTTTTAAATGGCATTGGCATTGATTGTTTCATTGCACTACCCCCAAATAAATATCTAACCAAACTTTGTATAAGATATTCTGCAGATGGATTAAGAAAATAGGGTTAGATCTGTATGATCGGAGTCAAAAGAGCATCAATGTCATTTTTTCCAATATTCCCCATACTGTTCAGTTTATTTGTGAACTTTTTGAGTTATTTCATGTTGGGGTGCATTAGTTTTATTTACTTCTAAATCTGTAAAATCTATTATGACATGTCCAGAATGCTTTGACTGATCCCCAACGTGTTCGAACTCCTGCCATCTCAGATTACTGGAAACCCTTGGCTGAAGATGTAAGTACCCTTATGTGTTTCTATGAAGTTGACACTGATACTTTATTTTAACTGTCTTTTAGGGTTTTCATGGTAGGAGATTATGAGTCTTTTGCCTTTTCTCTTGTTGCTGTTATTTTGTTTTCAGCATGCGAGCTCTTGGAATAAATTCATCTCTTTCTTGAAATTACAGATGGATGAATCTGCAGGAATAGACGCTGAATATCATCATAAAAATAACAGGGTGAGTTTTGGTTCCTTGGACTTGATGCATGTTCTGACCCATACTCACATTTATGTATGCATATGCTGTGATATTCACATGTGCAAGCATAGATGTGGATATGTTGGATTGGTTATTATTAACGACACTGAAGTTCTTATGAAATGCTTAAGAAAGTTACTAAACACCTTGGAAATACAGTCATCATGAGCTTAAATGAATTCAAGAACTTCTCTATCTCTATGGACATTTTTATGCAAACAGTTCATTATCTGTCCTATAGTAGTTGCATTGAATCAATGGCCTTCAAGTCATTTACAAGATGTATACAGGGACTCATCCTACATAAATATGATATTACTATTGGTACGGACAAACCTACTAAGATTGTCAAATCTTGACGTATTTAGATATATCAGTGAGATCAATATATTATAACCCATGTAACAGTAAGATGTTATTATTAATAGCTTTTCTATAAAAAAATGAGGTCAACATAGATGTATTCATGGATGTTGAAATTCTTGCCGATTTTTTATGCAGGTTTATTGCTGGAAGGGCCTTCGTTTTTCTGCTCGGCAAGACTTAGAAGGGTTTTCTAGAGTATGTTATATTACATATGAAGATTTTTTGCATGTAATTTGGTTCGATCATGTAGCCCAATGAAATTTACATTATGGTGATTGCAGTTTACTGAACATGGTATTGAAGGAGTAGTTCCTTTGGAACTTCTCCCGCCTGAAGTGCGATCCAAGTTCCAAGGTAAACCTAGTGACAGGTCTAAACGTGCTAAAAAGGAGGAGACGAAGGGTGCTTTGCATCAAGTTGAAGAAAGTCAGGTATCTCTCTGGAAACTTTCAGCTGTTCACGTATTTGTCATCTCCGGAATCAGCAAATGTTTGACTTGGCATTCCTGACAACTTGGTACTTTTAGAGGAAACTGCTTTAGGCCAGATGGTTGGAACGGAAAAGATTGCTTTCAAGTTTTAGTCTTATTTTCTTTCTTCGGTTTATGTTTATCGTGATGATTCAGTGCAAATTTTTTTTATTAAAAAGGTTCTTCAAGATGAACTCGAGCTTAACGTAATTAGTTCATATAATTACTTTTAGAAGATGATATTTTATAGGTTTGAAGTTCGAATCTCAGCACTTGTAATCATTTTTTTTATCCTAAGGTTGCTGCCTCCTTTATAAAAAATAAGGGCTTGGAGATGGTATTTTATAAATACATGATACATATAGGGTCAGCATAGGCTTAACGTACAATGTCAGAGAAGCGGGTATAGAAACACTAATTTAAAGCATTATGAGGCAAAAAGAACATTTTCTTAAGTTATTCATGTATTTTCAGGATTCAAATCTTTTCATTTATTTGGCTTTTGTCTAGATTGCAACACCTGCAAGTGAGATTGACGGCGAAGGAGTCAGAGCTGATGCGGAGGCATCTGCAGCACCGATGGATACGGATGCGACTGCTGCGACCGAAAATAATTCCCAAGGTAGCACTCCAACACCAGATGAACATCAAAAGCAAAGCCCTGATACTCAAGAAGCTGGGCAATTAGAAGCAGATGCTGAAGTAGAGGCTGGGATGATAGATGGGGAGACAGATCCAGAAGCTGAGTCAGATCATGTAGGATAAGATTCAAGGAAAAAGAAAAACAGTTTCTTTGTGGGATAGTAAAAATATTAACTTATGTTGATTTGGTGAGCACTAATGAATAATTACATAGAATTGTTACATTATATTAGTACAGAAAATTAAATTGTTTTCTTTTTGTCTCTTATTTTATAAGCTAGTGGTAATACATTCATAATTCATAAGCTTTTATTCGAGTACAATAGATGATAACATTTTGTTTATCCCACCTAATGTTAGAAAATTTAAGTACTTCATAAAAGTCTCAAATGATTCGAGCAGTGTATTACAAAGGTTCGAATCCTTCTTGATTCATTACTGAGTAACTCAGAATTTAACTTTGAGCTTAGCTTGAAAGTAATCTAATCAAATTTGAATAGAATATAATCTCCGAAAAATCATTTACAACACAATTTAGTTAAAATTTTTCTCTTAAAAATCTAATAATATGTATATTTACGTTGTATTTTATTTTTTTTTATTTAGAAATAGAATATATTATTTAAAAATTGATTGATTTGAGTTAATTTGAATTCTCGTATAAACAATACGCACACTCAAAATTTTTTGACGTGAGAAGTTTGCACGTAGGTCTTATTTAAAATGTTAAGATATCATTTTATATCATTTTTTATGGATCCATTGCTTATCATTTGCGAGGGCGAAAAAAACACGATTTGTTTTTTTTTTTTTTTTATTTAAACAAAACATGTTATTAACTCAAAATCAATTAATTTGAGTTAATGCAAAACCCCAAATAAACTACAATACACACCCAAACTTCCTGACGCAGGAAGCCATGTATTTGCTGTATAAAAAATATATAAAGTAAGAGAATTACCTCAAAACATCAAATTAAAAATACAATTGATATTTTTATTCATTTCATATATGATTAAATTATATTTTTCTTCAAATTATTTTTGTACTATGTTATCATAGTTTTATAATAACTTGTCGTTTAAAATTAATGAATTTATATTTTTAAAGAAAAAACAAATATCAAGAATTTCTTTTGTTTAACGGTGGTCCAGATGATCCATTGGAACAAGTGGTGAAGGTGAGAAGCATAAAAAAAAAAAAATTTAAATTCCTAATGGGGAAGGTCACATTCAGCCCAAAATCATCTTCTCCCATCACGTTAAATACAAACAGACAATGCCTTAACCAAAAAAATTTTAAATCAAAACCACAAATAAAAATGTCTGCAGAGCATTTGCTATTAAACGTAGATGATCATCATGATGGTGGGATGAAATTTGAGGTTCGTGATTTGAAGAAAGTATCTGATGCGGGTGTTCCCATTCTGAACGGAATCAACGTGGGTATCCCGAAAGGGATGATCGTGGGGATCATTGGACCAAGCGGGAGTGGGAAATCAACGTTGCTTAGAGCACTTAATCGGTTGTGGGAGCCTCCATCGGATACGGTGTTCCTTGACGGTCATGATATCGTTGATCTTGATGTTCTTGGACTTCGCCGGAAAGTCGGCATGCTTTTTCAGCTCCCCGCCCTCTTTCACGGTAATTTTCAATCCGAATTTTTGGTGAGATTTATGATAACAAAAAAAAAAAAAAACAAAGTTATCCCTTTAGGTCATCAAGATCATACAGTTAAATTATTTCTATTACTTGGTTTTAAGGTCATCTTTTTTTTTTTCCTCTCATATGATAATTTTTGCCTAAAAAGCCAAATAGAAAATAAATTTACATTAATATTTTTCAATTTACTAGGCTTTTTATTTTTTTGCTACTTACAATTTATTTTAAAACAACATTAAAATCAATATATATAAGTAAAAAATTCTTAAATTTCACTGTGAGATTAATAAAATGATATATAATAGAAAAAAGATAATTAAAAAATGGACAAACGATAGCTTCTTTAACTCTATTTGTAGATGTAAAAAAATTAGGTTAAAGGGAAAAAAATACCTGTGAATTATAATTAAAAAATTGTTTAAGTTTTTAATATTTTATTACAATCAATCGAATTTTTAATTTTTTATTTCAATCAATTAAATTTTTAATTAGATAAAATTTAGTCACATGATAAAATAAAATTAATCAATCTCTTAATTATAATCAGTTAAACTTTTAAAGGAATCTTTAAAAGAGAGAAAATAGAGAAGAAATTGAGGAAAAAAAATTTATTTTATTTAATTTTTACATATATTAATTACATCATGTGATAAATTTTTATTTATTTTATTAATATCACAAGAAATTTATCTTAATTGACAAAAAAATTAATAGTCTTAATTTTTTCATTCAAATAAGAGATTAATTGAAAACAAATAAACATTAAAAGAATTGATTGATTATAATAATAAAATAAAGGCTTAGATTTTTTTTAGTTATAATTTAAAGATTTTTTATATCATTTAACCAAAAATTTACTATCGATGACTAACTATATATATATATATATATATATATATGTACACATAGGGGTGTAAATGATACATTAGTACTCGCAAGCTACTCGGGTTCGATTCGAAAAAAACTCGAATTCGGTTCGATTATTGTCGAGTCGAGCTCGAGCTCGAGTAGCTCGATTTATCGATCGAGCCGAATTCGAATATTATTATATCTGACTCGAGTAGCTCGCGAGCCTAATCGAGCTTTTATATTTAAATATATTTTTATTATTTTAATTAATAAAATATTTCGAGTCCGAGTTCGAGTTCGAGCATGAATAATCGAATTTTTGTCGAGTATACGAATCGAGCTTATTTTTACATATTAATCGAGCTTAATCGAGCGAGCTCGAATAGCTCGAATTCGATCACGAATCGAGCTCGAGCTTGAAAAATAAAACTCGATCGAGCTCGAGCCGAGTATCGAACCCCGAGTTGTGAGTCGAGCTCGAGCTCGAGCCTCTCACTACTCGGCTCGGCTCGGCTCGTTTACAGCCCTATGTACACATGCATGAGAAATTCATACGTCAATCAATTATAATATTATTTAAAGTGATCCTATAGTCACATATCAATCAATTATAATATTATTTAAAGTGATCCTATTGTCACATATATATATATATATATATAATGTTGTTTTAGTATTCAAATGTTGCCTTATTTTTAAGTAGTAAAAATGATAAATAAGCATGACACCATTTACATACAATAACATTGCATTATTGATTCAACCTAAAGAAAGTTGATAGCTTTCATAAAGTGAGGGTAAGGGAAAAAGACAGGTTTAGGTTGGGACAATTGTCCTTTGCTTTAAACATCTTTCTTAAGAGCCATTTACTTTTATATATGAACCATGAAGTCATCTCTATCATCTTTTTAAACAACTTTTTATTTTCATTTTCATTTTCATTTTCATACTTAATTACAATTTTTTCACTCTTTTTTTGTATTTTAAATTTCGATTATGGACTACTTTGAATTATAAATTTTTCATGAGTGTTGCTTGATTGAAAATAGAGATAATTCTTTAGCAGAACTTGCACAGCTTCATAAAAAATACTTTTCTTGTGAAATGAAATAATTTATATTAATATAAGCATAAACTACTATAAATATTTTGTCGAGTTATAAATTTGACATGGAAAAGAACGGAAAATTTTGACGTCTGATGGGTCTTTCCGGTCCATCAATGACAGGTACTGCAAATTTGAGGTAACATTAGGAGGTCCTGCGACAATTTACCATTTGCAAATGTGAATGCTTAAGCTTACTTGACTTCGTAGACTTTAAGATTTTAACTGTTTTATAGTAAAAAAAAAAAAGTAAAGAGAAAAGAATTTCAGGGTCAATTAATGAAGAGTATGGATCGTTTTCAGGTACTGTTGCAGATAACATTCGATATGGACCAAACTTGAGAGGAAAGAAGTTAAGTGATGAAGAAGTTTCCAAGTTGCTAACACTTGCAGACCTTGATTCCTCCTTTTTCAGTAAGACCGGTGGTGAATTATCTGTTGGTCAAGCTCAAAGAGTTGCACTTGCTCGGACACTGGCTAATGAACCCGAGGTATCGCACACTCCTCCCTGTATTCCCCCTGCTGAAATGTTGCATTCAAACTTTGCTGCAATTTGCATGTATATTGTTTTTTGTCTATTACTTCAGGATAACTTGAAAAATGTTTTCTTTTCTTGGACATTGACGCCTCGGATTTGGTTAATTTCAAGGTTTTGTTGCTGGATGAACCAACAAGTGCCTTGGATCCGATTTCGACACAAAACATAGAGGACGTGATAGTGAAACTTAAGAAGAAAAAGGGAATGACTGTTGTAATGGTTTCTCATAGCATCAAGCAAATCCAAAGGGTAGCAGATGTGGTTTGCCTTCTTGTGAATGGTGAAATTGTTGAGGTGTTGAAGCCTGATGAGCTATCTCAAGCCAAGCATCCCATGGCACAAAGGTTTCTTCAACTAAGTTCTTAAAATACTTGTGTTGTATATATCCTTTTCTGTGTTTGGGATTGATGTTAATTGCAAGATGTTTGATATATTTCTACTAGTTTTTGTTCCATGTTTTGCAATAAATTGAAGTACAGAAGTAGCTTTTGGACTCCACCGACACTTAATGAGATAATAAAAATTCCCAAAAAAAAAAAAAATAAAAGGCGAAATCAATTGACAGCCATCTCCATGGGTAAGGGAGCCCAACATACAACAAAATTTCCACTGGGGAGGGTAAGGATATCCAATTTTGCACGCACATCCTCTCACAGAGTGCTGATTAGGATGCAATGAATCCAAAAATTTTGAATTTAAACTTAACTTAAAATTTGTTGTTTGAAATTTGATTGAATTTTAAATTTTTAAATTTGAATTTGATTTGAAATAAAAATTAAGTTATTTAAGTTCGTTAATTATATTCATTTATCAAATAAAAAATAAATTTAATTTTTACATTTGATATTAAATTTGATTATTTGTATTTAAATTCATATTTAATTTAATAATATTGAGTTAAATTTTAATTTTATTTTGATTAAACATAAATAATTTATGAGAATTAATATATCACTTACGATTTAACTTTGAAAGTCATCCTGCGCTTTGTAAAAATTGCGTTGAAACCGAGCTTAAAACTAGCAAACTTCCATCACCAAAACTGTACATCTTCAAAATGGAAGCAATTTCCCAATTCTGCTCTTTACCGAATAGAAATCAAACTTGAGACTACTTTCCTTGCTCAAATATGATAAATTTGGTTATATGTTAACTTAAAAGTTTAAATTGACAGAAACATGAAAAAAAAAATTTTAAATGTTGTCAAAATTGAACTTTAAACAGTCACATATTTGAGCCATATTTAGTTTTCTAATATAAATTACTATTCATATCTTAGTGATAACATTTCAATGAATCAACATATTTAGTTTCTTTTTTTTTTAATAAATTATAGGTAAAGTTATTTTTATTTTCTAAATAATTGATAAAATTTAAATCCCATATTTATTTTATTATTTAGTAATACGTGAGCCGTGGGCCAACGTAATATTCTTTAATCAAATGATTAAAGTCAAAATGTAAAGGAATCGCACATAAAATTTTTTTATTATAATTACGATATGTTTATTTAATTAATAAATTTTAAATATTGATTGTGACCATTTATTTTATATAATAAATAAATATAAATAAACAGAAATAAAATTTATTCACAAATTATTTGTTAAATATTCTATTCCTTCACATATTCAAATATGAATAAATTTTTTTACATTCGTAATTTATTTATTTAATTAATAAAATTTTAAAAATTTATTTATGCTCGTTTATTAAAATAAAAAATAAATATAAATAAAATATGTTTACGATTATTGGTTCAATGTTATGTTGATTTACATCTTAATTAAAATTTTTTAATTTGCATGTTTCGTAAGTAATAATTTTTCAATGCATAAACGAATCACCCCACACAAAACGACACAACTCCAGACCGCTAAATGACACCATTCAAAGAATCATTTTAGTGGGCCCCCACACGGGCCACACTCACCCTCGACTCCCATCCCAATTTCCAAGACTCGGAGTCGAAGGTAATCCCCCGAAAGGCTCGGCCCAACTCAGAAACTCTCCGTTAAACTCACCGTAACGGCGAAAATCCAACCCTCTTACCCACCTTCCCAAAGCGGGAATCTTCGTCACGGCGAGACGTTGAACAATTTTGGCGGCAAAAGCCAATCCTAATCATGACGTGTCAAAATATGATTCGGTAACGATGCATATCATGTGCATGTGCATGACCATCGTGATATAATGTTGGTTAGTTTTCCCGCGCTAAAGAGAAAGATCCTTCCTTGATAGGGTTTCCACAAAAAGAGGCCCAAATTAAAAAAAAAAAAAAGAAAAAAGACAAGAGAGGGAAAATTTTAGGGTTCTTCTTGTTATTAACAAAAATATTAAAAGAAAAAGAAAAGAAAATTGCTTTTTTCTTTCTCACTGGTTTTTCTTCTTCTTGATCCGTTAAATCGCTGTGTTGGGGGGGAAGGATTTGAAGCTAGGGTTTTCGCTTTACTGGATCTGTAGATCCGAGATCGAACCGAATTTCAAGCCCAAATTCTGTAAGTTTTCTTTTAATTCTGCTTTAATTTTTATCATATTTTTTAATTGTTTGGTTGAGATTCTTCAAAGTTAATTCGCCATTTTCAGAAGCACAAAGAAAATTTTCTTTTTTTTTTTCTTTCAATTTTTACATTGCTTTTAGTAGTAATAGTTAGAAATTTTTAAATTTTTGGCATAAATTTTCTATTTTGGGACGGGGGTTTAAGTTGCTGTGTATTTAGTATTTTTTTTTTTAATTGGAGACTCTAGTAGCTAGCTTACTCTTGAATATGCTGATTATTTGTTTCTTGTTAAAATTTTAGAGGGAATTAGAGTCTTTAAGTTTTGAAAATGGATAATTTTGAGAACAGCTGCTAGGGTTATTTGAAGAAATATGGAAGAAATGAAGCCTTCAGTTACAACTTCAAACAGCACGGATGGTGATGCCATTGAAGCTAGATTCACTGCTTTGTGCAAGGTAGTGATGTGTGCTTTTTGATAATATTATTTTAAATATTGCTTTTTCTTCTTCTTTTTGTGGTGATGTGTTTTGTTAATGTAATGTTTTCATGCTTTGCAGAATGGGTTATCATTGGATGAGAAAACTTGCACCGAAGCGATGAAGATATTCAAAGAAACCAAACACCTTTTAGCATCAAATGTTTCGGCAATTGGGAGCGGGAAGGCATATATTTTTTAAATTCTTTTTATATGGAAATTAATAAAGATAATTGCTTTTAGGTGAACTAACTTTGTTGCATTTATTCTGGATTAGCTCGAAGAAGCAGAACGATTTTGGTTTTCATTTGTTTTGTATTCGCTGAAGCGGCTAAGTAAAAGGAGTGGAGAAAATTTGCAGCAAGGGTCGGATGAAAGTGGGCTTACATTATGCAAGATATTGAGAGCTGCAAAGCTAAAGTATGATGCTGTTAATTTTGTGTACATATGGATAGTTTTTGTGATTGATATCTGTTTTAATTATTGTTTTTTTTTTTTTTTTTTTTATGTCTTTCAGTATTGTGGATTTCTTCAAAGAGTTGCCCCAGTTTGTGGTAAAAGCTGGTCCTGTTTTAAGTAACATGTATGGTGAAGATTGGGAGAGTAGACTTGAGGTGGTGAAAGAATATAGATTTATGCTTTAACTTGCTTTTTTTTTTCTAAAAAATGTATGGCCATGTGACTTCTATTTGACTACTTACTTATTGTACTTTAATCAATTAGGCAAAGGAGATGCAGGCCAATTTTGTGCACTTAAGCCTTCTGAGCAAGTAGGTGCCCTTCTTTTATATCTTGGTCTATGTTAGAAGATGCTATGTGCATATAACTTTGTAATTGCATTAGCATTTCTCTCTTTTCTTAAATGCGTGAAAGCAACCTAGTGAAAAGGTATACTGCTTTGCATTCATCAATCTATGCTCTAAAAGCTATGTAGATTCTGCAGCGAGCTTGTTTATGTTGTCTTGAACCTTGTCTAAAATTTACAAGAGTAAGCCTATATTTTCTTGTATTTATTAAGTGTTTGGGGAGGGTGGAGGAAGGGCACTTTACAGGATATGCTTATCAAAGATGTTGGAAAATTAAAAACCATAACCACACACGCACACACACACACACCCAAACGCCAATTTGTATCCTAATTATACCAGTTACTAGCCATGCGGCTGGTTTATGGCATGCCTTGATTGTCATCTTGTCCAGATGGGTAACAAGATTAAATTTAAGATAGTGATATATATATATATATATATATATATATATGACATTGTTATTTAAACTGATTGCAGAATTATATATCACACAAAGTTATTATTACACTGAATTTGTCCTGAGTATGTAATAAATTTTTATTATTTTTCACCAAGTAACTACTTCCTCAAAACCTAATTTCTCTGCATACTTTATATAATTTTCCATTTTGTAATGTAAATAACATTTTTATATTGCTATTTAATTGTACTAAAGGTCATACAAGCGTGCATTTTGGGAACTCTTCTTGACAAGTGATGCAAATATTGACAAGCAGCAAAATGTTACCAGTGCTCCTGATTATGTGTCAAAGTACCAACGTTTTGGTTGGTTACTGTTTTTGGCGCTCCGCGTGCATGCATTCAGCCGTTTTAAAGACCTAGTGACTTGCACAAATGGTTTTGTTTCTGTACTGGTCAGTTACACTTTTCTGAGGCTTTCCTAATACTAGTGATTGTAGGAAGGCAGAGTCTGTTTTACTTAGGAATGACATGCCATCTTGTTCTTCTAAAGAAACGTGTTGTTATGATTATAAGCACAGATAAAGGATTAATATAATGAGTAACTATTAAACAAAAGTGGAAAGATGCATTTAAATGTGCTTGAAAAGATTCAACTAAAATATCTGTCGTCTTTGATCCATTTTGTCCTTTTATATTCCTGGAGCATGTAGTAATAATGCAATTTAATGTGATTTTTAACAGGCTATTCTGATTATACATGTTCCTATTCGATTCAGAAACTTCAAGATCAGTGATTCTCCACGCTTTGGTAATTATCTGCTCTTTTTTGGTAGCCAATTTTTAGATCTATTATTTTTCATAAAGAGAAGGCATTTGAGTTTCTTCACTTGTGTTTGGTCCTAACCCTTTTGCATCTTTCTATTTGCTTTTCCTGGTGGATAAAACTTTGCCTTCCTCATTGTTAATTTTTTTTACCTGTAACTGTTCAGTTAAGAAAGGTGACAAAGGTGTCGATTTGTTTGCATCACTTTGCAACATGTATGATGCTTCAGAAGATGATTTGAGGAAAACAATGGAGATGACCAACAAGTTAATAGAAGACATATTGAAAAAAAGGCCCTGTTCAGCATCTGAGTGCAAAACTGAAACACTTGAAAATATTGATACAGGTTAGTTATAAAAGTCACAAATGTAATTCGGGTAGCATGCTTTCATTTGCTTCTGCTTCTAATTTCCTGATCCTCTTTGATGCAGATGGCTTATTCTATTTTGAAGGTTTAATGGAGGAACGATCTCTCTCATCCAGTTTAAGTATTTTAGAAAAGGATTATGATGATGCCATTTATAATAAAGGTGATCTGGACGAGAGGGTATTTATAAATGAGGAAGATAGTTTACTTGGTTTAGGGAGCTTGTCTGGAGGGGCTGTGAATGTAACTGGCACCAAGGTGTGTTTCATGTCTGAGAAAGCATGTTCTCCTTTCTTGGTTTTTATGCTTTATGTAGCAGTCACTTTATCTAAGAATTTTTTTTATTCTGTTTTGAGTAGAGGAAATTTGATTCAATAGCTTCACCCTCAAAGACAATCTCAAGCCCACTGTCTCCTCTTCGTTCTCCTGCATCTCATGCAAATGGTGTCCTTGGTCCGCCTAATGCAAAGATGGCAGCTACACCCGTCAGCACTGCAATGACAACTGCGAAGTGGCTTCGTACTGTTATTTGTCCGCTTCCTTCAAAACCCTCAACAGAGTTGCAGAGTTTTCTATCATCCTGTGATAAAGATGTTACTAATGATGTGGTACGTAGGGCGCGTATAATATTGGAGGCAATATTTCCAAGTAACCATGAGCGTAGTGTAACTGGAAGCCTTCAAAGTGCAAACTTGATGGACAATATATGGATGGAACAACGAAGACTGGAAGCACTTAAGTTGTACTATAGGGTTTTGGAAGCTATGTGTACTGCAGAAGCCCAAATATTACATGCACCTAATTTGACCTCTTTATTAACTAATGAGAGATTTCACCGATGTATACTTGCTTGTTCTGCTGAACTAGTGCTAGCGACACATAAGACTGCCACCATGTTGTTTCCAACAGTTCTGGACAGAACTGGTATTACAGCCTTTGATCTTAGCAAGGTGATAGAGAGTTTCATTAGACATGAGGAGTCTCTACCAAGAGAATTGAGGCGGCATCTGAATTCTCTGGAAGAGAGACTTTTGGAGAGCATGGTGTGGGAGAAAGGTTCCTCAATGTACAATTCTTTGATAGTTGCAAGACCTGCTCTATCTGCTGAAATAAATCGACTAGGCTTATTGGCAGAACCAATGCCATCTTTGGACGCAATTGCAATGCATATCAACTTTTCTGGAGGTATGCCTACAGTGGCTTCTTTGCAGAAGCATGAATCTTCATCAGGTAATGTCAGGAGCTCTATCTTAGGTATGCAATACTGGTAGCTTAGTTTTACCATTTCTTATATTTTCAGAAATGGAAAACTTGTGACCATTATGTCGATTTTCTTGTTTACTATAGTAGCTTGTGTTATATTATCTGATTACAGTTATACTTTTGTCAAATGTTAAATAGTCATGTTACCTTTTTCAGGTCAAAATGGGGATGTCAGGTCTCCCAAGAGACCATGCACTGACTACAGGAGTGTTTTGGTTGAACGAAACACTTTTACATCACCAGTGAAGGATCGTCTATTAGCTTTCAGCAACCTTAAGAAGGCTCCTTTGCAATCTGCATTTGCCAGGTATTGTATGGTGTAAGTTCTAGGGAAGTAGAAATCCTGAACTATTGGCAATGGCTTACTGCATTTTGTTATGGGGCATTTGTTTTGTAGTCCAACACGTCCTAACCCAGGTGGTGCAGGAGAAACATGTGCAGAAACAGGGATAAATATATTTTTTAGCAAGGTATCAAAATGAGATAAATTAGACTTTCATCTATTTGCTTAAATTCTTATAATGATGATGCAGCTTCCACGTGCTTATACTGTTACAAAAATTTAACCTATTAGTACTCATTGTAAATATCCATTGAAATATTTTTATGGTGGCCAATGTGCACTGACTTTTGAATTTGATTTAGATTCAGTGATTATCAGTCAGCTCTGTGTCTAACATTTTGCTTGCTTTGCACTGCTAGATCAATAAGTTGGCTGCTGTCAGGATTAATGGTATGGTTGAGAGACTACAACTGTCTCAACAGATTAGGGAGAGTGTATATCGTCTTTTTCAACAAATACTTAGCCAGCGGACATCTCTGTTCTTTAACCGTCATATTGACCAGATCATCCTTTGTTGTTTCTATGTAGTTTCAAAGGTATGCTCTTCTAATGATATTTTTAGCTGCTGTTCAATTTATCTGCTGTATTTCCTCTTACATTGTGATTTAATGGCCTGCAGATTTCTCAGTTGCACCTGAGTTTTAAAGAAATTATTTGCATCTATAGGAAGCAACCGCAATGTAAACCACAAGTTTTCTGCAGTGTATTTCTTGACCCATCATCAGCACGAAGGAATGGGGTATGAGGTCTCATCTCTATTTTCTATGCTGCCTACTTTTTGAGGGAATTTTAACCATTTTATTGATCTGAAAACAGAGAACAGGGCAGGATCATGTTGATATTATTTCATTTTACAATGAAATATTTATTCCTGCCGTAAAGCCTTTGCTAGTAGAACTTGGTCCTGCTGGAACAACTTCAAGAACGAGCCTTTCTCCTGAAGCCAACAACAATAATGATGGTAAACCTTTCACTTTTTCCATTATTATACGGGGGGATTTTGATCTTATGTTCCGTCCTTGTTGCTTCTACAAACCATGCTAATTTACTAATTTCTTCATTGACTAATTAGGTCCATGCCCTGGATCACCTAAAGTTGCTCCTTTTCCATGTCTCCCTGATATGTCCCCAAAGAAAGTATCTGCAACACACAATGTATATGTGTCTCCATTGCGTACATCCAAGGTACTTTTGTTTTCCGTTGAGTTGACTTAATTGATCAATTTTCCATTTACTAGTAAACCAGACTTGCACATTTAAGATTTGACCAGCCTCATGGAACAAAAAGGAAAAGTGTATTTGATTGCTAAGAACAACTGCCACTTGACTGTTTATTTACTTGTTTAAAAACTGTTTAAAATGCAGCACTTTTAGCAAGGCCAATAAAGGAAAAAAAAAAAGACCCTTTAATTTCCAATATTTAAGTTTTGTGAAACTTGTAAAAAGAGTTTAATCCTGGGTTCTCTTTCTTGCTTGACTGAACAATGTATTGGAAATTTTCTATTTTCTTATTTTTGGCCTTTGGTATCTTATTGGAACCCATGGTTACAGAGTTAAGCAGTGTGTGCCCTTTTTTTAATTAGATTTTGTTTTCATCTACAGATGGATGCTCTAATCTCTCATAGCTCAAGAAGCTATTATGCTTGTGTTGGAGAGAGTACTCGTGCCTTTCAGAGCCCTTCAAAAGACCTAACTGCCATCAACAATCACTTGAATGGGTATTCTACTCTTCTTCTCTCTGGGTAACAATTCTTTTCAAGTACATAAATACTTGTGATGCGCTAACTGAATGAGTTGTTTTGTTACTCAGTACCCGGAAGATCAGAGGGGCACTCAACTTTGATGATGTTGATGTTGGCTTGGTTAGTGATTCTATGGTTGCAAACAGCCTTTACCTTCAAAACGGGAGCTGTGCATCCTCATCCGCGGCACCTTTAAAATCCGAACCACCAGAATCTTAGTGCAGCTACATGTATTCCATGTAAATTCTGCCTCTCTTCCCTAATCTTCTTACATTCTACGGGTATTGTAAGAGCCATCTCTATGTGATTACCCCTATGTGATTACGAATGTTAGATACACTGCTTGAAGCCTGGCCTAACAAAATGAATAAAATATGCCTTGTTTTGCCTGTTTGTAGCAAATCATTTGTTGGAATTACAGTGCTCATTCAAGTAGTAATCTTCTTGGCATGTTTCATGAGATGTTTTAGAAGTCAACATCTTGTTTAACAGTGTTTGAGGATTCGAGTCCAGGCATCAATTGTTATATTTTTAAAATCTTAAATGGTAAACCCTAAACTCGAATCATATTTAACAAGACCATAAGGTTTTCTGACTTGAGAAACATTGAGGAATGTTGTAATGCTCCCATCATGAAAAAGCCTGTGAAAAAAACCCACAACCCTTGAATATAGGGAGGTTGATTTGGATTTTGTCCAAGTAAAAATTGAAGAAAAAATTTTCGTTGGACATCTTTAAAATTTTTTCTATTAATAAATTTGTTCACAGTTATGCCTTGAATAAAGAATGATTTGCAGAATGATTTTTAAAGTTACATGTATTGATAAGGATGTATTTGGTAACATAAACAATAATGTAATTACGTTTTTCAAGAGATGAGAACACCAGGATAATTGTAATAATATAGTAATATATTATTTTAAAAATTTTATTTATAATATTATATTATATATATAGTATAAATGAACTCGAAAAAAAAAATATTGGATCTGCACTGAAAACGTTGACGCGATTGAAATCATTAAAAAGAAGCCGTTGCAAGCCTTAAAACAGAGTGCCGAAGGTCGTCAAATGCCTCATTATCCGTCTGATCTGATGATGACCCATGTTAAACAAGTTTATCCAACTTATATTTGGCCTTTTGAAAATAGCTCTAGTTTTCTGATTTACTTAGCTCCTTATCTCTCTTCATACTTCTTGTTAACTATTGCTAAAGTATGGTTGATTGTCACTGTTGTTCTTATCACTATGAAGTGATTCTGTCTTAATTAATATAGGCAAATTGAAGGTTATACCAAACCATCTGACTTATTATTGTTGCTTTTTGCCAAGTTTTCATTTGAGTTAAAGATGAATATACATATGATGATAAATATGGAATTTCTTACTTTATAGCTTTGGTCAATTTCTAAAACAATGAATGCCATATTAGTTGATAATTTATGCAATTATTTTTAAGAAATGCCATTAACAAGTTTAAAATTCAAATCTTAACTTCTATAATTTTTTTTATCTTATTTTCAAATTATAATCGCCTTCATAAAAAATATTCTCAAATATTCACTAGCTTGAAATTTACCTTACAAGCATGGAAGAGTTCTGAAAAAGATAAGTAAAAATATGACCTCCATCCGAAAGTTATCCGAATCCGAAATGACCTAATATAACATGAAACCAATAAAACTCATCTCGAACTTATCCGATTTGCCACCTCTAATGTTAGTATGATGGTTAGATGTATTTTAGCACCTCTAGTACTATGCAATGGTTAGAAGTATGTTAGCTTTGTTTGTGAGTTCTGTGTTTTGTGTAAGTTTGGAATGGTTGTTAGTCAGAGGGAAACAAAGAAATAAGGTGCAAACAACACTACTCATTCCCATTAGAAAGGCATAGGAAACAAAGCTGTCCCTATCTCATAGATTATTATGATAACTTATAGCATGTTTAAGCATGTAAATGCATCATCCTAACTAGCCAAACCCTCACATACCCGATTTGTTCTCCTGTCAACAAGTCAGCTTTACAGGTTGAAGCTCCCATTTCTTGGATGACCCATGTTTTACCGCATATGCAAATGTCACGGGCTGAGACTCATGCTCATCATGCCCACACACAATCCTGAGCAACCGAGACAAGTACTAATATGTGTTCTCTAAGAAGCAGAAGCCTCACCAAGCAATTAAGCAACTTCAGGTGTATGTGCTTTCAACGAGGAGACAATTACACTACCATTCTCCTTTTTGACCTTTTTTTTATCATTTTCTTTTTTACAAGACATCTAAGAAGGGTTTAAGATGCCATCATGAAAGATGGACAAGCCCTAGCAAATTCAAGTTAGGGAGAAGCCCACTCGAAGTAGTGGCACCGGGCACCTCTGGTGACAGTCCAGTTCCCACAGCCGAAGAACACACTTCCTTGCTTTGGCCCGGGCTTCCGGACCATTCCTTTGCTACTCTTCACTCCACAGAAACAGTAAGGGTGGTACTGAAATAGGGGCATTTGCTGATCCTTAGGCTTCTGGGGGTGATGTGGAGAGAAGGCCATATTCTCAGGGGTCGGGTTCGATGTAAATGGACCATCACTAGCCTGCCACATCAGTGAGTTTGTGATAGCGAATTTAAAACCCTTGCACATCAAGAGGGCAAGTAAGCGAGCTGTGTTTTTGGCATCATCAAGGCCACAATGAGCACGCCCCTGCCATGCCAGGCCTGCCATTTCAACTGCCTCCTTCAGATTGCACCTCACTCCACCAAAAACCTCACGGAAAGGAACTTTTAAGTTGATCCACCTCCCAAAAGGAAAATAAAAAGAAATATTTAATATAAATGCCTATCTTCACAATGGTGTCAACACTATTATAAATTTTTGTAAATAAATACATGATCTGTTAAAGGGGAAAAAAAAAGCAAATAAGCACATATCAAAATTATTTACCGGTTAAAGTAAGGAGGTTTCCGGATCTTCTTGAATCGGCACTCAGATTCCAGCATTACCCGACAATCCCAGTTTGACCATGTCACCACAGCAAAGTTGGTGTTCTTTATGCCCTTCTTCTCAAGCCATTTATCATGCCTAAGGAGAGCCTCGCTCAGAGTAACACCTCTATCTACCTAGAACACATATATGCATATTTAGAAAATAGGCTCACAAGCCGCAGTGAAAACTATCAAGAAAAAGAGCAAGAAACCACAGTCAATCACCACAATCTAAGAAACCACAGTCAATCACCACAATCTAACTTGTCCCGCCATGGGACAATCCCTACTCTTGAACCCTTATCCAACATAAAGCCTAAATAGGAAGAACCCCAGATTCTGTCTTAAATCACCTCTCTTGGTTGAATTCCTGTCATACCAAACCCAAAGAAATCCAATTGATGCTATTGCCAAGTCAGCAAAAATAAGGTTAAGGTTAACTTTGTGCTTCCCAACTCATAATTTTTCTAACAGTGCATCTTTTTGGCAAAGACCAAACTGCAGCAATCAAGCATGTTAATATACATAACAAAAATTAGAAACCGATTACAACAAATTTTTAAGCCTGTCCAGGCACAAACATATACGTGCAGAAAATCATGCTGCTCAACTGGTATGTTAAGTTTCCAAATCTTGGTAAAGACAAGGAATTCTAAACTGACCTGAATTTGCTGGATGCCTGTCAGATCCTTGCAAAAATCACTCAGGAGCTGATTGCAAGTTGGTCGTACATAAGTCTGAAAACATGCTTCCAGCTGGCCAGTAACACTACTCACAATGACAGATGGAAACTCAATTATCTCCTGTGGATGGGGATTTCTCTCCTTGCCGCATGTAGCCTCAAAGTCTATGACCACAAAGTACTGAAAATCTTGGAACTGGAATTCATAAGGGTGTCCATGAGTGATCACATTGCATGGGGCATAATGAACTCTGTTATCCACAGGAAAGTGGTAAAATTGGCTCCCAAAAGCATTCAATGGGTATGGCTGCAACTTATGAGAGTCAGGATACAAGGTTGACCATGAGCCATACTCATGCTGGAGGGTAGGTTTGTGGTAAAATTCATTTGGAAGTTCCATAAACTCTCCACTCAATGAGCAAATTGGTTCTACAACATTCCGACCAGGTTGAGCATCTTTAAGCTCTGGAAGGCCTTCAATTGAATTCCCGGTACATTGCAGATTGTACGGGAACCCCTTGGTATGGAGGCATTTTAAGGCTGCCTCACAGTTCTGCATAGTTTCTACATAAAATAAATAAGCAAAAACCTATCAATATAATATCAAATTTGATGAATGCATCACCATAGTTTCTACACGTGCCAACTGCCGTCACAAAACAAAGAAAAAAAAATGTAAAATTGAATAAACAGAATGTTCAAGATATGTTGCGAGGCAAGTCCAGTATTATGATTTCATACAGCAAAAAATGCTTCCCAAAACTAGAAGGGCACTGCACAGTTGACGGCACCCTGAAGAATGAGAAAGGAAAATCTATGTATGTGGATCCTTTTAGAAATACTAACAACAAGCAATAACCAATGGCAGCAGGAGGGACCAGTGACAAACAAATCAGTAGCAACAGGGGTGGAACTCACCATAGAGACAGACAGAAAAAAGCACAAATGAACTTGTAGCACATCTTAAAAGGCTTTAACTCACCAGCATACTTCACACAAGAATAGCATATATTCAATCAGATAATAAGCATAGCATTCATCACTGCCTTCAGCTATGCCCCTTCACCTTTCACTTCTTTAGTGGAGCCTCAAATAACTATCTTTACGCATGCACAAGAAAATGGTGGGATATGTAGGGTTAAAGAAATTAATTACGAAACTCTGAAAGGTCAGGACCCTCAAAGATAAAGGATACCACTCTTGGAATATATTCCTTCATCAAACTTCTAGTTTGAAGGTGAAAGACACAACTAAGAAGGGCAAAGTCAATATCTCTGCAACACTCCCCATCCATACACATAGGCTGAAATTCAAGTAGCCAATTGTTTATGAAGAGCATCAAAATAAGACCTTAAATGCTAAATGTTTTCCATAAGGAAGAAACTCAAGTTGCTATTTCTTTACCAAGATCATCAATGAAGCTGCCATCCCAAAAGCTAATAGAAGACTAAATTATCAAGCTATTCTAATAAAAATGATAATGAAAAATAATCAAAAAAGTATTATGTTCACTTCAGCCTCTAATAACCCTCCAAGCCACTTCCTGTTGCATGTTTTCAACATTAAAAAAAAGTGATGATGTTTATAAACAGCAAAGAAAGCCTTCACAAGTCATAATTCTTCACAGTAGTGGAAAAGATCAGTACTTGATCTGTAATTTTATGTTAAAATTTGAAACAAAATTGCTTCAAAAGCAAGCAACACTTCTGAGTTCAACTAAGTACATACTCCAGCTGTTCTACGTCTTATGGTGATATGAAACAAGACCAGTCTTATTTTTCTTTGTTAAATTATTTATTTCTTCTGGTATATATTTTCCTAGCATAGTAACAACTCTATAGTAAATGTTTCTTCATCCTTCCATGGCAAGGGAATGGGGAAATGGAAAGAAAAAGGGGGAAGATCTGGGACAAAGGGGCGTGAAAACGGAGACAAGTTTCAATGGAACCCAAATGAATGAATCAACTGAGGCACTAACTAGTGAAGTTTAATTAAAAAATAATAATAAAGATACCATAACCAATATATACAAAAGACCAAATTTTATGTTGGTAACTAACGAAGACAATATCCAAACTCCAATCATTTCATCAAACTAGGTATAATCATCATACAGAAGAAGA